GGATAGTTATCAGAATGGTCGATGGCAATAATATCCAAGCTAAAGCGTACCGAGCTTCCATATATGACCCGGTGGTCCTAGAAAGCTTCTCGGTACGGTAAGTCTCGTAAAGTACGTCCTCGGTCAACGACTTGAGGTCTTGGAGATGAGTACTAGTATTTGAAGCGAGACGAAACGAAGCGATGGATGTTGAGAAAAAAGTGAAATCATTAGTAAATTTACGATAAAGGAAAAGACGAAACTTGCTCACCCAAGGATTGCGCCCCTAAGCCTACTAAAATCAGAATGTTCTGGGTCGTCAACGATAGCCACACCCCATGGGTACACCCGCGCGCGGACATATTCGCCATCGATTTCGACTTCCTCTTCGGAACCCATAATGGCAAAGGGAAGCAAGGACTGCAACGCGACACCGTTCCTGAGTTCAGGAGATGGAAAGCAACGAACGGATTCTCACCCTAAGCTCCTGATTCTCTTGAATAGTATCCTCATCGTCTTCCTCCACATCATAAGGAAAGTTGTACACTGGAATATCGAAATGCGAAATATCTTCCATGACCTGAAAGAATTTGTATTAGTACGACGAAGGGTCAATAGGAATAATATGGCAGCGAAATGAGTGTGAGGGTAACTCTGCACTAAGCTACGTAACAAAATCAGCGGAAGTAGCTTACTCGTTTTTTGAACGCCTTCAATTCGCTCAAAGTCAGCGAATCCGAACGACCTATAACGGGAATAACGTTGACTCGATGTGATAGCTTTTGCATTAATTCTACATCTATTTCCCTCAGGCTATGAAACAAGGGGGTAGCAGTAGGAAGATTATGGTCAGCGAAAGAATAACAAAAAAACCTAACGGGATGTATATGCTCACTAATGACCTGTTGGAGGAATAAAGTACAGCAAACAGTGTACCCTATTGTCACGGAAACGTGGATTACGCTTGATTCTCGACTGTTCTGCGAGTATATCGTCGTATTGGCGTTCGAGGTAATTCACGATCTCTTGGAAGCTAAAATTTAGGAAGACGTCTCGTGTTAAAATCATGCGTAAAAGGGGAAGTAATATGAAGAATGCGCAAATTCGATTACAACATTCGTGGTGAAGGAAGGCTGTTTGACTATTCCATGTTCCTTTTCCATGGAACGTAATTGCGGCACGAATGAGGGTGAATCCTGCCAGCAAGGCAAGAGTAGACGAATAGGATGGATTCACGTACGCAAGGTCATTATTGACGTTATCCCCAAAACCAGGTGTGTCGACGATGGTCAAATTTATCCTGAGTCCGTCCTCTTCGATATCTGATGAAGCGAATAGAGAAGTAGTAGTTAGTAGGTTCCTTCGCAAGATCTCAAGGAGCTGAGCAGCAAGACTAAAGCTAGAACAGAGCACAGCTGATTACACACAAACGAAGGGATGAACGTACCGACGTTGACCGGCTTGATTGCAAGACTTGTTTCGAGTGCAGCAGTTTCCGGATTATCGCAATCTTTGTGAGGAAGAACTTCGGATTCGCAGAGGGTGTTGACGAAGGTAGTCCTGCCAGTCCCGGAGGCACCTGTAACAGTCCAATACGAGTCGAAATTGAGTTTGATTTAAATAGTAAGATTTAATGAGAGCAAAGAGAGGTAGTTGAGCATCGCGTTAGAATCTTGAGCATCGAACCATTAAACCCCCATACCGACAACCATTACAGTAAATCCAACACCCTTGGCCTTGCTTCGCCTTCGCTTTGTGATATTGGGTGGCATAGTTCAAATATCCCGAACGTTTTCAGTAGATGGCGAAGAGAGAGGCGGATAACGCTTGATACGTGGTAATTCGCAGGTGGCCAGGTGGTGGTTGAGTTCACAGAGAAAAGTATAAACCTTCGTCGATTTCGTATTGGAATTGCGGCACGTGATACCTTAACGACCCGCCTCGGCGTCCGAGGGCCGCTCGACGACCACAGTCGATCACTGATAAATAATGGAGAGAAACTATCTTCCAGATTCCTTGACCTTGAGGAAATTCCGTTCTTACACACTGGAAGCGGCGTTCGAAGAATTTTCTGAGGAATACTATTCAGTTTCAAAGCTAGGCTACCCATTATAATGTACAACATTCACTGATTCGGCACATTTCAAGTGGATGAGTTAGTAGTGTTCTTCTGTCTATCTCTGAAATAACGAAGTTTAAATGAGTCCGGTGCAACCAGTAAAATGAAGCTTACCTCCGACTATTCTGCACACGGATGAACAACCAGTCCACAGCTCCTCTAACTCCAGTTCTATCAACGAATGAGCAACGGTAATCAGTTGAACATACCGATCCACCGGCTCACCCTTCGATAGCCGACACACCCATAACATCCAAGCTCGCGATCCTCTCCTTCCGTGCAGTCATGTCCTCACCCTCTCCATATCTCACGGTTCTTCTCGCGTTCTCTATCTTACGTTGGTGATAATCCTCATAATCGTTACGAATTTCTTCCACAGAAAGACTGTGCGGACTATCTTGCTTGTTCGCGAGTAGGAGGAGGGGCACACCGAGGATTTGTGGTGCTGATAGTACTGAGTCTGGGAAACGAGTTGTAATATTAGAACAAAGCAGTGACTTGGGCCACAGACTGTTTCTACACATACCAAAGACCTCCCAACCTTCGCTCAGCCTCTCCCGGTCGTCGGCGTCAATAACGTAGACCACAGCATGACAGTCATCGTAATATTTGTGCCAGATGTTCCTGATACCCCGTTGACCTCCTAGATCCCAGAACTGGAGAATCGTCGAGGGCAGGGTGATCTTACCAGCTAAAACGATTGAGGACAGGATTTATAGAACTCGAATTACCACTGACTGTTTTGTCCAACAGTAGGGCCTATCTTGTCCGGAGAAAGACCTGGAGTGTCATTATACAAAGTCTTAATCTTTTCCAGTAGAGTCTACAGTTCATTATAGATGTTGACAGTGAAGGACATCCTCCAATACACACAGTCTTTCCAGCGCCGTCGAGGCCGATAATGATGACTGAGAATTCTTCCTTCCTGCGAACTAGTCATCACATTTGGAGAGCATAACACCAATCAGAGTAAATACCTCGTTAAATGTTCATGCAAGCCTTTGAGCAAATGGTACATTCGAAGGAGTCGCCGTCGTTATATAATCAATCAGTTCCTCTTTCTCTTCCCACTATACAATGGGCTATTACTACAATTATGGTCTCGTAACCTTCATCGTCATTGTCGTCGCATTATATCTTCTATTCACCGGTATGATTGTCTCCAAGAATGAAGCTCAGTAATACCTATTCATTTTCTCCGCCTCGTCACAGGTTCCGGGGAAGCGTTCAATGTTGGCAGGTTTTTAGAAGAATCGAGTCCATACGCGTGGGCTGCGACTGGAATCGGTCTTTGCATAGGGCTAAGTGTGCTTGGAGCCGGCTGGTGAGGGTATAAGGCGAAAGAGTTCGAACGAAGGTTGATGTAATCCATGTGTAGGGGCATCTTCATTACCGGCTCATCGATTCTTGGGGGAGGTGTTAGGGCGCCACGTATTTCGACGAAGAATCTCATTAGGTGAGTGAACAAATTAGCAAATTAGCTCTACACTGAGCAAATGCTGATAATCGAATTTAGTATCATTTTCTGCGAAGTCGTGGCCATATATGGCGTTGTACGTCCTCAGCTTCTCTCTTTTCCGGGGATACCTTCATCTCAGTCTCTTAGATCATCGGCATCGTCTATTCTGCAAAACTAGCCAGCGTTCCAGACGATATCCTCTACACCAGACAAAACTACTTTACTGGCGAGTCCACCTTCTCTCCGTACTCCATTAACATCTGTTTATTTGTGATGTTAGGGTTCGCCATGTTCTGGGGCGGCTTCACCGTTGGCATGTGTAACCTCCTTTGTGGTGTCTGCGTCGGCATCACCGGCTCTACCGCTGCACTTTCAGACGCCGCCGACCCCAATCTCTTTGTCAAAATCCTTGTCGTAGAGGTGTTTGGTAGTATATTGGGTTTATTCGGGCTTATTGGTCAGTCTTACACGCGCTTACCCATGTCTCTCCACTACTATGCTCACGATTATGCTCTGTTCTCAGTCGGACTTCTCATGACAAGCTCAGCACAAGAATTCAAGGGCGCAGAATCTTCGCCTATGGCTTCGCTATTTGTGCATTGACTGGCATTCGAGTAGAATGATGGACTCTTCTTTACTATGGATATAATGCATCAATAACAAGGTCAAAGTATATGCTAGTTCGACTTCAATGTCCGTTCGCTCTACAGATCGATTGGTACAGTACTAAGTAAACGTCAATATGTTGTTGGAGTGAAAATAACCAAGACCGATGCTGGTTTCCCAAAGTATGATCTATAAGACCCCATGCTGTGCGATTCTTCCTCCATGATCAATTTCTAACTAGGTCGCATTCGAGTACGCCGTGCATTCGTGGTCGCTAGGTGGGGACCCTGATTGGTGATGAACAAATCCAGTGTAGTTGTGTGTACGTCGAAGTGCGTCGAGATGTATGACGGTGGCAGGCGAATAAGTGGCGATTTTGTGGGGTGAGTGTGGTTGTACACTAGTTCAATTACAAGTGTCTTCCCTGTTGCTTCTCCTGCTGGATATAAATTCTACATTCTGACCATCGGATGAAGACAGGAGGAAACTGACCGTGGTCAGGCGGAGGTCCAAAAACTTCGAGCTCTTTTGAAGGAGCATCAGGATATTCTCGATACTCCTCAATGCTCCTGTTCGCAACCTTCCCCAGGAAAATTCAGGGAAATTGTTCAAATTTCTTCTATATAGTCGGATCATTGACACGAAGCTCCAGCAATTGCAACAATTGGCTTGTCGAAAAAATCATTCCAGGCCGTTTTTGTCCAATATTCAGACCTTAGACGCGAGCTCGTCCTCAACCACGTCACCGATGGTCATTGATCACGCTTACGACGCCTCGATCCGACAATGGACCTCACTGGACTGAGAGTATACAGAAGTGCAAATATTGGACATGGCCAAGGAAAACTCGTGGCACCTGAGCTTGAAAGCCTGGCCTTGTCAGTGTGGATTCTCCCTACCTCTGAATCGTCATCCTAAGTTCGGCCCAACACACCGGAAGTAGAAAAAATTCTGTCCAACGGAATCATGACTTGATTATTATTTATTCATCTGCATCGATAACAGTGTAGATAGTCTTAATGAATCAAAATATCTCAACATTGTGTATATAATAAACGAAATAAACTCAATCATGGAAACATTCGGTTGAATAGAAGCACAGTCTGAATCTTTTTGTTTCCAAGCCAGTGAATTTACAACTAAATTGACAAATCTCGCAAATCAATTTGAAAAGAGTGAAAGGAAGGGTCTCGGTGTCCTTGGAAACATTTATGAATCAAGACTTATCAGTGTTGCAGAGAGCTGAAATGAAATATGAACAATCTTCAGGCCTCTTAGAAAGGATGAAAACTCGACTGAGCCATCACATATCAATGTGACTGATAAGACACTCGTGGAAACCTGCTGTGTTCGCAGGTTACACTAGTCAACACTCACAAGTGGGCCAGGTACTAGGAATCGGCTATGATTGGAAGAGCGAGAGAAAAGGACAAGAGGAAATCTAGGATACAGGAGAGTACTCTATGTGACTAGATGGAGGGAAGCGGATAAGATGTAATCTCGAAGTAGAGCTGTATATATAGTGTGATCGGTCACAAGTGTGACTATATGCATATCCGTAGTAAGCAGTATGTTTACACCCTCACCCAACTAAAGACAAGACAGGACTGTAAAAAAAAATATATATATATAGTTAGTGCTTTGCGGTCGTTCAGTATAATTCCACGGAATTTAAAAGTTGAGGCGGGCCATCACCCCCATTGCGAACCCAATCATCCAGGGCTTCACAGTCGTGTAAGGCACTATAAGGAAGCCAACGGTCCTCGGAAGGGGCTTGGTCCACCCAACGAACCAAAAACTGCCAGCCTCGGCCGCGGCGCCGTGAGTCGAGGATACGGTCAATATCAAATTCTTCATGTCCATCAACAATAGTAGGTTCGGGAATCCCACGTTGACGGCCAGGGAATATAGCAGGATTGTTCGGCACGAAACGCTTAAGTTGATCAACGTAGAAAGACGGGAAGGCATTTGGTTGGTTTGGCATGTCGAGGGTGTAGTGTGATGTGGCCGGGAATGCTTTAAGGATTTTATAAGGTCCATCGAAACGTGCGAAAAACTTCGCTGCGCGTTTTTCACCGGCCTTTTTGAAGACCTCCCGGCAATGGTAAGTTGAAAGCATTACCCAATCACCTTCTTCAAACAATTCGCAAGGACCACGATGTTTGTCCGCCTGATAAGCTTGAACCACCTTGGCAAGGGTAAGATTATCTTGGGCTTCACGAACCATTAAATTTATTCTTTCAAGGAAGGTACGCGCTGCGGCTGCATCGGTGGAGGCATTCGGAACAAGGAGGGAGGGGTCATTTAGTAGAGGTGGGAGTACCCACGGGGATCGGCCATAACGTAGTTCAAACATTGAAAGGCCAGTAGAAGAATTTATGGAATTCATAATGTCGAATCGAATTTTTGGTAACGCATTAACCCATCCCATTTGGTTCCGTTCAACGTAGAAACGGATGCATTGATTAATAGTTTTGTTCGAGCGTTCACTGGAACCATCAGTTTCAGGGTGGAAAGAAGACGACATTTTTATTTTGACCCCGGTCAGTTTGTTTAATGTGGACCAAAATTCGGAAACAAAAAGCTTATCTCTGTCGGACACCCACTCCGAAGGTAGACCATTATCACAATACCAATGATCGAAAACTAGTTTCGCCAGCGCAGGAGCCGTAACATCGATTGTGGTAGGGATAATTTTTAGGTCTGAACCCAAACGGTCCGTCATTGTCAAAATACAATCAAAACCTTGGTCGACAGGTAATGGTCCAATGAAATCCATGGCTACACTTTCGCAACGTCCTTCAGGAACAGGGAGAGGATGTAATACCTTTTCCGTTTTTTGACGTACGACCTTTATTTCGTTGACAATCCTCACAACCTGGCACGTAATATTTGCAAAGGTCGCGCCACATGTGTGGCCAATAATATGAATCCGCCAGCATGGCATAAGATTTGTCCGCACCGAAATGACCGCAAGTGTCATGGGCCAAATGAAACAGATCTTCACGAAGTGACAAGTAAGCAGGAATTACAAGACGACCTGAGACAAACCATAACCCATCACGACGGGAAACATTTGGGACCAGTGAGCCCCCTTCAATTAATTTCAGGATGAAAGGATCATGATCGTAACCCTCTTTGATACGCATGAGGAATTCTCTATTGGCAGTCAGGGAAAGGACCGAGGAGCAAATGAAAGGGTTAGATTTCCAGCTTTCCACATTGGAGGGGCTTTCAATTATACCATGGGCAGGGTCCGAAGGTAAGGCGCCAGCGCGAATTCGACTTAGAGCATCAGCGGCGGGATTATTCTCACCACGAATGTAAGCAATTTCAAGATCAAATTGACTAAGTTCTTCCTGCCAGCGGAGCTGACGCCGGCTCAAATCTTTTTGTGTTTCGAAATTTTCAAGAGTACGGTGATCAGTTAGAACATGAATGCGCATCCCCAAACAGTCTGCACGCCATTTACGGAGCGATCTGACTATAGCGAGTAATTCTTTTTCGTGTACGGGGTAATTTAGCTCAGCTCCTGAGAATTGAGCAGAGTCAAAAGCTACCGGTCGGACCCCACATGAGAACCGCGCCGTGCCGCCAATCGCTTGCATCCGTTACTAAGAATATGTGATTATCCCCAGGATTATCATGGTCAATTGTTGTAAGAACTTGTCGGCTTAGCACGAGCGTTTTTATGGAAATGAATGCATGCTCATGCTCACGCGTCCACACGGGGAAATGTTTTTCACAATCCTTTTTTGTCAATGGTGTCAAGACTCTAGTATGTTCCGCAAGGTTTTCAAGATATCCAGCAATAAAACGAACCATTCCCAGAAAGCGGCGAACCTCGGATGCAGACGTGGGTGTGGGATAATGTAGGACAGCCTCACATTTCGACGATTGAGCTTCCACACCACGGCCAGAGATGTGATGACCAAGGAAGTCTATTTCTAATTGGAAGAATTGGCACTTTTTTGGGTTACAATAAAGTTTGGCTTTCCGTAGTGCTTCCAGAATGAGTTGTACATGATGGGCATGCTCCTCAGCATCTTTTGACCAAATGATAATGTCGTCAAGATACACATGGCAAAATCTCCCAATGTATTCACGGAGTGCTTGAGTGACGCGACGTTGCTGAATTGCGGGGGCATTCCGCAATCCTTGAGGCATGACTAACCATTCATATTGTCCCAATGGGGTTTGTACAGAAACTAATGGCACAGAACCAGGTGACATGCGACTTTGGAAAAAGGAATCCGTCATATCCATCTTTCCCCAGATTTGACCTTTTGCGCAATCGGCCAAAATGGAATCGATACGGGGCAGGGGATGGCGATCAGGAATTGTATTAGCATTTAGCTTCCGGAAATCATTTACCCAGCGGGGCAAAGCGTTAGGGTCAGATTTGGGGATGAGAAAGGCAGGCGAGGAAAACTGGGAAGAAGAGGGTCGAATTCCACCTGCCTGCAGATGCTTCTCAATAAGTACTGACCAAGCCTCTCGATATTTGCGAGGGGAAGCATATCCACGGGATTGCATAGTTAAATTAGCATCTTTAAGGGAAATGTTGCAAGTGATGTCCGTCGGGAGTTCATCAATGTGAGGGATATCTCCGAAAACGTCAGCAAAACGCCACTTTAGATCTTCCCCACGACGTTGTAAATTTTCAAGTACAGCCAATTGTTCAATTCGAGAATGGACGGCAGCTGCTACATTAATGGGTAGTACAGGATCGGATTGACGTAAAAGAGGGTGGTCGCGAAAATATGCGCGTAGTTCTACAAGGACAATTTTTTTCTTTTCTAAAGTATCTTCATAAGTATCAAAAACATCACGGCGACGTTGTTTAGGGCTGCGACACGGCAAGGGAGGAGTTGGTATATGAGGGTTCATGAGATCAAAACCAGAGGTCTTGTCAATGACAGTCCGAGCTGCATAATCGGTAACAAGAAAGTTGTGGGCCAGAAAAGGAATGCCCAACACCATAGGATAACATAAAGAAGGGACAACGAGAGCACGAACCACACGAGAGGACCAACCTCCAGAAGGATCGTCAAGAGATAATTTACAGAAATGTGTAGCCTCAAAAATTTGAGGCGTGCCTTCGGACATAGCGACGGACATTTGTTGTGGGCGGTGAAGAGTGCGCTGCTTTAATCCTAATTCGAGAACAATATCAGAACGGATTAAAACAAAAGGGCACCCGTCATCAATTAAAAGGGAACATGAAATTTCAGAAGTAGAACTTTTTAAACGAGCTGACCATACGAAATGTGGAAGTTCAAAAGGCATCGGAGATACACGTACATTGTCCGAAACGACACCTGCACCATTTTCACTTCCCGGCGAAGGCTCTTTCTCGATCATCGCAATAGCCTTTGTTCGAGAAGCAGGTGAAGGAGACATGGACCCGTCAGACCAATCCACATCCTCGTCGGTGTCATCGCGAGTTAAATGGTGTTGTCCAATCACCGGGGCAACAATTTGAGAAGCCCGTGAAGAGGAAGAAAAGTCAGAACGGCGCATGGAAGGACCAGCAAAGGAACCATAAACGTTTTCACCACGCGCCACATGAGCTACAGAGCGAGCGCCATAAATTGCCGCAGCAGGAGGGGCACAACTCGTATCATTTGTAATGTAAGCGCTGATATCCTCAAGAGGAGGACCTTGGATGGAAGATACCGAAGTTGCTGAATTGGCCTGTTTAAGAATAGCGTTGTACAATATAGGACGACCAGTCGATTTATGAGCTGCAATAGCCCAGTCGACCATCTCCTTGGTGAGTGGCCGCCAGGGAACTGAAAGCGTAGCACCCGGGCACTTGTCAAGATTAGACGCACAAGTACCCCACGCAGTACGACACTTCACGCAGGCACTAATACGCGACAGCAATTCTCGTTGTTCCTTTTGCATAGCCTCCGGCATCTTACTGAAGGCTCGCATGTAGAAAGGCCCCGTTCCAGTGTTTGATGCAGGTCCGTCAGTAGTTGAACGTTTATTAGGATGACCGCTAGGGTCACTGGTAGTGGTTCGTTTGTGAGGAGGGAAGTTGTTACCATTACCCGAAGGAAAATTTCCACGGCGGCCAGTACGATCAGCAGACATTAGGCGAGTTTTAAAGCGTACTTCAAGATCCCGACAAGAAGTGATCCAATCTTTATAGACCGTCGTCTCATCAATGACGGTGCCCTGCTCAGAAAGAATGGCCGTCAGAGTTGTCGAGATGCCACGTGCGAGAATTGTAAGAAGTTGAGGGGGAGTCAGGTAATTTCCAACTCCTTTGAGGCGATTGTTACACCCCTCCACTTGTGAGAGGTATTCATCAAAACACCCAACCCCGCCAACAGACATGCAAAGATCGTCCCGCCGAGCAGAATGGACCTGGGCCCAGTCATGTCCGCAGAACTTGCGACGAAGGGCATCCAGGAAGGGAAAGGTGGGAGGACCAGTATCGTCCACCGGATCTTTTAGTTCCAAGGCTAACGCCAGGTGTGTAGCTTTCTCGGAACAGAACCAATCTCGGTGAACACGGGCAGAAAAAGCGTCCACAATTACTTCACGTACGTTGCCGATAGTCTCCTCGGAACGTAATTTAGCAAATCGACGTGAATCTTCGTATAGATCATCGAGATCTTCAGGAGACAAAACCGCTGTCGGCTTTACGCGAGGCCCGTATTTGCCATGGCTTAACTCGATATTCCCAGATTCGTTAAGTCGAGCGGTCATGATATCTTCGTCTGATGAAACAGGTGAATAAGTGCGAGGAGTGACTGGAACAAGAATCTGGTTTGGAGAATTAGGGAGACTTGGAAGCTGAGGAATTTCTGAATTCGAAGATGAAGATGAATGAGCTGAAGGATCGAGAACAGGTGTCTTGACAGAACTGCGTAAACCTTCACGGCGAGGACATGAGTCAGCCAGGGTAGGTGAAGGAAATCTATTAAATGACGAGTTGTTAACAGGTCACTCGCAAAAGGAGAAGAGGAGGTGCGACACAGAAAAGATGGATACGAAGACGTTGACAAGTTATGGTCACGAAACGTGAGATACGTGATGGGTCACGAAAAGCGAAATACGAAAGACGAAAGGCAAGATACGAAAAATGGAGGTACGAAAGACGAAGGATGGAACACTTGTTGAAGTCTGAAGTCTTCTTATGTATGAAGGCAAGGACAACACGTTAGAAAAAACTGGTTTATGCGGATATTTTCTTTTAAGATTGGGCAAACCCAATTCAAGCTCGAAACGTAGTAAAAAAAAAGTGGAAACCTGCTGTGTTCGCAGGTTACACTAGTCAACACTCACAAGTGGGCCAGGTACTAGGAATCGGCTATGATTGGAAGAGCGAGAGAAAAGGACAAAAGGAAATCTAGGATACAGGAGAGTACTCTATGTGACTAGATGGAGGGAAGCGGATAAGATGTAATCTCGAAGTAGAGCTGTATATATAGTGTGATCAGTCACAAGTGTGACTATATGCATATCCGTAGTAAGCAGTATGTTTACAACTCCCGCGTGATGAACAAGACGCAGACGCAATCAAACCCCAGCGTCAGAATTGCTAGCCATCGACTCCGCTGAAACATAAGCCTAAGGAACCTTATTGAGAAGTAGTGAAGCAGATAGAGGTGTTTCCTGTGTACCGCGCAAATATCTCTACGTTCACGGAGTGGGATGAAATCGAAGAGTTCCTACTAAAAAACAAAACCCCGATCACATGTGTACTGTGTAGACGTCTGAAAGACATTATTTCACCCCAGACATACCAGGCTATCGTTGGAGAGCGATGCGCCAAATGACAGGATTTGGACTATTTGGAAGATCTGGTAACGCTTCTGGCACTCCGGGCGCAGGTGGTTCCGTAATACTCCAGTGTACCAAAAAAGAAGTCTTTGTGGCATCTAGTTACAAAAGTTTGAGTTGGTAAACAGACAAAGGACAATGCAACAACACACTGTTAACCACGAATCCGGTTATGTGGTATCCATATTTAAACAGGCTATGATGTTGTTCCTTGCTGTATTCGCAGTCAGGGTGTAACGTATATATATGACAAGCAAAGCAATAAGTTGACTTACTGAACAATAGCAGTGTCAGAACCTGTTTTGAGCGCACTTTTGATCATCAAGCTCTCACATAGTTTGACAATGTCGCCGTCGTTCGGGACGCAGCATTTCCAGAGACTCTCACAGTTTCCGTAGACGCCATGGTGCAAGTTGCACTTGGTATCTCAGATTGAAAGCTGCCTTGGCGCACGCATTTTGAAAGGACGAGGAAGGAGGGTCGCTTCAAGTGGTGCCAGACGCCACCGGCGCTGCTGCCGTAGTCTCGAAGCGAGAGGCCTCTAGATCTATGTGAAAAAAATCCAACCATTAGAAGCAAGTTCAACAGACAGAAGTACAACATACTAAAGCCGATATGGATGATCGCCACTCAGTGTTCGTTTGAATGTTCCTTTCTCTGACCTTGAAGATTAGACCAAAGGCCACCACGTTGCGAGTTCTGAGTGCTCGAACTCGTCTTTTCTGAGCTTAGGATCGACAACTTTGTTCTCTTCGGGATGATAACTGTAGAGCAGAGAACGATAGGTTATTGAAGTTGTCCCCTTACAATTGAAGGACAAACTGTAGAGTTCAACGAAGGCGACAGATGATAGCACAAGGAGGGAAGAGAGTCTGAACGTTGTCTGATTTAATGACTAGATCAAGTGGAATGACAGGTCCCCTTGCGTAAGAAAGCTAAGAAGAACGTCAGTGTATGTGTTCTGGGTAGAGGTAACAAAAAGGACATATACATACAGGTAATGCCAGAGATAGCTGGTGTGACTTGTGAGGCAGAGTGTACTCAGCAGAGTTTCATACTCACAGTACACGAAGTTACCTGTTTGTCGATTAAACAGTTTACCTCGGATCTGAACTGGGGCTAGTGTATGCCAGCCTTGCGGGTCTGTGATGGGTCCTGGTATGGTTGTGTTCTCCTCATACGCAACTTGTCTGAGCTGTGAAGGAAGCTGTGTGCAGTGCACGGTGCGCTGAGTATCAAAGCTGAATAAGTTCACATTATATTTCGATTAATTAATGGATACGTACCTGCCCAATGGAAGAGATCTTCAAAGAAGAAAAAGATTTGCCATGACATAGTAGAAAGCGAAGGGAAGGGGACTTGGTAGGTCTTCATTCCAACGAACTCGGACATAGGGTAGAAGAGCCAAATCTAATACCAACATGTCAGTGTGCATTACTTCATGCATATCAGGGGACTAACAGCAGGGGGTTCGACAGTAAGATGAGCCCAAAGCACCTGTTTGGTACAGTCCCATTGCTCTTGGGGAGTTAGAATCTTGTCAGGCTGTAGCTTCCATTTCTGGAAATATGGAATAGCGTCGATGATAATCCAAGGAAGAGAACGCTCGAAATATACAATCTGCATAAAATTGTTGAGGATATACGGAATATCACAGTTCATTACATACTTCATGCATGAGGAAACTAAGCATTCCAGTCGCAATGATTGGATTTCCCCACCAAACATACCAGGCAACCCATTTTTGTTCCGCCTAGTTCAATGAAGAAAAGTTGGGGCCGGCGTAGAGTGCATCCATAACATTGCCTGCTTCTACAGTCCCGTTGAAAGCCATCGCGGGTAAGAAGGAATGGACGAGGTAAGAAAAGATTTACTTGAAGGCAAGAAGCCACCTGGATGAATACGTACGTAGATGAACGGTGTTGTGATTCTGGATGCAATTTGTTCAATGAATTTCTGTGGGGGGATGAGGATGCATACCGATGGTCCGTCTTCAGGAAACCACGAGAAAAGCGGGCAATTACTTCATATTGTACGCTCGCCCTGGCATGCCGTTCCATGAAAGTTTGTGGAAGACGAAAGACCTCGACCCGAGGCGCATCTTTCGACCCTATAGTGATCATGAGGTCGGGAGATGTGCAGAGAAAGGCCAATCATGTACTCCTTGACATTTGCCCTTTGGACTGGTACGCCCGTCAGACAGTGACCATAATGTTTGGTTCTAGTCAAGGAAGATATGTTGCTTCGCGCCCGAAAAGTTTTCCCCTGAATCTACGAGATGTTACTATGTGTAGACCTTCCTCGTGTACAAGCAGTGTACAAGTAAGAACTCTTACCGAAATTACTACTGCATTTGAGGATTCGCCACTTTCAACGGCCTCATTTAGAAGAACATCTAAACTCTCCGTGGTGGGATTAGGTTGGTCAGCGAATTCGAAAAGGCCTGGCTAATGTTGTTTGCATGTATACTTCGTACTCATATGACGGCGAGGAACCACTCGAAGTTGTGTACATGAATACGAGAACCAGTTGAGCCTAGTAACATACTCACTTTCTTCCACGGTATCGTCTGAGGGCCACGACAGCATCTTTGCAGGTTCTTGGGGACCGAAGACCCATACAAGTCCGACGAGCACTACAACAGCAATAGCGAATTTTTTCCATGCAACCGCTTGAGCTTCTTGTTGCCCATCCTACTGGGTCCCGTTCCGCCTTCGAGTGGCTCGTGAATGCTGCTTCGTGGAGAATTTACCATTTGTATAATTGGTTCCTTGTCTATCGGTACTTTCACTGGCCAAGTTACTAGATTTGTTATGGAGGTGCAAGTTTCGTGAACGAGAGTGACTGGCTATGTTGACTGTGGGGACAACGGCCCCAGCTTATCGACCGGATGAGTTAGAAAAAGATGGAAGGGGATGTTTCATATCGTAGTCGACGCTGCCATTCATGATGACTTTTGAGCGTCTGTTCCTGGCATAGCTAGCTTCGATCTGCATGGCGCTGTTCTCATTTCCTTTGTAGCAACTTAACCAGATGGCGTATGTCTTTGCAGTGATCATGATATATAATATAATCCTCTATTAGTAAATCAAACTTAACGTTGACTAACGATTCAAATCATTGTCTAGACAGATTAACGAAAACAGATCTGCTATGAGAATAGTCAAACAGAGCAGCATGAGAGACAATATGGTCTAAACCAATTATCTCCTCAGTGTCACTAAGCTGAGATGAGTACGTAGCTGACTGGAGATATGGGTATTGGAGAAATGGGTCATAGATATTTTTTGGCAATTGTCGATATGCCCGCACATGAAGACGAAGTGCAGAACGGGTTGGGGCATTCTCGATAAACTGAATTTGACCCGGTATAGGAATTTCACTTGCGGCTGAACGGTAGATGATGGTTGCATTTCCTATGTGTGTCTCCACACCAGAGAAATTGACACCGTCGGATTGGGCGTATGCACGACGTGAACCCTTAGCCTGAACGAAATCTTCTGTCGATCTGGGAGCATTGACTGGCACAAAGCATTTGTTGAAGATGACCTGTACTTGTTTAATTGCTTGGGGACAGTCCGGGCGATGAAGCCAATGGCGGAGGTTAGCTGTACGAGCCCAGCTCTTGCTAATTGTTGATTCCATAGGCCCTGAAGACGAAAAGATCGAGGATGATTATGAGTATTCAAAGCGGACAACTGACATACCGCCTATGTGATCGTTGGTTTTGATTTTCTGCAATGCGCCAATCAATCGCTCAAATGGAAAACACCACCATGATATTACCGGTCCAAACAAAACCAAGAAATCAAATATATGGACAGCTGCATGAATATTCGGGCGTGGTATACCTTCGCGAGTGTGAGGATATAATGCGCGCAAATCCCTTATCCACTCTGTTATATATCTCCGAAAGGCATGGGTGTGAGAGAGTGTCACATTGTATCGGATAGCTATTGATGCTGCTTGAAACAATGCCATTGTATGGTTGAGAGCTTTCACTAACAAAGCAGATTTAGCGTCACTAGCTGTAGGGGCACAGCCATTATCATCGCCCCAGAGTGTGATCAAAGCAACTGGAAGATACACTGTGCTGAGAGTGCACCATTCATCAGCTTTGATTGACCCGGCCTTTGCGTCCCCATAGTTCTTAGGAACTGAATTAAGCCAGGATGGCGTTATAGTCTCTTGTATGACGTGCCGAATATGAGCGAGAGTTTCCGCCGTTCCAGTTGGAAGAATATAAATGTCAGAGCTGAAGGGTTGTTGTAATCTCTGAAATATTTCCCGTGAGTTACATAGACATCATATTATATCGTATGATTGAATTATTCACCCAGTTCAGTAACAAGGCGATAAAGTGATTTTTTTGGGTTGCTGATTTGGTGAAAGGGAAGATGAGTTGACGAGAGTTTTTGTCGGCAGAGCGTTTTCGTGAACGTTTATTATAAATTGAAGATATCTGTTCGTTGATATCATTTAGATGTGTCGGCAGTGAAAGAGTATGTGCAACAAAGTGTAAGGCATCACGAGGGGCACTATTTTCTAAACGTGTCCACATTCCTTCTAGAGTGATAGCTTTCTCCCCTTCAAGAGCCAAACATAACGTTTGATGGATGTTTGCCACACGGGGAATATGTTTCTCGGACAACTTGTTGCACCCACCCGGAACAAGATCATCGTCATATGGAATCCAAGGCCAGTCGAAAGCATACTTGAAGCCATCGGAGCTGATTTTGGCACAGGATCCATCTAAACGGAGTACATGTCGGCAGTGATATTGTATGAGACCTTCGAGAATACAGTGCATAGAATCAATTACAAGCATTCTTGTGGGGTCCCAATATTCCAACATCCAAAGGGAAGACCATCGAACTCCATGATCCTCCCAGATCTTCTTTTGCTCACCAAGGATTGAGGCATTCTTGTAGGCATATGCCCAACGTCGTAATTCCTTAACATCCCGGGGGGTCCAGTGATCACAGTCTGTATTGAAAACTTGTTCCGTTCCGCGCAACTGACAAATACTGCAAATAAATCTGGACCTTATCCCCTGGAACCCGGCCACCTTGCAAGCAGCAGGGAGATCATTTACAGAAAGCAAGATGCCAGCTTCAACAACTACAGGCACCTCCGATGACGCAGTTCGAGAAACCAAAAAGCCAGGTGACCAGGCTTGAACGAACTGATCAATAACAGGTTGAACAAAGTGATCTATTTCGCCTCCTTTGGGTTCGCTTGGACCTGGTATGATACCAGCAAGAAACATATTCTCGGGTAAATAGCGAATGGAAGGATCCAGTGCCAAGTTTGCACTTGATATTACCCCTATCGAATCATGAGCGCCTCGATGTGTGATACCATTAGGATTGAAAAAGTCAAGATGAATAGAGAAGGCAAGTCGTATTTTGTCCCCGCGGTCTACAAAGAGTTTACCATTGGGTCCTTGGAAATCTCTGATGAATTCGGCCTCAAACACATCGTGAACACTGGTCGTCTTCACATGATTTCCGGTTTGGATATCGTGAAACGCTTTATCAGTGGCGCGAACCGATTGCTCCAAATAAGTAGAGTCTAGAAGACAGCGTGCAAGATAGTCCGGGAAAGAGCCTACAAGGTAGGGCTTGATTGGCTGAGGAGTACCGTCTTTGCGACGAATGAGAAGGGGAGCTCCACAAGTAGCAGTGCCTTCTTTCCCCACTATGACATTAGGACAAGTTTCAGGCCAATCGTAGACACCATCTTCTAATGGTAGGCCTTTTGTTGTAGAATTGCAGGAGGGACAGGTTGCATATGGAAAGAAGGTGCCCTCAACGTCGAATTTTTGTAGCGCATCGGACAGAGAGGTGGGCATATCGGAAATAATGCCATTTTGGGAAGGTGAGAAAGTATTCGTTCCTTCCATGGAAACATTGGTTGTCATGGCCAATTTGATCAGCAAACCAGTCACAGCAACCAGGAAGTTGCATTGGGTAGTCGATAATTCCATAACCGTGTTACAAATAATAATCAAGACAATAAGAACCTGGTTGATTTGATCCAAATGTACAATATCTGTATTGTAAAGATGATCTTGTAAAAGCATCAATCCAGGAGCGAGCAACAAGTAACGGGTAACACACCTGCATTCACGGGGATTGGATTCGTTGGAATAAGTGGTGAATACAGAGCATAGATTTTCGCATAGAAGCTGGTCATGCGAACACGCAATTCCCTTCTTTCATCCCTCAATCCATCTAACCCTCCTTTTTTCAGCTTGAATTTTGCTTTCAGGTCGAAGTCCCCAAGTCTTTTCAAACCACGTTTCAAGAAAGCGGTTGCTTCATCGAGCAGTGCTGTTTGTGGTTCCACCGAAAGCATCGCAAAGTTTGCATTGAAAATTTGGGCATGAAGCTGCTCATATCGATCACGGATACAATCTAGTTCTTTGAGTTGGTCGCGTTCAATTTTTCCAGTGTGATGGCTGAGATGGGATGGGGAGCGAGAACACAATTGCCGCGGTGGTGATTTCGACTGCGTGAGCGGAAGCCTTCGCCCGAATCGTTGACCTGGACGTAACGTGGGCGAGGAAGCAGTCGCCTGCATAGTAGCCACGGTCTCTAAGCTCTCCACAGCATCGGAAATATCGAGGGACTTCAAAGTTTGAGGTACCAGTGGTATCCGTTCCTGATAAAATTCGCTGGAGGACATGAAAAGCTTGTGGTGCGTAGTTGTATCAACAGGGGTTGCTGTCAATACTGCAGCTGTTATTAACGTTTCGACATTCTTTAATTGATCGTTGACAGACGGCATCGACTCGTTCTATATTCTGTAGTCAGCATCCATTGTGCCGGTCCTGACTACAACTTACGGGGTGGACTGTGGAATCAGACGAGAAAGTCGAAAAAGAACCTGGCATGCTGAAGCTACCGTCTAATGACTTTTTTGGAAAAATCAATCAGCCATGTCTTCCTCTGAAGTTATTAGCATATACCTCCCCAGCTTCAGGTTCATGCGAATGTGGCGGTCGCGACAAGGGAAGCTGCGATGCGACAGGGGTTCAGTGAACAAGTGCTTCCATTAACCACAGTATTTACCTCGTTTTTAGACTTACTCAGACGTTTCTGTATCAAATATCCGGTCAGTACAAGAACACGAAAATGATGTGCTACACACATCAAGCTCTTTGGTATCCTCAGCATATGAGGTCAATGCGGCCATTAAAGATGATAAGTTCATTTCTGAAGATCCGGAGGCCTAAGCGGCGGCGGATTAGTTGCTTAAACTCATTCTTGGCAGGTCATTTTATGCGAGTCAAGCAAGTGATATCCAAATAGAGCACATGTTACGAACACAAAAGATGGATACCAGAGGACGAATAATTCTAATTCCTGAACAAGAACAATCTATTCATCATCTAGAACAAGGATTGAATAAATCATGATCAGTTATGCTACTGGGAGAGACAAACTGACAAAAGAAAATCAAAAAAATTTCCTATTTGAAACGACAGACAAGACGCTGTCATCAGTCGCAACCTATGATCAGGTTCACATTCAAGAGAACAAGGAGAAAAAAGGAACAAAGATGAACACAGTGCCATTGGGAACAAGGGACTGAGCAATCTGGACGGCGTCATGCAAAGAAGATAACGAAGTATAAGGGGCAGTTTGACTTCCTTGGCAATATTTGGTACCCGAGGAGTTTGGACGTTTGCGTGAAGATTGGTACCCGAGGAGTTTGGACGTTTGCATGAAGATTGGTATCTGGTAAGCTTAAGGTATATATATATATCAGTCACGGTACGAGCAAATTAAGGGTACATCCATTCCACATACTACTTAGCTTTTACGATCATGTCCTGCTCCCTCGTTCATAGGATAGGATAGGCATAGAATTCGGATAGTCATCACGACCGATTAAATTTGCCAAGTATAGGGCTGAGACGTCAAGGCACAGGATCACTGGTAGAATGCGTATCATGACCACATGCGTTCACCAGTACTAGTGTGTAATAGACGATACGCTCGGTATTACGATACAAGGCCTACGACGATGGGCTTCCCCGAATTCAGAGCGCAAGCATGCCTCCACCTATTCAGCGCTAAGTTCTGGAAGCCCTATTTGAGGTCCACTAATATGGTACACATCAGTGGTAAAGCAGTATTAATGACGCGCATCCTGACATTGTGAAAACATTTGTGAACTAGGGCATCTCCGTCTCTGGAGGAAGCGGTCATTGACAATAATCAAAACAGAGACATGAACTCACTGGCAATTCGAGTGCGCTGCTTCTGTGGCGTTTGGTGCTGGGTTCAACTTGGAAGCAGACCTCTATTGTTCAATTCTGTTTTTTTGTTGTCGAATCTGGGGAACTTGCTAGTCACACGCATTGAATTGTTGCCACCTTCTTCAAAGCGTACACTACCGTTTGGAACGTCAGGAGATTGCCTCAGATCATCATCATGGGTTGAAGAAGGAACACGAAGTCCTACATGGGAAAGCACCAAACATACATTAGCAAGAATACCACTCGTGTTGTCCTGAAACTCGCCTAGCAGATACCACTGGTGTTGTCCTGAAATTTGCCCAGCAGAGTGGCTGGGGAACGTGAAATAAGGACTTCGTCCGCGATTCGTACTCCTGAAAATTTTGAGAAGAATAGATTACTTGATATTGAAACTGAAGAAACAATAAAGGGTGACCTTTGTTCTCGAACTGCTGGCGGTTCGACTGCAGCTCTTCACATGTGGTCATTACTTTCGCCGACTTTAATTGTTATTGATTCCGTGAAATTTTCCCAAACGTACTTTATTATACCTCGCAAGCTATTCAGAGTTGTTGGTAGCTAGCTCACGAGATACGTAGTATTAATTGTAAAATATGTTTGGAGGAGCATGCGTCGGCATAGGGAGGTAATAACAAAAGGTGATTAGTAATCTATTGAACGAGTCATTGACTTCATGTTCCCCCGTGTTCAATCAATGACTTAAAAGCGAAAGTCTTTCCTTTCAAAATCAGCTCTCGGACTTCCTACAATCAAGTTGGCCGTTCGCGTAATTACTTATGTCTCAGTTGCCCCTTCCATCTTCACAAAGCATCCCGTCCATTTCACGCAAACGGCAGATCGAGGTCCTGGCAGAGCCTACTGAAGATTCCTCCAAAGTTCGTGTCATTCAGCTTGCTGGTATTGATCAAAATCAATTTGACAATGTACGTTGTAAATCACTAGTACTCTTCAGCCCTGACTGGCCCTGACCGATACCAGGAACGAGCTGCGCGGCGCTCATTAGAAGAACAGATGACTGTCCTGTTAAAGGAAAATCAAGCCCTCACGTCCGAAAAAGAACAGACGAAAAAGCAAATTGCTGAACTGGTGAGCATCTCACCCATGCATGGCCATCTTGATCAAGAACCAAATTGAATTACATATGTCCTTTAGACCGAGGAAATAGATTGATGGGAAGTGACCTCTGTCATCCAAGGAGAGACACTCATGACTCTGGTTGTTCATTTTCAGGCGTAAGAAACTGTTCTAACAATATATATTTTTCTTTGTAGAAGGAAGAACTTACAAATATTTTCGAGGAGAACGCATGGGCTTTTGGGGGAAGAACACGTCTATTCTCAAGGAGGTTCTCATCAGGTAGTGTTTCTGACTCAAGTACTAGTATCTTCATTTTGTCCTCTAACATTTCCTCGCAGACCGATATTCATGGCCTCAGCATACACGAAATTCGTCAGCAGGTGGTTCGCATGGTTCGTAGCAATTCTCCTATGTAATATGTTCGGTTTTAGTCCTCACTTTCGCAAAGAACAAGAGGAAAGCCGAATGGAAGGCTGCTCTAGACGAACTCGTACGTACGATATGCTTTGAGCTTAATGCTTTGCTAATCACTCAATAGACTCACGAGCGAGAAAAGGCTTTGGGTGAGAGAGACGAAGCTCTTCGGGCCACCGGTGAATTATCCGAAGCCTCTCATCGGGCAATTGAACAAAAAGAGACCATACTACAGCAAACGGTTAGTGGCTTGCTAATATATACCTTTGAGTCATATTATCACTGATTGTGCGACAGCTTTATGAACGAGATGAAGCCTCACGTCGAGTGATTTCTACTATTCTTGTCATAGTTACCTCTCACGCCCTTACGTTCGTCGTCACAGGTGACCGAGGTAACAAGTATTCTTCAACAAAAAGAGGCAGAACTGCGGGAGATTGTGAGCATCAGCGTGCTGTATATGGTCTGCATATTAATCATATTTCAATAGAGTGTCGAACGGGCTGAAGCAGTCCATGAAAAAAACGAAACTCTTGAAAAATGGCGGCAGGTTCAGGCCAACGCAGCGGATATCATCAGTCAGGTAAGTGTTCGTTAAGAATATCTTCATCAAATGTACATGTAATGACTTAGAATGTGATTAGACGAGTGCAGCGGCAGATAAACTTCGTCGACAAGATGATATCCTTCAGCAAATGGTTTGTTTCCGATGTCTTTAAGTCATACTCTTCACTGGTCTAACCACTTCCTCTCAGCGCGATGAGATTGCGCAACAGCAACGTTCTATAATAGAAATGGTAAGTGAATAGCAGATCTTCGGAGTCATTCTAGATCTCTCAATGCCCTATTAGCAAAATCAGAGAGACCAGGCTTTACATGACAAAGTGAACATGTATTCTTCTTCACTCAAGTCCTATTAATTAATATACAATCAAGGTTACATTGGAATCAGAGATATTTCATCGTCAGTCAAGAGCCCGAGCGGCATCCCCGAAGGGCAAAACTCGTCAACCTCGTACCCGCACAGCAGATCGCGACGGAGATGCTGACATGGATGCTGATGATGAGGATGAGACCGGGGCACCAAATCGCCACTCCGAAACATCTGCCACCCCCTCCGACGGCGATACTCCTAGCTCAAACCCATCCGAATCGACAACGAATAAACTGTCTTCTGATTCCGCGACTTCAGCCAATTCTGCATCGTCTGGGACAGGGAAACCTTCCAGTGGAGTGTCGTCCTCTAGCATCGATGTCGCTGCCATTGTCAGTGAAACGTTGCGACAGCTAAACCAAGTGCCTATTTCGACCACTCGAAAGCACAAGGAAGGCAGTGTTGCTTATGTAAAACAAATAAAGAAGGCTGGATTGAGTGCGTTACCGAAAAAACTGGAAAAAGATTGGAGGGTACGTTTACTATTGCTGTGAATTGCCTCATATTGTGACATTTGCTCCAGAGTCATATTTGTACTTGCTTTTGCAAGGCTACAGGATCTACATCGGTCAATACATTCCAAACTTATCATCCCATTGACACAACCATCGCAGTTGAATTCGCCACAGGAAAAGGTTCTGGTCCTGAAGGCGAGTCTGAGTACCGTTTGTACTTTGGCAATGAATGGCGCAAAGCAAAGTGGAATCACATTGTTGTCCGGAACATAATAACATTAATTAGCTCGCAGAAAGAACAAGCTCACATTTATGGAGATTTGTCCTCCGAAGTCATAGAAGCTTACGTTTGGGACTTGGTAGCACAGGCCCGCGTTTCCTGGAGGGCCCGCCTACCTCGTCCTCATGTAGCTGAATCACGTTGGGAAACGCCGGCAGAGGCCCGCACTCGTGCTGAGGAGTATGAAAGCAGACGCGAGATGGAGTTACGGGTGAATTCTCGTAAACGTAGTGTGAGTGATTCTGTTTTCCTTGTTGTGGTGCTACATTTGAATTTCACGGTCTTCACAGAAATACGTTGAACGCAAAGATGGCGTAATCAAAGCTTCTGCATCAGCATTTGATACTAGGAAGTGGACCATGGTACAGAATGTCCTGCTCAAATGCGGTATAGAGGTGCAGTCCTCTGATAACACCGACGCAGACGATGAAGTCAATTCACCCGCGGCACTCCGCACCGCTGTTCCGCATTATCGACGACGCATCCTCGGCGTTGTTTTCGAAGACTTAGACACCAAGATCAAAGAACTGAACTGACGCGTTGCGCGTGATACTGGAAAACGCATAATACCCAAGGCATCCAGGATACGTATCCGATCTCAAATCAAGACCAAGCGAACCATTGCTTGCAAATTGCCCGAGAGCTGCTATCATGCCCGTTTTGTCCGGAGTTTAGATCCTCTTGCTCTCGAAAACCTGGGGGTGAAGAGAGTTGAGATTGATTTGTTCGACAAGTGGGCAAACGCCCAAGGCAATTCAGACTCAATGGAGGAGGTTTAGGTTATTGTACATGTAGTTAACCTGATATCGAACTCCAATTTCACGAAAAATCTAGTATAAAGTATCATGCAAAGGCTGAGAGCCCGGGAGTCTCATATTTGAATTGTATACCATCTTCAGGTCTCTATGTATACTCTCAAGGATTTAAGTATTTTTTCAATTGCAATCGAAGGTACATAGCAATATTAAGCTGACTAGAATCGTTGAGCAGTCACGTGGGTGTCGATGCAACTCCCGAATCTTATCTTTCCGAGTCGTCTATAGCTATATATCTCTTCGCAGCGCAAAGCCTATAGACAGATTTATCATAAGCTGAGGTTGCCTTTTTCATCTTGCCATGACAGATGCTGGGTTACTTATGCTCGCTGCAGGAAGTTACGGACGAATAACGTTGTCGTTTCATCATGAATGATTCAGTGCTTCGTGGTGCAATTTCTTTGATACCTTCTGCACTAGCGTTCGAATCCCCTTTCATTCCCAGTCAACTTGACGAGGTGGAGAATGTCGATAATTACCGACCTGGAGGTTTCCATCCCGTGAAAATTGGCGACAATTTTTCTGCTGGGCATTACAGGATTATACATAAACTTGGATTCGGTGGATCGTCTACTATCTGGCTAACTCGCAACGAAAAGTTTTCAGAAACAGGCTCTGGAAAACTAGTAGCTGCGGGCTGATGAATCAATTGCAACTACCGACTACCCCGACCTATAGCTAGTTATCCCCAGGTTGCTACAGCGGACCGGACCGTCTCTCTATTCGAGAACGATATTGATTATGCTCTTTGGGGAAGATCCCGGCTTCTAATGTAGATCCGATGTTCGAAAATACCGAGATGAAGGTAGATGCAAAAGAAGTCAATCTCCTGGCAGACCTTTTAGAGAAAATGATGAAGTACCGCCCAGAGGATAGGATAAGAATAGGAGAGGTTGTCAATCATCCATGGTTCGGGTACAATCTAATAGTGAGAACTTGTACGAGATACTCTACTAAGTTGTGATGTACTCAATGAGGCCCTTCAGCATTCTCGAAATATCGTCCATCGCTGTATACCAATCCTTTTCTAATTCCTGCCTCTCGTCCTCTGTAAGACTCTCCAAACCTTCGCGCCACCATTTAACACAGGTAATGATAAGCATCCATCCGTTCTTCCCGGATTTATTGAGGCTTTTCCAATCGGTTCCGTATATGGAGACTGGGTTCAGTCTATTCTTTGACACTGAATATGACCTCCATGGTGGTTGAAGCGAGCACCACCAGGTCCAAACACTTTCGCCGGAGTGTTGAACCAACGCGACTGTAGAAAGTGCAGGGATACTAGCAGATCTCCGTTTGCTCCAGTCATTTAGCATCCTTGGGCGAAGCAAGTCTGCTAGTTTACTCTTTGGATTTTTCCACTGATGGATTTGTTCAAAGCGCATCCATAGCTGTAACAATTCGGCATACTCTACTCCAAAATCACGGTTCAAAAATTCGAATGCTTGACCAAACCATGGTGGAGCCGAAGAGAAGGGGAAAAGTGTCATGAAGTAGGTTTTGAGATTTGGGCCATTATCAGATGCCGATTGGACTTGTATGTTCTTCAGCTCCCTGAAACCATATACTCAACATACGCACCCTGATCCCTCCTTCTGTTATGGATGACGAGTCATGGTCAACCTGCACAGTCCAATTGCGAGCTCCGACTTCAGGGCATTCATTGCCTGAGTTGAAATCCTACTTTCAAATGAATGATTATACATTTCAAATCGCTGATATTGACGTACCAGCTCACACTGAATCCCGACTTCGGCTTTCATTGTTTCCACGATAACATTCCCTTGATTCACTTGATGCCTATTCACCAGGGTCTGCAGATGTTGAACTTTGGAACGAAGAGTTAGTATTTCGCTGGCAAGGCTGATGTCTTCAGGTTCGTCATAGTCATCGATTTGCCTTCGCTGTTTCTATCATGAAGCCATTGACAGTTATCCAAGTCAAAGGTACATCATTGAGACTAACTTTATTTTGTGTCCTCGAGGGACTGGAAAGTCGACGTTTCAAGGTTGGTGGATAAAATGGGGGCTTTTTCAACATCGTGGATTGAAGAGTGTGAAGCCAATTGTCAGTCATTGTATGGGTCATAGAACTAAAAGGCTCGCAGATATGGAAATATTAATATTGGTACTGCCTACGAGATTCGCGCCCACATCTTTAGTACAACAAAGCCTTTGTGGCATTAATATTTTGAGTACAACGAGAACAAGGTTGTAACATAAGAACAAGGCCATCGTGGCATTCTGTAAAATCGTCTCCTAGGATACCGGAGTATTATTTTGCGTTCCTCCCCGAATTATTTCCTTGAACAATTAAGATTTTCTGCTCCTCCGCGGACTATTGTAAATATTTGCCCACCTTGGATTCCCTGTCGCCATACTGTCCATATGACATCGGCCAACTCTCCTTTAGCAGCATCGCGCTCACGATTTCCCATCGATAACCACACTTTTTCCTGCTCCTGGTATTCTCGCAATAGTATTGTCGACCCACGAAATACCTCGGAAATGCGCTGTTGTTTTCTAAGTGGTTTCCAGAGGTCTCCTTGGACCAATTCAAATCCATCTACCATATCCTTGACAAGCATACCTTGTGGCCATACTTGTGAGCCTCCGCCGCCGACGTAAACACGTCCTTGTGCCTTCAAGACCTTGCGACAATCTTCGATAGACAACATCCCCTGTGCACGAAGGCAAACATCCTGGAAGCTGTGAAACTAAGAACACATTGAGAATAAGTATGTACTAGCTCCAGAAGAAACAAACCCGTTCTTGGAGCTCATGGAACTAGAGAAAGGGTCTTGAGAAGAGAAGTTGTTTACTTAATAGCAAAACACACACCCATTCCTCTTCAGTCCGTATCTGTGCCCTCATTCGAACCAGCATATTTTCCATGAATATGAGTATAGACTGGTGAATTCAAAATCAGTGCATAGTGTGTGTATATGACAGGAAACCTACCCAGAGAGAAAGAGTGCTCATATATGTTTCTTCCTCAGACCGTTCAATAGGTGCAGGTTGAGTGCCAATGAGTGTCAATTTTTTGTAACAGTACAGACTATACTCCTCCAAACATTCTAAGTATTCCCTACTCTGTTTCAGATGCGTGATTGTCTTGGTGAGTTTGTTGTTCTGTTTGGTAGTCGATCTACAGGCGTCGTTTGCCAGAATGGTATCTGGAAGCGGGAGACAATGTTTCGGATTATCGATAGCATCCCGACGCGGTTCCCGAAGAGTTTCCGAATTGCATAAAACACTTGCATCATTGTGGTTATTGCCAGGATCGATATTGAGGAGAGCGACGGGCTGGGCGATACTAGTACTGTAGTTGCTCGGGGAGAGAGTCCTCTCACAATCATTTAAATGTGGCGGATGAATTGAGGGCAATGAAAGTCCAGACTGCGTCACCAACGAGCCCTGGTCCACCGCCAAGGCGGCCTGTGGTAACTGAGGACCGTTGTCATCGAAATCCTGCCAGGTCAGAAGATTCCAGGATTCTTCCACATCCCACACTGTACGGTTTTCGTATACCAAGGAGCCGCTGGCCATGGATGAATGCTCGAGCTAAGATCGTACGATTAACTGTATGGTTGTCTGAACGATATTAGTACTCACAGATACAGACATTGCAAAGTCGTTCATTAATGTTAATAAGGCGCGAAGATAAAGAGCTACCAGTCAATATTTCCGCAAATGTGCTTCTTTCCTGATCCTTTTCTGGACGGCTGTACATCAATGGGACCGTCCCGGTTTTCCTTTCCTTTCCTGGAAGCCGGTTCAGTGAATCTTCGAACGCTCTAGCTACCTCTCCTCTTTGGCGCGGAAGAAAATATATACTACGTCGCTGGGTTGAAATTTAAATTGAGACTAACGTGGCTTTGAATTACATGACGAGATATGGATGGCAGTACAAGAGAAAATGTTACATATTGGAACATCTCGATGTCTGCGTTCAAAGAGTGTTGAAGGGGGAAATAGTGATTGGAGGTTGAATTATGTAGTACAAAGGAAGGCCTTGGAACATATATCTGAGCAAGAAGAAGCTTGGACAAACTTGAAGCATTGGGTTATAAACACCATCTTCACTACAAAGAATACCCATCATTTAAAATAGATTCTGAAGTGCACGAAACTAGCCATAAGGATAGGAATATTATTAGCAGAAAAATCATATCCTGCCAGGAATTAACATACCCTTTGCTCCTGAGTTTGAACTTGTTTGCTGACTTCAGCCATCACATTCTCCATGTACACAAGCAAAGTCTGCTTCGAAAAGATGTTTAGCGGCAACAAGAATGTGAATAAATGATTTACCCTGATAGAACGAGCGCGCAACCCTATATTCGTGGAAAAACGATCAATTGGCAAAGGCTGAGCACCGATGTATGACATCTGCGCATGGAGGAACACGATGTACTGTTCCAGAGATTCGAGGTAGTGCCTGTTTGTCTCATGACGGGTAATCGCCTGAAAAACCGGAGGTTCAATGGAAAGTGCTGGGTTAAATAGATTGTCTTGCCAGAAATTTGAGTTATCGTTAGGACCAGACTTCTCTACTGGACTCGACTCGTTCGAAAGAGCGATAGTTGGTTGGATGGATAGGTCAGGTAAGGGGTGTTCCACTAGATCTCCGACATTAAGGAAAGGAGTCACGGACAATGGTGGGATAGGCAGATCGTCTTGACCGAAAGTCGTGCTGTCATGAGGACCAGACATTCCCATTGCATTCGACTCGTTGAAAAGAGCGAGAGTGGATTGGATGGGTCGGTCAGGTAAGGGGTGTTCCAGATCTCCGATGTTAATGGATAGAGTTGATTCGACGGACAACGCTGGGTTAAACAGATTGTCTCGCCAGAAATTTGAGCTATTGTTAGGACCAGACTTCTCTACTGGACTCGACTCGTTGGAAAGAGCGATAGTTGGTTGGATGGATAGGTCAGGTAAGGGGTGTTCCACTAGATCTCCGACATTAAGGAAAGGAGTCACGGACAATGGTGGGATAGGCAGATTGTCTTGACCGAAAGTTGTGCTGTCATGAGTACCAGACATTCCCATTGCATTCGACTTGTTGAAAAGAGCAAGAGTGGGTTGGGTGGGTAGGTCAGGTAAGGGGTGTTCCAGATCTCCGATGTTAATGGATAGAGTTGATTCGACGGACAACGCTGGGTTAAACAGATTGTCTCGCCAGAAATTTGAGCTATCGTTAGGACCAGACTTCTCTATTGCACTCGACTCGTTTGAAAAAACGAGAGTTGGTTGGATGGGTAGGTCAGGTGAAGAGTATTCCAGATCCTCGACATTAATGAAAAGAGTTGATGGAGGATAACGCGGTATTGGAGCATGAAGGAGTACATCCTGAGGTAGCCCATATGCATACGTTTGACTAGCGAGATTGTACTCACGGGCCTGTATTGGAGCATTGACGGGTAAATCCTGATGTTTGCCACCGAAACCGTGCTCGCAGGCCTGCTGATTGTCAGGGTCCATCGAACCATCAAGGCAGTTGTCACTGGCATGAATAGCAGTGAGGAAAGTCGTTTTAATCGTAGGTGAGTTGACGCTTCTAGGGATATATAGGCAGTTAGGAAATTGTAGAGAAGGATTCATTTCTAGACGGCCCCGAAAATCCTCAGTGTGCTCCTCTACATGTAGAGGTATACTGAATGCTTGAGGTCGGCGGTGGATACCGCTGACACGCCTAAATTTTGGCTAGACGTCTATGTTGTGAATTGTGACATTTTCACGTATAGATTCGTATCAAGAGGACTGTAATTGAGACCCAGATTGACAGTCAAAGTCAATACTGAATCAGTCTAATAAGTTGAAGGGACCATATACCCATACTACCACAAGTTGGTTAGTTTACCCATCCCTGATACTACCTACGGATAGCAGTCTACCTGTTTGTCAAGCAGGATTATACCAGACTCGGACTACATCCAAAGGATGACCATTCACGTATGACATACCAAGGGTATTCTTATTGGACCTTACACTGGCAGGAGTTTGGAAGAACTTACTCAAGTGACCATGAACCGAGGATTGACTCAAAATGACTTTCTAGAACTCAGGAATTATCAAATACTCCTTCTAGAACGAGATCATGCATTAATCTAAAAGACTGCGATTTAGTCTAATAGACCAATCAAGTTGCATGGTTGAGGAAAATGACTAGAAGAACGATCGAAGTACTGCGAGGCTCCGAAGACATATCAAATGAATGTCAAAGAGTCCTGACGTAGAAAACATTGAAGAATGCAATTAAATGAATACTATGCGTAACTCCCTTGATAGAGTATAGGCACAATGGGTGTCTGTTGAAAGAGAGAAGCAATTAGTTTAATCCAGATGAATCAGATTGATAGGACTAGAATCGAGGAGAGCTGATTTGCCTCCGGACGAGGTGACAAACGATCGAAGTAAGTGTTGAACCGCAATGACAGTTGAACACCATTCGAGTCATCCTCCAAAAACAATTAAATTAAATGAATATTGAAGTACCTGCCTATGTTTGGAGGTATACTAGAATCTTGGAACCAATATGGACCAAATAAGGACATGTAGACTCAAATTAAATGGTATCTGACTGAGTGTAGAAGTTTCCTTGCGGTTCCAAACATTGATTGTATTAAATTAATTGTACTATGCGACTCTATATTCTGTATGTATAAATAGCGATCCGATGTATCTGGAATACAAGTGATTTTGGGACGACGTTGCAGTGCTAATCCGTAAAAAGGAAAGACACACTCCCGCCAGACTGAAACCTCTTCGCTAGCAGCCATTCGGGCCCGGCACTTGTGAGTATAGGAACGTTGTGTTCTGCTCCTTGTGACTGCGAGAAGTCTATCCAGTTGTTGGGTATTCTTCGAACTTAGGATCAGTTGTTGGTCTTAAGGGCAAATCACGCTGTGTGGTTGTGCCAGCACATAGTTCTAGCCCTCCGTAGGGGTCTGTGTGTTTCAGTTTTAATTTACTTTGATTCGAACCCCCAATTCTTTACCGCGGTCATCCAAAGTACACTCTGGCAAAAGGTGGGGACTCCATAGATATTTCAGATTTTTGTTGGTGGTCATCGGAATATTCTGAAGAGTTCGACACTAAGCTCTGTGGCCAAGAAAGTAAAGCACGTCGGACAAAGAAAAAGACAGCCGAATCGCGTACTCGCGATAAAATGAAAATGAGAAAGAAAACCTTTATTAGGAAGCCTTCGAAGAGCGAGATTATTAAGACGCTTCCATCAGGAAACCGGTCCTCGGGTAATGAAGCAATAATTATGAAAAATTCCATTCAATGTGAATATGGCCGTTAATGTTTTGATAATATTCATGAATTTCACATAGTCATCAGTCATTAGTGCTCGTCGATAAAAATGATAAACCATTAGAGAGAAGTTAGTCAATAAGGACCATAAAAATCATTGACATTAAGTTCAGTAGGAGTGTCGGAACACCTGTGGGAGTCTGTTTGGGTGCAAAGTGTATCGAAGACTTTACAAAAGATCTCTACCAAATTGTATACACACTCGAAGACAATATTAAGTTTCTATGATAAGTTGAAGTATGTAAGCTCGTCTTTGAAGATATTCAACAAGAATGAAGGGGCACGATCTAACACTGTTTCACTACTCCATTCAGAGGGGACTGATCCACCCCATTGTGGAAATAGGTGTACACTGCGGACAATGCTGTCGAGGGAAATGATAGAGGCAGCACATAGTCCGTCACCACCAACATCTCTCTTGATCCGATATAGGCCCGAGGATGGCTCAGGATTGGTCTGAAACTTTGTGAACCACTCGACATATGCAAGATGTTGTGGTGGAGGGATGTCGGAGGGTATCAAGGTGTCGAGTTTGTTGAAAGGGAGTGAGAATACGACCCGTACTCTGCCTACTCTCGTATCTGACTTCAGATTAGTCATATACTATAAAGTGATATGATGAATTCGTACCTTTAGCCCAATTATCTCCAACTTTAAGCTTGACAAGAACAGTATCGAAGCGGGAAGACTTCACTAACTGACCAGAGGGTTTCGAAACGGAAGGATGAGCCGAAAATGAGTCAAGTGTTTTCTTTCCAAAAAGCTCCGTATTAACATATTTGATCTTGTGCCAGACTGGAAGAGAGGTGAATGGAAGAACGACGAATTGTGCCCAGTCATCGATCTGATTAGGTGGAATGTCAGGATACCGAAACTGAACAACGAAACACTTCAACGCATGTGTGAACTGAACAGCGCAATAGCCGTTAGCGCAGATGTCTTCAAGTCTGGATAATAGAACGTGTTTGACCGTAGGGAAATGAGTGACCTTCTGTGTAAATGAACACGTCATGTTCTACCAATGTCCGTTGTGCACCGGGAAAGTCGTAGCGTTGGTGTATGTGAGAAGTGATGGTATTCGGGATAGAGGTAGTGTTATGGTTCGAGGGTAATGATGCTTCGGCAAGCCTCCATGAGATGTAGTTTGTGTGATAGTCAGGTGGAAATAAACCCATCGACACTGTTGTTGCTAGCACCACCATCAATGAAAATCCACGCGAAACTAGGTCTCGGAAAAGAAAGTTGACTGGGAGCAAACCGGGTAAGCCTTGCCTTAACCAATGGAAGCATTCACAAATTCACTGTGATTCTCTAGACAACAGAGAACTGGAGACTGAACAGCCAGCAAAACGCTTGCGCGGGTCAAAGAAGGATACCATACTCGCCAGTGTCTCTACGCCTCAGTTTTCACGCAGGCAGAGGAACAAGAATAAGAACGTACTTGCCCCTACTCCCCTCGATTCTGCTATTCAGCCTATGCAGGCCACTCAGGAGATGCCGACACCGACACCGAAACCACAGAGGAACGCAAGGACAAAGCTCTCTTCTACACCGCGAGGAAATCTTGCTTTAACAGGTGCAGATACCCCAAAATCCAGAGGCCGCGTAGCAGCACAAACACCAAACCAAATCCGCAGTAAGCCAGTGTACCGCTTCCACTTAATGGAACTGATAAATTTTTAGGAGGGCGTCCTGTCGTTATACAATCAGATGATGACGATGAAGGAAAGCATGCAAGTTCTAGCAAAATTACCTTGTTTTAATTCGTTCTTGTTTAGGTGACCTGCTGTTTAACCAGCCACATATTCGACAAGAGATTAAGGAAGCCCAAGAAGACGATGATAGTGACCAGGATAGTGACCTGAATGGAGATATTGGTGACATTGACCGTGAGGTTGAACGTCAAAATGATTCCGAGGCAGCCAAGCATTTCAACGAAGAGGTCCCAATTCATGTGCTTATATTCAATGGATTTTCTTACTGAATATTTCATAGGCAGCACAGTTCCCAAGTCGAGGTCATGGCGGAAAGAACAAAACAGGTACATAACCAACTGTACTCATTGTGAGCACTCTGAAGTCTTTGTCAGGTGATGCGGGAATGGTTAATGACCGAAGTCGACAAGTTGAAGTTGGAGAAGACATTGAGGAAGCCCTTTCTAGCTCTGAAGACGATGTTCCAAAGCCTGCTCCTGTAACCAAGGTGCGCAACCTATATTACAGTGACCTTCCCACCCATTGCTCATTGACCGTGAAGAAGGTACAAAGAATGGCTGCTAAGCTCGCAGTAGAGGTACGCATATTTCATCCCTTAGTATCATCACTCAAGATATTCCAGCTTCCAGTCGTCTCCACCAACGATGTAGATATGCCTACTCCCACCTCAACTCTTCCTCAATTTCGATCTGCTGAGCCTGCATGGCTTCCACATACAAACTTAATCCTCAAACCATCCACTGATGCGACTTGGTCCTACAGACTTGATTTGAAAGCCCAAAATGCTCAAGTCAGATCTGTTGTGAAAGCGGCAAGAAGTCGGGCAACTTTGGAGCTTGTAACTAATGGTGAAGAATGTGGTCTGCAAACCTCGGGGCTCAATGCCATCACATTAGGTGCCCTGATTCAATGTGCCGACGAGCTGGGATTTGATGAAGACCTTGACTTATCACACCGACTCGAGGAGGGAGACCATACAACATATGCTAGACCTCTTATAAAATACGTTAGTAATAACACACACCGCTACCCTTCATTACTAATTCCCAACTTTGCAGGTTGCACAGCGGGTTATACTTGAGCGAAGAACCCTAAAAACTGGCTTTTCATCTGTTGTCCTCACTGCATTTGGGCTCGACTACTCTGAAGAGGGAATTGAAGACGCAAAGCAGTTGGTTGCTAATTCGGATTATATCTATCAACTATTACCAGTATGTGCCACACAGATTTAGGTGTCAATGACTAACTTTTTGTTAGTCTGGCCTGTACGACTACGCCCGGCCATTCAGTCACAACGTTATCCATAAATATCTTAGCGCGGCTCTTTTCAGTTCAACGAAATACTCGAAACTAATTATGTCGAGGAAAGCATCAATATTCGTTTCTTCTCTTCCTCATAAGCCGCTTGAATTGGAACTTCCAAAAGCCATGGTAGCTATGGCCAGTTGTGTGGTACGTGCATTATTTGTTTATGACAACGTTTTGGTGCTGATTTTGCTCGAGATACATTCTATCTTGCAAGACCATGCAAAATTTACTGAGGAAAATTTTCCACCAACTGGGCTTCACTCGCAATGGTCGACATTCATGGCCATTTTGACAAACTTGGAGACTGCTAGCAAGGTGAATTATCACAAGCTCATGCATAAGCTCTATCTGCAATCTTCGTATGTGTTCTCGTCGTGCTCTTATTCCAATTCACTAATTCTATTCAGTCGTACGGTTGCACCAACCAAACATGGTCTCTCCCAGGATCAAATTCTGCAACGTATCAACCTCACTGCATTTGCAGCCAATGGCGGTGACGATGACAGCAGTAGCAGTTCATCGGAATCTGATCCGGTGCATGGAAGTTCAAATGATGGAGAGCGCACTATTAGCTTGAGCGGGGATGGCATGGCTAATAATTCACTCAATGGTGAGGGGTCTGCGAATAGTACTGGGTCCGTAAGTGGTCAAGACGATGAATTCAATGAAGATAAGGCGGGCAAAGAGACTGAAGTGCATGCTTAGTTTACATATTCTATACCCAGAGTAATCCATCAATTCATTACATTTCATGACTTTCTGTGACGATGAGCTACCTCAAGTCTCAAGATAATGTGCAAAACCTGTCATGAGTCTACCATTAAACTATTGCTAACTCATTGGTACACTATCAGTATCCTACCAGTAAGTTTTTATTAGTGTACCATTCAACTATCATTAATGTTTATTAATGCGTCAAAGGGGCCGGGCAATGTTCATTAATTTCCGATAATGTGCCGAGGCCACTAATTATTGAATATTATCAGAATTTTCAAAGAATTTTCACCGTATTAATGAGAGACCAGTTTCCTGATGTCGTAGCGGAAACGGAACAGTCAGACTGAGATTCAGAACAATGATTTGTTTGCTGCTATTTGCAAGGCGCTGAGAAGTTGTCAGGTACATTGGGGCGAGTTGTCTGAGCATCCTTTATGGTACTTGTCCCGGCATTCAGGCCCATCGCCACTGGTGAAACTTTAATGCAGTTATCATTGTTCACATGATGTACAAACGATATAAAGTAACGCTCTGATAGTCAATTGTCGCCGCATCTCGATGCAGACAATCGAAACAAAGCTCATTTCAGGGTCGCGGGCAATGCTTGCTCCAGTCTTGAGTTCTAAAATGACAATGTGGTTGACACTGGTACTTCTGAAATATTATGAAGCTTACACTTACAATTCTGCGTAATTTTAGAAGCCTGTATTTTGCTTGTGAAACGTCAAATTGCATCCTCCCTACTTTGTTCTAAGTTGGATCTATCATCACATCCATGGACCACAAAAGCTTGGGAAACACTGACTCTAGTTGTCCTCGGATGTTGACTCTTTAACGGGACCAATAACTCAGGAGCAAGAGGCCAATACCCATAACTAAAGATAACTCGTGCGTCAGCAATGATTTTCTCCCGCGTAGTGAGACTTGGATTCGAGCCTGAGCATTTGTGCATGGATTTTCTCGACGTGTACTTCGAGAGAAGATATGTAAATCATCATTCTACGGTTTTCGTTCATAGTTGAGCTAAAGTGGTTGTTAAGACAATAATCGACAAAACCACATGGAAAATACTTGCAGTTCCGTCGAATTGAAGACTGATTTTTCAAAGAGATGGTTCGAGCCTTCGAGATTCCTACGGATATATGGATGAGCAGTACTGCTCTCGGTTGTAGAGGGAGGAACAGCTTTTGGCATATAAAGCTAGTAGTGGTAGGGAAGGGACGCGTACGTGCGGATGATCTTTCCAGCACATGACTAGAGGCGGTAACGCTGGAATTAATATTGATAAGCAGAGCTGATATGATAAGATATATACGTCTCTGCTGCTCGCTTCACTTACACGGTCACCTTTCCCCTTCTAGACTATAGCTATCTAAATCGCGATCGGCGCAGATATTTAAACCTCAAAACACCCTCCAGGTGCAGTTCATGTGAATGAACTGTGACAAACAACGACACCGAATATGTCGATCTCATTGCAAGTATATCTCAGTAAGTCTTTTTTGAATCTGAATGCACTAGCTATAGTTCGCGACAGGTCTAAATACATGTTGAAACATGAACAAGGCAATATATTCCATCACTTCTTCTTCTTTTCCGTGTCCTTTACACTTTTGAGTTGGTCCCGAAGCAGTGTATCGGTCCCCCAATGGGCCTCATGAACCTTAAGCTCGGTAAAGATTTCCTCAATCTGGTCAATAATAAGCGAGACTTTCATCGAAAAAGAGAATAGGTTTACCATAAATCGAGCTTTCTCGTGAGCTTCGGGACTCTGATCACCAAGTGGTTTTTGGATGTCAAGATGCAATTTGACCGCCTCTCTTGCGATTTTCTATTATCCAACACAGTTACTAAAGATATCAGATTAAACGAATGGTAAGGTGCACACCCTGTAAGCTTTCATTGTTGAGACATCCCATCCAGCATTTCCTACCGTCATGCTGCTGTGAGGAGGAGGAATAATGATGGGAGTGATTGACACAGGATCAGGAGGTGTAGATGAAATTCTGCTTCGAAGAATCAGTCGAGGAGAATTATCCTTCCCGCGAGCCTGTTTGGCATGATTGTAAGGGTTATGTCGAACTTTGGAAGGGAGATTTTCGTGTATAGAAAGTTTCTGACGGAGTTCATTGTACGGGACAGAGGTGGTATAGAGAAGAATCACTCGAGGAAGGGGTGCACTCCTAGTTGAAGAAAATGCTGAGATTGAGCGAGCTTCAGGAACAGAGGACATAATTTACCTAGTCTATTTCCTGAACCCTTTGATTAAATATTATAGAAGAAACGTGTAATGTGGAAAGAAGAATAAAACAAAGCAGTGTCAATGCGTGAACTTGAACGACTTCGTATGACAAAAATCAATTGTAATACTATACAAGCAACCGATTCAACCAGGGTCCTTATTATTACCTTAACTGACGCTCAAACACTGCAGTCTAGACTATCTGTTGGCAACTATTTCCAATAATAAATTAAAGTGGAACTTACAGCTGATTGTAATTCCGCAAGTCTGGCTTTTGCATGTGAAATCTCGAACTGCAACTTCACAATTTTCTCCTAAACTGGATCCATGATTAATGACAATTGAGCATGTATGGAGCGTACCATGGTTATTGTTCGATGTTGTCCCTTTAATAGAGCTAAGGCCTCGGGGGATACGGGCCAATTGTTAAGTCTGGATAGATTGAAAAATAATGACTTCGCATGGTGACTTCGCATGGTGGTTCAAATTCGAACCTGAGGCACTGAGCATGTAATTTTTCCACATGGGCTTCAAGGGACGTAGCGTAGATCGCCTCCCTATGTTTCTCGTTTGAGGTAGCTCTGGTATTGTAGGAATTGAGCACATGGAGAATTATGAAAATGATCAACATACAATTCGACCGGATTGAAAAGCGATTCTGTGAGTGATTTAGTCCATATTTTGAGATTTGGATCTTTCTCCCAGGTGTTGACAGCGAGGGATAACGAATGGTCGGGCTTGTTAGCTCCCTGATGATGACCAGGTTCAGTACCAGACCAGATAGCAGCTTCAGGCAGAGTGAGAGATGGAGAGACATTGCCGCAGGACATAGGTGGTGTCGATACTGATGAAACTAGAATTGAGGCCAAGAAAATATGAAGAAGCACGTGCGTTTTGAGTCGGAAAAATCAAAAAGGCATTTCTGAACCGGTAGCAGCGTGTGTTGGAAACTCAATGAGAACGTTCTGAAGAAGACAGAAAAAGCTTGAGTCGGAAAGCTAAACAGGCATAGTGTTGAGAAATCTGAAAATCGAACATTGAGATCGTGAGTTAGAAACATAAAGGAAGATACATGAAGGGCTAGAGACAAGAAGTTCTAAGAAGACCCTGTGTAATGTGTTGATGAGAACAATGCATATGAAAATGGTGATCTTTTACCAAGTGTTTGGTCTTATTTCGTTTCTTTCGCCATATCTTCCTATATGGGCTACTGCGTCAAACTGCTCTACTCTAGTTGAAACTCGATCGCGAATTACAAGGACGTCAACTTCTATTTTGCCCGGTTGGACTAATCGTACGCCTTTCCATTATGCGCGACTCTCGTGTTAAATGATAACAATGCTCTACGTTTTCCTCCGCGGCGATTCGCATGAACTTGCCGCACCCGTAGATGGCTCTTTCAAAAAACAATTAAGAGATTTAGAGCACTATTGTCATTCTGAAAGGGTCCCTGATTTGGATTTTCTTGTTAAAAATGCGAAAATTGTCTTGCCTCGTTTCATCGACTCATGAAACTATTTCACAAAGTAAACAGCCTTCCTTCTCAAAGTACGCAACACAAGTACAAGCTACGTACTTCCCTCTCTGGTCATAGAGGGGCGGTCGCCTGCTTGGCTGTTCATCCTTTGGGAACATATGTATCCAGTGGGGGTAGGTTCTGATTGTCCTAATACGTGCGTCGCATTGCTAACTATCAAAAAGGAGATTATGGAACCTATATATGGCACCTTGCAACATCTCAACAAATCCGTGCACCCGCAGGGCCCGGTGACAGAGGCGCAACTACAGCACTGGTCTGGATGACCAGGTCAAATGATTCAGACGACGGGCTTGCATTTGGTACTGAGAATGGCTATCTCTGTGTCTGGAAGCGGTCACAAAACAGGGATGTAAGTTTCTTGAAAAATTAAAGCTCATCGTTGACTGTGAAGTAGTGGAGAGAAGTATTTTGTCGACGTCTGAATGGCGGCGAAGATGGCCAAGAAATCGTAGGAATTGCATATGATCCTGGTTCTGCACAGCTCGCAGTGGTCCATTGGTCCCAAGTGGTCCACCGATTTCTGATGAATAGTTCCATGCATCCGAATTCTTTGAGTTCTAAAAGTATTTCAAACCATTGGCCGCAGTCGGTTGGGTTCGGACAAACTGGTGCGCGCGGACCCGAAATATGGTCAATTGGGAGAGAAGATGGAGTAATGTGAGTTCGTCATGAAATCAATATACATGTTCTTACGCGGCATTCACTTTGAAGCCATATTCTGAATGTTAATGGCACAATAATCCAAAGTTGGCCAACGGAAACTATAATGTGAGTCTACATCTAACATTTTGTGAATTTGTCATTTATTGTACTCTAGTGGACATGCGGTGGTCAACATCAAAGAGGATGCATTGATCCTTGACGATGTTGCCCAAGGTGTGGTACTATTCAAAATATCCGGATTGGAGAGGGTCAGAACTTTCGCAGTACCTTCCAGGGAGCGGAGGTCCAGAAACGTGGCATTCCATGACAGTGGCAACACTCTGATAAGCGGTAGTGATCATGGTGTTATATACATCTTTGACCGGCGAACCGGTGATGTCGTTGACACCATTTACATGGGTGTCAAAGACTGGGTGCAGTCGGTTGTAGTAAGTATTTCAAGCCTACTCCTACATGACATCTTCACCGTCGTTGTTCCAGACTACCGAGTTGGACAATATTCCAACAATCATCTTAGGCCAGTCCGGTGATAATACTGGGGAAGGGCAAATTCAAGTGTGGCAAAAACAAAGTACACCCGCCGCCGACGTCACAAGGAGATCATCCCTCTTAGAGCAGACGTCTTGGGTCATTTGTGCCCTCCTCACAAGTTTATTTGTTCTAGAACATATTCTGGTACGGCTTCCCTTGAGTTTTGCTTCAAATATTATTGCTACATAATTAGTCTTAACAGGACCTTCCAACTACGAATCTGAAGCAATTTGGGGACTGGGTCATGATTTTATTGAAGAATTTTCGAGTCAATGCGATCCAGGAAAATGAGCTTGTTATAGAAGATTTGGATTATGTATAGATGAAACTATTTGTGCATGTAGCGTGCAAGATGGACACCGTACGCGTCGACAATCAGTATCAGTGCTTGCAAAGAGAATAGCAAACTATGTACAGAAATTCTGAAAAGAACCTTACAGCAACCAGCGAGGGAAGAAATAAATAAAGCCCAATCATTGATCAACGTCAACGGCTATCACCATCAAATGAAGTCACGAAGCTATGAAAATTGAGTACCAATTTAGGTAAAAATCCAAGCCTCGTGTCAAAAAGGGATCTCGAGAGTGATGATTGCTGAAATTAATATATTAATATTGACGCTACTGTAGCAGAAGAGGCTGTTATCGATGGTGCAGCCACGGAAATTTCCTGCGGCTAGCAGATATCCACGTCATAGGGTTAGGTAACTGGTGTCAAACCGATACATAAACTGTGGTAGGAGCAGATGGTACGAAACTGTTTGTGTAGTTATAGCAAGAACGCTCAATGACAATCCGAAATTTAGAGTAGTTGATCGTGACTACTTTGTTGAGAGTAGAGGGACGATGAATATTGAGATATGGTCCTAGGAGCAACGTGCGCTAGACTCCCGTTCTCACCACAGAACGGGGAGAAATCAGCACAAGGTGGCCGATTGTTATTTATTTGTTGAGAAGTGTAAAGGGACGATGAATATTCAGATATGATCGTAGGACCAACGTCCACTAGACCTACGTTCTCGCCAAAGATAGGAAAGAACTTAGCACAGGGTTCGATGTCGAATACCCGATTGTTACTGATTTGTTGAGAGGGATAAAGTGTAGGACCAACGTCCACTAGACCTACGTTCTCGCCAAAGATAGGAAAGAACTTAGCACAGGGTTTGATTTCGAATACCCGATTGTTACTGATTTGTTGAGAGGGATAAAGGCAGGTCGTATATTCAGATATGTTTGAATCATAAACATATCCATCCCGCGGACGACTGTTGAGCGCTTTCAATTTCCATGATTCGGAGCGCACGGTGTCGAGGTATTCCGTATAACTGCGATGTTCCCGGCCTTTGTAATTATATGACACCGGATCCGCATTAATCAGTGAGTCGCTGGTGTCTGGTATCTGGTACGAGAACAAGAAGCAATTAAATAGCAAACAACCCATTTCATAGATTAACTAACCGTTCGCTCCGGGAGTCGTGCCGTGGAAAGAAACGTTGGAATCTGGAACGGGGCGGAAATTGTGTTCAGGTCCTCTGGATTTTGGGGGAATCGTGTCAGTTGGGTGCAGTCCTCGACCTCGACCTCCTCGTCGACGGCATGAATGGGTGTAGAAGTTTTCAAATTCCGTACAACAAGTTTTGAGTTAGACCGTCTGGGAATGGACGTAATGCATTCTGGTTTGCGCAATGAACACCTTTTGCCAATGGTTTTAATGCAAATTAATTACCTTGGAAACGTGCAAGGCAGTTTTCGCAGGGCGTTGATCCCCCATTTCGCCTTGTACACCGACGCTTCCTAACCCTGCAATGATCACAGGAATCTGAGTGGTGGTTTGAGCTTTGATAATAGGTAGAGTAACGTTAAATATCGACCTGTTTTCGATCTGATTGTAGCGGACCTCGCAAGAACGGGGAGGTTGTTGAGCGCTTTCACTTTCCGTCGTGATTTGGACAAGCTCGCGGTGTCGAGGTGTTTAACATCACTGATGGTGTGTGATATCTAGTACGTGCACAGGAGATTAGTAGATAACAGTACATTGCGCAAATCGACTAACCGCTATCGGGTCCATCATTCGTTCTGCGAGTTGTGTAGGTGAAGGAAACGTATTTGTGCGATCCTCAGGACTTTGGAGCAATGGCGTCTGTTGGGTGCGGTCCTCGACCTCGGCCTCCTCGTCGACGGCGTGAATGGGTGTAGATGGTTCGAAATTTATTGCAACAAACGAGTTAGACCGCTTGGTTTTGGAGGTAATGCATTCAAGATTGCACAATGAGCACCTTAGAGCCATAATTTAAATTCAAACTAATCGCCTTTGAAGTATTGAAGGCACCTTTCACAGGCCGTTAATCCACCATTTGGCCTTGTACACCGAGTTTTTCGAAGTTTGCAATGATCACAGGCATTGGCTAAATGATAATGTGAGCTCCTAAGATAGGCAGAGTAATGTGAAACGAGTCTACCTGCTCTAGAAAAATTTTTTTCGATTGTCGGGGGAGCTAACGAGAAGAAAAAATAGTTAGCCCATCACAGCATCAATTCATGACCATACCATACACACCGTTGGTCTGCGCAAAATTGTAGAGCTCTATACGAAGCGCGATATCCAGAGCTGATTCCATAGTTGTGGATAAAAGAAGAAGAGCCTTTCGACTGATTACATGGCTTATGAAAGTCTCTCATATGAGCGTGTGCACTTTCAGGAATTCTTCTCCTCGTTCTTGCTCTGACCAAGCTAAATCAGCCAAAATGGACTCATTGGTGAGAAATACAATGATTATTTAGCATGCTCCACTTACCTTCCCATAATTGTACTTGCTCAACTCCTTACTCCAACCAGGTTGCCGGAAAACGGAAAACTCGATCTACTCTGAAATTGTCAAACCCAATCTAGGTGCGGACGCTAGTTCTTCGATGTCTGGACTTTGAAACCTGATCATTTGTATATGCCCGAAGGCTTGCTTTTCTTTATTTCGCCTCTGAACGCCCGCAGCGTTTCAGCTCTGGATTCCCAGGAAGGATATCAATTGTTGCATCTTCCATGAGTCCCAAATCCTGATCAACCTACCTAGGCCGAACACTGGGGAGAAAGGCCCCCTGCAGAAGTACTCCATCGCTTAGACGAGGAACTGTTCTTACGAGGATGGCTTCTAGCTCCTCCAAGTGTCTTTTCATCTAGATCCATTGAGCGATTTCGTCCGAGTATTACATGAGTATATTCAAATCTTATTGAAGCGCTTGAGCTAAACTGTAGGCCCGCAGATCAATGACACACATGAAAAATGGCTGTAGAAATTTTAAATGGGATATTCGAAGACAGAAATTAAACAATAGCAACAACAGAAATATTGGCGGTGAGTATCTTCGCAAAAACGCTAATACTGATAAATATAAATGGAGAATTTTAGTCGAGGGACATACCTGAGGCTCAGGAGCCAAATTGCTCCAGTTTCGATATCGATACTATGGCCGCTACACGGTGAAATCGTAAGACAAGTTAGCGGAGTTCAAGAGAATATGTAGATTATGTTGCGAATCGAAGTTCAAAAGAATGAAAATACAAGGACGCACAAGAGGCCTTCGCAATGGTCCAAAACATTACTGTGGGTCCGCAGGAGCCACCGCTGACACAATCGACTGCCGTTTGACTACTATCGAGTATCTACGTTGAAGCCAACGTTGAGTGAGACGCGCCTGGGCCCCGGCGCGATATTACCAAAGACTGTCACGTGTAATTCAAGATACTTAAAGTGGGGCGCCTGTTGGATCACCATTTTAGTAATATAAAATGTTGCTCCTTACTGCCTTCCTTGTCGGATAACCATTTTAGTAATCTAATGTTGCTCCTTACTGCCTTCCTTCCGAATATTTACCTACGGAATGTTCATCTTCCGCCTGGATCCTGGAGCGCACCTTCTAGATCTTTCTCCCTGTCCAAATATCAATCTCGGAACCAATGTAATGGATCACCTTTTCGCAAACGGCAAAGCATTGATAGGCATAAATCATGTCAGGTTGGACGCTGTAGCTCACTCTGAATTCCTCTGAATTCCCACTTCTCGATGACGTTTGCTACGTCGCAGTCGCTTTTAGAATGCGCGGCGTCCGTACACTCAATACGTCTAAACGAGCAACTAGCAACCCTTATTCCACGTTCGCTCTGGAAACCCAACTCACTCTCTAATTCCTGTGACGCTTTTTCTTGCGAATCGATTTTTTTGTCTTTCGCAAACTTCACCTCCTCGTTCCCGGTAGACTTTTCTATGTTCGAACGCAGACACCACTGCCGTAAATGCGGTGGTATCTTTTGCCACAAATGCACCTCGCGCACTACGCCCTTACTCAATACGCGTAATCTGCCTTTCCTCAGCCCCCCGAGGAATACCAGCATATATGACTTTGGGTCTGAGGGCGGAATTGTTGACTCCCTCGCACGAGTTTGCGATCGTTGCTGGGACCAATTACATGGTACCACGAAAAAGACTGAAACACCAGAACCAGAGTTGAAGCCTGGTGTGCTGTCTACACTGAAGACACCTTGTCGTTCCTTTGTGATGTCATCTGCCACTTTGGAGAGTGATACACAGTGTTCTTCTCCGACCCGCGTTGATACAAAGTCTATCTCTCTTGGCGAATTATCTGCGTACCCTCTGTGTCGCCCATCTACACTCTGCAAAGCATCTGGAGGAGGCAAATGGGTCCCAAGGCCCAATGAGGCCCCAGAAGACACTTGTATTATCGAAACGTCTTTTCCAGACTTAGTTTTTCTCTCAGATTCATCAAGTCCACCATCCCACTTGGGCTTAGTGTTATCCCCTCCTCGACATTCCCGCTTCCCCGCCTCGAAAGCCAACCGAGCTCCTACTCTTGGCATTGGTAAAGCACTATGGGAAGTCGAGTGGGAGAGGAAGGTACAGAAGGTAAAGAGGTTACTTAAAAACCCTGTTGTAAGAGATGGTGAGTTTTGCTACAGGGTTTATCGTGGTGCGAGTTTAGATGACTATCAAGATGAGGATGTATATGATGAGCATGATTCAGCAGAGTTGGTTTCACTGTCAACCTTCTGAGACTGCGTTCATTTCCCGCTGACCACTTACTATTTTTGCCTTATATTGATTGCCCTTATTTTTGTGGATCATTGATTACCTTTCTGTGTATGTATCGCTATGCTAAGGATCATATGCTGACATGCACTTGGAATGTAAGAGGGATTGAGAGTTGAAAAGGGGAAAGAGGTTGCGAGTGTTCTAAGTGCATGACCCTTGATGATCAGTCATTGAACAAGAATATCCATGGGCTGAACCGTTTGGCCAATAGCTGGGGTGGTTCTAGATTTCACGGATCCGGAGTGCACAAGCGCTCTCTTGCGGCTAGAACGAGAAAATTTTCGCTCAACGGATCGCCAGAGAAAAGAACTGCCATTAATATTATCCGGTGATCTATTCACCACCGAATTGTTGGATGCGAAATCCATGTTGACGACGACAAGTCTGGAATTGATCGTGATCACCTTTGTACATTGGAGTAAAGAGATATAGGAAAGGAAAGGAAAGGAAAACCGACACGGTCCCATTGAGGAACATTATATGGAAAAGAATGCACTGAGTTAGGTACAAAATATGAAACATAGAGGGTAATTCGCAATCGACTACGGAGACGCGTATGTTATCAGAATGACACGGTGTAGCATTCATTTCTGAAAAGGGTAATGGTTCTCGGAGCTCAAGAGCCCCGAGGACTATTCCCTTGAAACTTTGTCAAGATCGGTGCGATCCTACATAAGAGAAATAGTAAGACGAATGGTCTCTTGAGAAAAAATACACCAACTGTTTAACAATATAATCTGCAAGACGGTAATCTCCCTGCCCACGCATATTGACAACAGAGTTGCCATATTTGGAGCCAGTACGCATCACGACCAGGTCCCCCTGGACACCGAGAACAGGGTCAACAGGTAGACGCATCGATCGTTTAAAAAATACACGGAACGATGTTTTTGGTTTACCCGGGACTTTCAAATTGACAACGACATCATGGGTATGAGGCTGAAATCGGTGAGACTCGAAATGAAGGTCCACAAGAGGGTAGCGACCCTGTTCTGCATTAAAGTGGCAGGCAGCAGTGAGAACACAGAATGTTCGGGGGGTATGTGTCTGGCCAGAATAAAAATGAGAACGAAGTTGTAGAGTTGTTTTCATCCTCTGGAAGATAGATCAGAATATAACAGCGCCACTTAGAGAAAAACGTACAGATGTAGATTCGACGTAGATCCTTTGATTGACCATGACTGAGGGTTTTGAGCGACTCAGAGAAGTCGATCTCTTAAATTACCTGTACTAAACAAAGTGTAGTTACCAATAAAACAATATCGTGGTTACTTGTCGGGAATGTCTTTTGTAACTTGAAGAATACAAACTGATTCTGATGCGCAACTCACACAATTAATATTAATGTACACATGGGCAGTAAACATTCGCTGCGATTTAACAAAAGCAAGAGAAAGTGCAACTGATCACACACCAGAAGGAGAAAAAATTCCGCTCGACGGAAATGAGAACGAACAAGAAGAAGTATGCCTGAAGTATGCCGTGTTCTATTTGGGCCTTACGTAAATCAATCCTCCTACGACCACTATCAGTCTCTACATCTATTCCCAACTACCTTCACCCTCTAGCTCTGATCACGATCAAATCAGAAACAGAGCAACCTCAATTGAGATATCTTCCAATCATCCACACCCGACTATTCTCTTGCCAGGCCGGGCTCTTACCTCCTCACTCTTCTCGCACACGCAGATTCAGAATGCGTACGAACACTCCAGCAATCGCTAGAAGGTGGCAATCACTGACCTCCGACCAAAGCTCTGGGTCTTTACTCTTCGGACGGCCTTCTCCTCGTCCTACCGTTCGTCTTTCTCAATGTCACACTGTGTCGGCTTCCAGTGCGTCTTTGGGCCGCGATCATCCAGCAGCATCTTCTTCGATACCTCCAGGACATCAGCTTTATAATCTAGCACTGGATTGCGAAGAACTAGTCCTCTTTCCACACACGCCTTCGTGCACTTTCACCTCAAACCAGTTGCCGCAGAGCTCTCCAGATGCAAGCACACACGAGGTCTTCTTATCTTTCTGAAATCATGACCTTGCCCTAATTTTTTGACATATTCTAGGCTCATCTCATGAATCCGGAATCCGATGACGATAGCCTGGAGGTTGTTTCAATCGTATGTACGAATATTAATAACGCGTATTTGTCTATCATCACCTAATTTTTACGGAAACAATAACGATTGGAGTCGGCGAAAGTAATGACCACATGTGAAGAGCTGCAGTCGAATCGCCAGAATTTAGAGAACAAAGGTCTCCCTTTATTTCTTCATTTTCAGTATCAATTCTATTCTTCTTATTCAGAAGTACGTCCTGACATTCCAAACGGTAGTCTGCACATGGAAGAAGGTGGCAACAATTCAACATGTGCGACTGACAAAAACACATTGTCCCAAAGGACTATCGAACAAGTTCGGATCCTATGTGTCTATGCCATGTTGATATAGATACCGTTTTGTGAATTTCATTGACGTCGAGTTTTTGTTAATTGACTTCGATTAAAACTCTTTCTTTATCCAGCCTTGTTCTATACTCAGGCAGTGACGAAAACAACGCCTCAGTTGGTTAGACTCAGCACCAAATGTTAGAGGAGCAGTGTACTTGAACTGCCAGTGAGTTTATGTCTCTAGATCTGTTTTGATTATTACTAAGGACCCTTTCTCCAGGCCCTTAATCCATAAATATTTTCACAATGAGGATGCGCGTCAATGCTTTACCACGAAGCTGTGTGTACCGTACCTGAATTCGGTGCTGGATGGCCCATCGTCATAGGCCTTGCGATTCAGCGTGGGAGGCGCAGGTTCTGTATATGTGTATTAATTGTTTATCACGCAATGGTTAACGCATGTGGTGGTCCTGATACACATTCTGCTGATACCAAAGAAAATCTGTGCCTTGACGTCTCAGCCCTATTGACTGAGCGAACATAACCATTTGTGATGATTATTCGAATTCTATGATCGAGAGGAGCAGGACCATGATGCGTATGATAAAAGCTATGAACTAGTATGTGGATTGAATGTACCTTTGCTCGTAACATGACTAATATACCTTACCAGACACCAATCTCCAAGCATCCAAGCTCCCATTGTCAAGGAAATCAAACTGCACGTTATACTTCGTTGTCTTCTTCACATGACGCCCGAGTAGATTACTCAGGACATTATCCTGACAACTATCAAATATCTATCGAACATCTATAATTCCGCAGCCCTTGTTCTCTTATTGCCCGAGTAGATTACTCAGATAGATAGCTCAGGACATTATCCTGGCAACTATCAAACATCTATAATTCAAAGCGCAGCCCTTGTTCTCTTATCGTAACATGCTTGAAGAACGATTGGATTTTGTCTTTCTGCGAGGATTCCATTCCCAGCGATTTCTTATTGTAAGTCTCCTGGTAACTGTTGTTCTTCTCATTAACATCAGAGCAAGAACAAAGATATATCTCTTTCCTATTTTGATAGATGTCATAACATGTATCAACGACTGCCTTCAAAACCTGGAGCTCCAGAACCCAAAACCTCTGACCCTAAATCAATAACTTAGGTCCAAAGTTTGAACGTCAAGCACCTAGTCGGTATGGCGCCACGGTATGTGTGTGCGGGATTCATTGCAGGAGACTGAACATCCTTACCTCGCATCTAGACATATCATATTTCCAAATTCATTCTCGGATGATGTGAAGCCTCATCCTCTCTTCATACCTCCGGATGAGAATGTGTTTGGAAAAATAACTCATGGAATTAATATTGAGAACGTCCTCCAGATCGAATCACCCGACACACAACTTAGTCAATCAAACCAAGATTCCTTAAAGCTGTCGAACTCAGACCGTCAAGGTGCCAATATCAATGATGACGTAGTTGTAGATGAAGGCGACAAGCTGCAACGATCAACGTCGACCCCCTTTGGCAAGTGCCTTTCAACCTTTTACTCACCTGCATGATAACCGGACACTCACTAGGGCCTGAGAGTCCCATTCCGATAGGGACCCAAATTAGCAAAGCTGTAAACCCAGATGAGGATATTTTCAAGTGGTTCAACAATCGGGAACGCCGATTTCACGATTACCACAAATGTGGCATGGTAATAGAATACTCAAACCTTAGACTGAGGTCACACCAAGCTTATGCAAGGCAATGGATGGCGGATCAGGAAAGTAATGGCCGAAACGGTGGAATCGTGGCAGATGAAATGGGGTGCGTCTGTACAATTGTCAATCATTCAGCCATTGCTCATTACATGCAATACTTAGTCTCGGAAAGACCATACAGACTCTTGTCCGAATCTATGATGATAAATTAAGAGCGCTTGCCGCAGGTGAAAACCTGAGCCCGACCCTGTAAGTCGATTGAACATTCTGCGGATTGTTATCTACTAAGGACTGTACCTGTTAGTATTGTTGGGCCGAAATCTATCCTTGTTCAGTGGCATGAGGAAATCCAACGCTTCTTTCTACCTAATAAGAAACCCAGTTGCATCATCTATCATGGTCCCAATCGGGATGTTAAGTATAGTAAGTCCTAGTATATGACTCCTTCGACAAGTGATGACGGTCGGTTGAATTTTCTAGCTCTGACAATCTTGAAGGAAACAGACATAGTACTCACCACGTATGGGACTCTGAGTAATGACTACCAATATATCGAAGGTAGTGAACATACTTCTGTTACTAGTATTTTGACATCCGGACTGATAGTGAACATTAGACGGTAACTTGCCAGCGATATCTCATGGTCTATTCAGAATAACTTGGCGTCGTCTTGTACTAGGTATTACTGTTCACTTCTTTCTGTTTTGAGCGTGACTTTTTGTATAGATGAGGCACATGAGATCCGAAATGTTAGTACAAAGAAAGCTCAGGCTGCCTTTGCTGTGAATGCGGAGCACAGATGGTGCTTGACCGGAACACCGGTGTGAGTATTTTTCGATATAATATGCTTTATGTGAACAGCGCTCAGAATTTGTCTTACAGGCAAAACAGAATATCTGATCTTTTTTCCTTGTTCCATTTCCTTCGCATTAAGAATTTCTCCAATGCCCAGTGGTTCAAGAGCAATATAGAGTACCCAGTCACGAAGAATGATAAGAAGGATGCAGCACAAGCTAACAGACTTCTGAAGGTTTGTTTTGTGTGTTTTTGGTATCTCGGGTGATTGAACGACTCCTTAGCTTGCACTCAGTCACATTATGTTACGACGACTTAAGACTGACTACGTCAACGGTCTTCCCATCCTCGTACTTCCAGAGCTCAAGATCCAAGTTTGGGACTGCGATCTTTCAACACCGGAACGAGAATTTTATGACGCATTAGAAACGCGAATGCAAGAAGTTCTAGGAGAAGTATCCAAACATCTGGAACGGGGCAACTTGCGCCTTCACAGCACTGCTTGGGTCCTGGTTCTACGTCTACAGCAAGGTAAAGCTACAATTCGTATTCACTTTCTGCCGTCAGCTCACATTAAGACCTCGAGCTTGTGCACATCCCGCTCTATTAGCAGATCAAACAAAAGTGAAGTATGAAGATGGTTCAGAGAATGACAACAAATGCCCTTTGTGCAGTGTACGGCTTGGTGGTTCAATCGGGAATGAGTCTGCTACACATAGGGAGGCCTGTGTGCGCTTCATCGAAACAGCCAGACGGTTTGGAAAAAACGAACCTTCGAGTAAGATCACAACTGCGCTTTATATCTTGCGTGAAATCAAAGCTCGACCTGGAAATGAGAAGACGATCATCTTTTCTCAGTTCACCTCGGTGCTCAATCTCATCGAGCCTTTCCTGAAAAGACAGGATATACGTTTCTCCCGACGTAAGTAATGATGTTCTTGCGCATGGACCTGTTTGAGTCGTATCATTCTAGTGGATGGAATGATGGACATGAAAAAGCGCAACCAGAAACTGATCGCCCTTCAAACCGACCCCGATGTTACTGTCGTATTGATTTCATTGATGGCGGGAGGGACTGGTATGGACAAGTTTTATATATAACAGCATACCTCAAATAATCTGACACGCAGGGCTCAATATTACAACTTGCAACAACATTGTTCTATTTGATCTATGGTGGAACCCTGCTGTTGAGGAGCAGGCATTTGCTCGTGCGCATTGCATAGGACAAAGCAAGACTGTCAATGTTTACAAGCTTATCACACAAGACACCGTGGAAATGCGAATCATGGAAGTGAGCCTGTTTCTTTGCCGTGCTCTGTAAATGGAATGAATATCACCTGAATAGCTCCAGGACAAGAAAAGGAAGCTTGCCCTCAACGCATTGGTTTGTGATGACAATGAGAACATCAAGGAAGTCTCGAACGATGAGATCACTCAATTATTGGGTTGACTGAAGTAGCACCGGGACAATTTAGGTGGGACGTATGACGAAATGTGGGGCGAAATGATGAAGGGATCGAAATAGCACATGTAGCGAATCCGCCAAGTCTATTCTTTGGATGCCGATATGTTTTCTTCGTTTAAACTACCGTCCTGATAAGTCAACTAAGTGGGGGTAGCGTCGATTGAGGCCCTGAGTCTTGATAGGAAAGGAAAAAACCGACACGGTCCCATTCAGGGACAGCGGGCGGTAGGATTCTAGGTTTTGGATTCTCAGGACGCCAACCAGTGATCAATATGTACATGCATGTCCTGGAGAAGCCTTGTACATGTGGTATTGATGGAAGCTACGCAGCCACGAGCGTCACCTCGAAATGCTCCCTTTGGCAGTTCCCACGCATCTAGATCTGATGATGTTTGGTCCAAGCTCTCTTTATAGATAGTGACAGCTTTCGATGTAACTTCTGGACAGCACCCACATACAAAACGGCCTTCAACGGCGTGGCATGTGAGAGAAAACTTACTAGCTTCTGTCTCTTCTCACTTCATGCTCGTCAACCTTTCACCTTCACATATCATTCATCGAAAGCACGGATGTCGACCTTGTAACGACTCTCGTCCGTCGACAAGGTGAAGAGTTGCTGAAAGTGCGAAAGGATTTGGAGGAATCCAAGGTAAGCGTAGTAGCTATTTTCTCTTCCCGGGGTGTAGCCTGTTCATTCAATGCCAATTTTCATTCAATGTATTATGGTTGACCGGAAACTCTACACTACGGCTGTACATGTCGATGTTGTCTCCACATCCGAGAATGCTATAAGAACATCGTTGCAATGGCAGTCGAAATTTATGACGATGATATCCGATTTAGTTTCTCTTCAATTCGAGCACAAAGCGTCATTGGCCTAATTGAAAGCCACCTGCACGGAACTGCGTGCCACGTTGAGATTGTTCAATTCAAGAGATGTCCCGACGACTGTTTCTTTGCTCGAGCTCCCCATCTCGAATCCAAATTCGGCTGTACTGACAACTCCAGAAGATCCAGTAGATGGTTATACCAGCGAGTCGTCTATTGCAAGTTGATCTTTTTATATAATTTATAAGATTACTGATTATGAACATACGTTAGAGTGATATCTCCGTCGATAAAGAAGAACTTGAACATGATGAAAGTTATAAAACGCATATTTCCGTAAATGTAAGCTCCTATGATCGTTCCGTGATTACCGTGTATCCATGTTGCATTTTCTCTAACCAGCGTGCTTCTATTGCAAAGTTAGTCGAAGTCGTGGCTGGAGATTTCATGGACGTCCCTGCTGTAGAGACAGAACTCAGGTCGGTATCATCACAGGATGGCGTACTCGACGATGTTCCCGCAGTCAACGACTTCTACGTGAGGGGGATGATCACTCAAACGATGCGAAGGTGAGTTCACGATTCGACTGTCCTGTGCTGCCATTATGAACTAACGAATGGTATCTTCATCCAAGGTCGGTTTTTCCGTTCCTGGAACTGTTCCTCAACCTCTAGTTCTCTTATCGGCGTCGACTGCGACTCCCGTATTGGAGACCACAATTGGAACTTCGGACACCGTTCTCCCCGCCCCCTTGGCCCCGGTCGAGACTGCGACTGCCGTACCAGACGACACCTCCGGGTCTGACAAGCCCAAGTACAACGAGACCTTGATGCAGCTTCTCTTCCCAAGCCCTCCTCTCCGGCCTTCGGGAAGACGCCTGCAGTGCCCGAAAGCTTCAATGCAACCTTTAACAGGCTCAACGGCGCCTCGTTCTCCTCATCTGTACTTTCGGGTGTTCTTCCTCCCGGTTTCCATCACACTCTCACACGTCACAGCTACAGATACCTTCTGCTACTGCTTCTCACCGTCCTTCGTTTTTTCACCATTCGCCTGTCAACGGTGCCGTTATTACTCATGCTGGCAACGAGGGTGATTATGCAGTACCTATGGATATTTCCCCTCGAACCGAATCTCCCGAATACCCTCCACTAAATGGCCATTCTCATGCCAATGGTATGTCAACTCACACCACGGACCCCTCCCTCTCGGTATCTCAATCTCAATCTACTAAACTCGGCAAATTCTCAGGCTTTGGGAAAAAGTTTACTAGGCAGATTCGGGTCCGATAAACACGCCACAAATTCGTAGAACCATGAATTGCCTCCCGTACACGATGTTGGGTCGAGCTCTACAGGGTCCTTGAAGCGTACACAGTCTGACGGGTCAGATACACGGTCTATGCGCGGGGAACCTTCCTCTCCACGAGACACTCAAACCCCCTGTCCATCATGGTGATGGTAAACGGTTCACGGAAAAGGAAGCTGAACATAATAAGAAAGAAGCCGAACGTCTCCGGATCCATCGTGAAGCTGAGATCCAGCGTCGGGCTTTGGCTGAGAAGATGCAGAGAGAGCAAGCGAGCGCTGTGATGCAAATACGTAATTTCCTCAAGAACTCTATGAAGGGCGCGAAAGGCGCGACTGGGATGGGAAAGGAAATTGAGTGGAGGAGCGGAGGGAGTGAACACCCGAGTATTCGTGTATCGTATACACAGCAAATGTAGCATCATCAACATCAGCACCAGCAGCAACCGACTGTCGGACCAGCGGCAGTTCAACCAAGTCTATCTGCAGTAGTGAAAGGGAAACAGCCAGGTCCGATTCGCACCACGACGAGGGATAGAGATCGTCATGTGAACGGCGTTACAGTTTTTCCTAGATTACACCATCCACATCCTTCACATCTTCCAGTGGTTGGAGTCGGAATTGGAGTCGCAGGGCCTAGCAGTACTTATTCACATGATACTATGGACTGGCGAGACAGCGATCTACCAGGCAAACGGTCGACAAAAGTTCGTTGAATGGACCTTGACGATGATGTTTCTTCCATAGTGTCCTCTTCGACTGACGTCCATAGCACAGGTCGATCTTCTAATTCACATATGTCTCAGCTCTCACACATGTCAGCGATATCATTCGCTTCGGTGGGTACCGTGGATACGTTCAACACGTTCAATACGATTGGTTCATCAAATACTGTGGATTCTGTGGGGAGTGATCCTAGGCCTGGTCCAACCAGGCCATCAACGTCAAGGATTCGAAATAGACTGAGTTTGCTGGGCTTGAATAGGGTTACTTGGGCGGGGGCCTCTTTGAGACCGTCTCCTGATAATTTCACTACTACAGCTTCTGCTCCACCTGCTCCACCACCTCCCACCAATTTTCCGCCGAATTTCGCATTTTCGCATTCTTATTCACCGCATTTGCATACGCATACCCCATCTCAGCACTCACACAACTCGTACCACTCATGCCGCTCCACGCATACACACTCGCTCTCTACACCGGCCTCCGCCCGGTCCTCGAACTCCTTTAATAATGTGCCTTCTTCCGTTGACAGTCAGCTCGTGCATGATTTTCGGAATTTGGCGTCGATGGATCAAGAGCACCTTACAATGGCAGAGTCTCCTCCTCAGAGTATTTCTCCACCTCCAATGCAGCTGTTATCCTTGTCATCGCCTTCACGTTCACAGACACGGTCTCAGTTCCAAATGTGACACCCATACCTCTGAGTTCGAACGCCATTGCTGCGCAGTCCAATGGAACATCTTCTGTTCCTGTTCCTGTTCCTTCGACATTTACTGCACCTGCTTCACCCAAGAGTCCAAATGCAATCCCTTCAAGCTCCAAAGCCTCCGCCTTGGTCCCGGCTCCGACTACTACTCCGGTACCGCAGAGGACAAATTCGGTTACTGCTAAGCTCAATGGACCCCCGCCTGTGATTGCTAGTTCTTCTGTGCGTCTTTCCTTTCTCGTCTCTGAACTGTTTCTCATCTGTGCTTCAGAGTAGTGTTCAGGGTTTCGGTCCTGCTGACACGCATCCACTCAGCGAAACTGATATGCACGAAACTATCAGCTGTCTATACCTGGAAGGTTGAGATATGTGTGTGAAAGTAAGTGACCAATACCAAATACCAGGTATCATTTGTTCGTTTGTCTAACGTCTAGTCAGGTGATCGGAAGTCCCAAGAAAACAAATTATCACATCTCTAAGACCCCTGAAGTCTTATTGGCATATCCTTCTGGCCGAAACCTAGCGCTCGTAACGGTGTCAAGAAGTGCACACGAGGTTTCTTCCAATCTCACCCAATTTCAAATTCAGCAGACAATGGAAAGGGCGAACAGTGCGACAAAGCACCTCTTTTTTCTGGTTTAATTTCAAGGTGGAGTGAGCTATGAACTATCTGTCAATGAATACAACTTGCTTTCAGCGAAAGTGAGTACTTAAGTTATGTTCATTTCATACATGTTTGAATCTTGCTTCGTACAGACAAAAAAGTGTGTACTCAGTGCGGCGAAGTCACTTCGGTATCAGGACATCCACGACCAAAACCAATATGCTCTAGAATTGCGTTTTACTAGCGATAGCAGTGCCATCGAGGCTGCTATGAGGCAGGCAGCTACGAGAAGAGGGTTCGTGTGGTTTGGTGAAATCATCTGCACTTTTAGTGGGTTTAGACTTGTAGTTACTTATATATGCACCGTGTTAAGTTAAAGCGCGAATTGTATCTATATACAGTGTATCTAACAAAAAATCCAGTCGTTGCAGGTGGTATCCTTGGCCAGGAACAGATCTCATACCTGCCTTGAAGCTGCTAGTGTCTGGATCGGACTGGGAAGAAGGTTGGCAGTAAAGATAAAAACGTGATCGGCTCGTAGCGAGCAGAGTGATAACTGCTCTCAGAACAGGAACGTAATGTGGTGATACGAATCACGGAAAATGATTTTCGACATCGTATTTGATGTTCAGCCCCAGTTCTCATACAAAATGGCAAGTACTTAGAGAGTACTGTATCGTGATGGTCTCATATGAACCTCTTTGTTGATTGTACTGGAAAGAACACGTCAATGCGTTGCAATAATAGATATTAGAACAATCGTTGAATGGTATGGCAAAGAAACGAGACAAAGTGGTCCAATAGCCAACATAAAAGCCCAAAAGTCAGATTAAATGAAAATGCATTTCCCAATTGTAACACGCGAGAGCGACCATATAATTCGCCCAATGGTCCCATGAACTTGTTGTAAGGAGGGCCTGCAAATGAATTAGGGGCGATCGGAGGTAAACTAAGGAAGACCCAGAAGGCGGGTGTACCTGAAAGCAAGTTTCTACATCTGAGTGGGACAAGGATGTAGCCAAGGTGAGTGAGGGACCAACGCATACGCCGAGGCGTAGAGAAGGAGTTAATTGCACCCGTAATGTCAGGAGATGATGGCCTGGACGTGAACACAGCGGAAGAGTAATTATTATCATCCGAGTCAAAACCATCGTGCGGACGGAGATGGAGGTAGGTTGGTGTTAGGCGGTGCATGGAATGGCAAGTCGATAGGTGATACGTATCTTGGAGACCTTGATACATCACTTCCGGCAGCGGGTTCTTCATCTATTGGCGTGATGAGAGGTGGAGTAATGTAATAGGCCAGCTATAGGTTCAGCGGTTCGGAGAGGGGATGAAACGATGGGATCACCTCGCGCTGTGAGCGTGTCTCCGACCCCCGACATCACGTAATATACTACCTCGTTCACTGCCATACACCGGGGTGGGGTAAAGTTTCCACGCTGATATGACCCATTTTTATTTGAGTCTATAATGCAGTAATTATGCATTTTCAACTGTAAAGTACTATCAGTGATGCTGAGACTGGACAGTACATTGTATTCAGAGAAAACACATAGAACTACACAGTGATTGCATCTGAATGACACTTAAGTGGGTCTTCATAGCATAATACAGTTGTATTTCCAAATAATAAAGCTCTAATACTAAAACCCACACTTGTGTTTGACTTGGACTGTGACAATATCTGCAGGATTAAAGTGTTTCGAGCTTCACCTTTGTATAGCATTTCAATAGAGCTGAATGATAAGATTGAAAGATAACAATATTCCGGACCTCTGGAGTTAATTCCGAGAATATCAGAAATGATTTAGCATATGTCCCTCATCCGGAAAGCCTTCCGAGGTACAGCATGATTTCCATCAAAGGTAGCACATGGTACAACAAGACCACATGCTACTCCGAGATGCAGCATGATTTCCATCAAAATCAGCACATGCTACAAAAGTTCCACATGCTACAATGATTGATATCAGTTGTTAAGGGTTATTTTGAGGATATATAAGGAGGGTGCTGGCCTCTAAATGAGAACAAGCACTTTCCCCCCCCACTTCCGAGAGGATTTGGTTGGTTGGTTAGTAGCTTCTGGCTATAGTGACAAGTGCACTTTAAACAAAGATGATACAGTGTTAACTCCCACTTTAAACAAGTTAGAGTTTAAGAAAGATAGAAAGAAAGAAAGTTCAAAGTCACAGATTACCATTATGCTTCAGAGTTAATAGCAGTCAGAGTGCTGTGAGTAGTGCACACTCTTTCTGTGGATTGTACTTGTAGTGTATAATACAAATCAGAGGTTTTGTTCAGTTCAGATAAAGTTAAAGAAAGATTTAGCATGCCCGAGTTTGATAGAATCTCGAGAAGAAAAACTATTCAACCTTAACATTATACCCACATGATGAAGATATTTGTAGAGTTGCAGTGTGATCTTGCTTTTTCAATGATAAACCCCCTTGAACTTAGTGTTTGATGATGGTTTGTGTTGGTGTTGGTGTGAGTGTTAGAGCTTGCACTAGCATTTTATGCATAGCCCAGAGTCAGCATATCAATGCTCGGAGCAAGTCCCTTGACATGCACACTACAATGTGCATCTGCACCAATAGGGATATCGGTTTCCGGTGAACGCATCCTTCATTTTCCGTCTGTTCCATAGAATACAGTGCCTGAGCGTGGGCGATACCCGACATCCAACGCATCGCCTTCCTTGAGCGGAGACCCAAAAACCTGAGTGGCAAATAGACAGTTGTGAGGCTTGTCATCGTATGCGATGAAGTAACGATTAAATCCGGCTAGAAGAAATGAACGATAAGGTTCAGTTACCAACCTGATAGCAAATTGGTGGACTCTGGAAGATCGAACATCTTGACCTCCCAGTAGTACTAGTAGGCCTTCTCGAGCTTCGGTATCTCAACGTCATGAAAGTTGAGATTGCAAGCGTGTAACTTGTAGGAAGATAGTTGCGTTCTATTTCATCGTGCTACAAATCACCCGGACTTCGAGGTCGCGAGATGATTTAAGTGCAAGATCATTTGTGCATTCTCAAACGAAGACGTTACTATAAGCAGGTACTGAAGTTGTCCCACGGTTTCAGTACGGTGTGCATAGAGGGTCAAAATACACTTGCCATATGCCTCTTATCCGGCAAACACCAAGGATGTAGCAGCAATACAACAACTGCCTTGTATTCGTGTGTACAATCTGCATCGTCAGAATCCTGGTCCTGACTGGGTTCCTCGAGCAGAGACGCAAGTCATTTCAAATGCCCTCAAATTTTGAGTGACCGCGAGTAAAATTCCTACAAATTGCCTGCTTATGAGTTTTGCCTTGTGTTCCAGATTTGACCCCGTAGAGATTTCGAGCCGGTTCCCCAGACGATATTCGCCAAAGCACCTGCGCAATGCGGCTCAACCTACTGAGATACAAAGTTAGGCACATTCCCATAGCTAGTTTAAATAGTCACGCACATCCATGATATCGTCAAAAGAAATGCAGTACCATTCACCTTGCAATTGATTCCTTGCCCATCCAAACCTGTCAAATACGTCCATACAGCACAACAAAACACCAGTATGACTCAGCTACGTGCGGTCCACAAATGTTGCTGCAGTCTGCAGTACTTGAATAGTCCCTCCGACGCACGGGGATGCGGTATGAACTAGTGATACCTTGGATAGGATAGGACAGAAATTGGCCGATTCTGTTGACGAGGAGTTGAATCTTGGAATAGTACAATCAAGTATTATAAATGTGATCACTATGAATACTACAAACAAAAATTTGTGAAAGGAACAAACAAGAATCGCCAAACATGCGGCTCACTAGTTCCGCTCTCAGCAATCACATATACGAGCCTCTGAACATAGCCCATCGCTTTCTTCGACAAACACAACAGCCCTTACGATCATGGAGTCTGCCTCCAACTGCCGGGAATCCAAATACGATAGAATTAATGCCCATCACATTCAGTGCCTACCTGCATAACAATTAGCGAGCATATTACTCTGGTGTCGCTCTCGGAATCCTTACATTGGTTCCCGGCAATTGATGGACATTATCCACAAAACGAAACTGCCTGCATAACAATTAGCGAGCATATTATTCTGGTGTCGCTCTCGGAATCCTTACATTGGTTCCCGGCAATTGATGGACATTATCCCCAAAACGAAAAATTCGTGGTGTATGAAGTGTTCGGATGTCAGCAGTCACCGACATATTCAGGTGTAGCTCGGGATCAAAACAGGTTAGGTCTCTGGAATAATCACCTCTCTACTCATTAGCATATTTGACTGAACATCATAGCAGTAATTTTTGATCAGCCTCTGTCGATTTGTTGGCTGAATATTTAGTTTCGGTCCACGGTCATGTCACCACTTGCGCATCTTCGATTCATCTATATCGTCCTTCATAATTTGAAAACCCGGCTCATCTCTTATCGTTCGAGCGAACCAAAATCAGCTTGCAAACTGCGATAGTCCTCTACATAATGTCGGAGATGGTAGACGTTAGTGCAGTGCATTCCACCGTGGCGTATAATCACCTCTCTAGTCCGCTTTTTGAAGGCTTGACAGATTAATATTGATGAGAGCCAGTGAGCCATGTTTCATTCCTATGGGATAATAGAACCAAGAACACTAGGCCGCTCGTGATTATCCACTTGATCTGCACCATTCCTCCGCTGCATCCTTGCTGTGAAGACATGAAGTCCCACATGTGCCCGAGCCGACTGAGACGAAATGGTGCATTGTCTTGAACATGGACATGTCCTATCCTAGTTGCTGGAAGCAATCAAAGTAGACGAAGTTTTGTTTGGAATTCGGGATATGCTTGGCCGTGAATTCGTTACCCCAAAAGACTTTCCGGCGACGTGAAATGGAGGTTGAGACTTGGACCATAGAACGGGTGGTTCACGAGGGATAGACGCGTGGGTTGTTTTTTTGGGGCAGAAGGGGCGAGGTTGTCCATGTTGTTTCTCTTTCTCTTGTGCGATGGATATAGATTGAGGAGAATAAGGGTGACGAGTGCCTGTATTTGCAGCCATCGACAAGCTAGCGAAGATCCAGACAAATTGCGTCAAAGGATACTGGTCGAACTCGAACTTGGATTGAGCACGTTGTCATTTCTCGCTGGTAATCTACTTGCGCTAGATTTGAGAGATTCTAGTCCATGTCAATCCTGAGTAATCTTTCTTCTTGCAGTACTCGCCGTAGTCGGAAAAAAGATGAGTTTCTTATTTGAATGTCTAGCCAAATTCACTCACTTGTTCTATCAGTCCACTATTAGACGGCTCATCCAGGTGACCTTCCTCTGAGGTTCTGAAATTCAGTAATGTCGGCACGTTTCCTCGAACTCGGACAAGATCATCGTATCAGTGCTCAAGACTAGTTAATCAATATCCGGTATGTCATATTCTCTGTGATCTCGTGAATTTGTGTGAATTTTTTTCTATTCAGTGGTGATATTGCCGGACTGCTATCCGGACATATTCGACTACTTTCCTTGATTATTGAAATTCTCACCCTTCTCTATGTGGACACGTCCCATAGATTCTCCTGCAGATTTGAGTTTGACTGCTGCCGGAAAAACAAATATGGGAGACGGTGGGTTAACTGAACCAGAATTATCAGGTTCTTGACTTGCCAAGTAGGGTACCGTGTCCGAGTAGACGCCGAACTATTTAAATTTCTTCGTGCTTCTCTTCTTCCTCATTCACAAATTTCTCCTGAAAACCAATGTTCGTTTGCTGCGATTGCCTTCAGTCCTTCACTGGACCAGAAAAACCACTTACAACCATACGCCGAGCCAGGAAGAAGGCACTTCAGTACACCACCACCAATAGGCGATGCCATCGCCATTGCACACAAGTGCGTTTGTTTCTTTTTCACTTTTTCACCAAGAATGCTAAACGTCGTTACCATTCAAACACGATATATATAAGGCTAACACGGTGAGAACAACGAGAACCTGGATTTACCTCTTACTAACGACGCCTCATGATCAAGCCTACAGTGGTACGTTCTCTAAGGCGCCTTCGTCGTGACTAGGGCTTCATCATATTTTGTAGCATCGAACTATCACTCGCCGCATGGTTAGTTTTCCATTTGTGCCATATATGTGTTGCTTCGAACGTTGACGAGCTTTCTGCCAAAGAAACGTGAGGGTCCTTTCCTAGAAAGTGGTATGTATCAATGCTCATTATGGCTCGTGCAAAGTCGTTTTTAAAGCACTCTCTAGACAGAAAGAATGCGTATAACCTGAAGATTTCGGCAGGTCCCTCTGGATCCCACAGTACAACCCCTTCTATGACTACCGATTGAATAGTACGAATATCGACTGTGTATGTTCATCTGCTGCTCCTCATTGTCCATTCAATTGACTTTCTAGTATAGTGTCGCACGGCGCTCCTACAAAGTTCTGAAACCGCTTCATCTCTTCTACACTTCTTGATCTATTTTCTGTACCTTACTGCTCCTTGCTTTGCTGTTGTGAACGACCTATAACTTACCTAAATCTATCTGCTTGTACATAGTCTGTAAATATACTGAACCAGTACGTACCATCATCATATACATCGTATAGTTTAAACAAAATTGTATGTCTGATTTCCATCGATAACAATCGAAGTGGGGTGAAAGACTAAAGTTTATCAAAACCCAGTTTAAGGTTTTGATTCATCCTGAATCCTCAGAAGACGTACCTGGATATTCTACGCATATGTATGGAACGGTAGCGACCACCAGCCCTCCAGACTCCGTGTATTCATTCGTGAATTTCACTTGTCTTACCATGCAGGTATGTACAATTAAATTGAAACATTTCTGCGCTCAACTTGTGAGAATAAGCGCTCAAAAGAATTCTCGTGTAACACGGGTGCTCTTATCTACCTATCGATGCGAACTGGATGGGCACCGCGTACTCTACTTCCTCTTCTTGGGAGAACAACTTCACCTCTTCTCCTTACGAGCCGTGGCAGGGTCTTCTCTTATTGGCTATGTGCGCAACTTTTGTACGTCATCGTTCTTCTTTTCACTGACCTCTGTTGCAGTTCCAACAGTGTCCTCCGTGTATTCTCGGTGACCCACCTCGGCTACCTTGGTCCTCCTACAGCTTTCAGTTATCGGTCAATGACCGTTCCTGCTCCTCTATGACATACATTTCCTATCCGAAACCTACCTGGTACTTTTCGTAGGCAATCCAACCAACGTGGCTGTCTGTGAAGGATTTGCTATCAATAATGCCGCATTCACTGCATATACCATCTTACCGTTTCTTGCTTGCAACTTGTATGCTTCCTAGCGCTCCCCTTTCAGTTTCGTGACAAGAAGCACATTCCTCGCAAACTGCGCGCTACAGGTACATTAAATCCAAGAAGCGTTCTCCGCGATCCAGGTGGCGCCATCGTCGGAATCCTCCTCCTCGGAACATGCTTGGTGGTTATTATCATCGTCAGTCTCTTCGAAGTTGACATCTGGAAAATCAGTTCACCGTTTGCGGTGGCAAAGCTCATTTGACTTTGCCTGGGACCATGACCGTTTTACGACCGGAAAGCCCCCACATCACGGTCATTCGGATTTCAATGAAGAGATGACGATCCCATGTATTCGCAAATCCAGCGAGCGATGACGTCGCCGACGGAAGAGGGTCCGCACCGCAAGGTCCAAACTCCAATGCACGCACCCTTACAAATGCTACAGCCTCAGCCCAAGTTATGGACAGAAACTCGCCGGTTTCCTCAACCAAATCATCTAAACTCAGCCAATCCGTCGAAAATTTCCCAAACACCTGCCGTCGTCTCCAAATCACACATGACGGGTTGGCTGCCCACTTTTCCACCTTTTTTCACTGCCCTACCGCTTTGTAGATGACGGAAAGAGGGACCAGGAGGAGGAAATGCAGAAGGGCGGAGACTCTTGAACTCATCAGAGTTACCTTGTATAAACTGCTAGAAAAAAATTGAGTGCTTTGAGTTCAAGTATCTGACAATCCCAAAGTATCTTCCCGACAGTTCGCGTTCAACAAAGTATGTGAAACTGAGTACTGGTCACTCATTGCCGCCTGTCCTCTACAACATTTATCTACTCCATTTCATTTGAACCTACCATTCACCTTATGACGCCCAGAGTATGTCTCAATCCGTGTCCCAATTGTGATTTAATAACGCGCGGCTAACTAGGAGGAACTACATGCAAGGATTGTAATGACAGAGCACATATGTAATAACGGTCTTCGCCGCAAACTTGGTACATACTTAGATCTTGCACGATGTGTCTCTGCATTTCGCGTCCGCGTCTCTGTATTTTGCGTCCGCGTCTCTTTCATGACCCGGGGGCGCCTTATCAATCAAGTTTATATCTGAAGATTCTTTTGTATGTTCACTCGTCCTGAATGACCTGAAGAGTGCTCAAATTTCATTCAAATTTTCTGCCACATAGATATCCTTTGATCCATCTTGTTTCTCAAGGGCACTGTGATGCTTCCTTTCATATCTATGGAATCAACCTGGGAAAATTGTCAACACGCTTGTGAAATCTTCACTTTAGGAACATAGAAATTCAGAATATAATTGGTTCAATCTGAATGGATTCATGATATAAATATATTCGTCTACTGTATACATAATTCAGAAATAACTCGATTCAACCGAGTTTTCCACCCTGCTATCAGTCCAATTGAGAAGATATCATTCTAATAACAATTCCGTCGAGCAGAATTTTTTCTACTTTCGGTGTGGAAGCTAAAACCGTCCTATGATATCACAATCTATGGTTTAGGTTTCATATCATTCTTCCGTAAATCACTCATAAGAAGCTGATGTACGAAAGTATATAACTACTAGTACAGGATTTATTGGGACGCATTTTCGTCGACGCGCGTCGTTTGCTTGACAACCAAAGGTAACACAATGAGATGTATAAAACAAAGTCGCATAGATTGTTTCCTGCCTTTCACCCCCTTCCAAATTTACGGGTTCTCAATCGGCGAACAGTGAAAACCCGGAATCAATGCGCCCATCCTGGCTCACGCTTTCCATGATATGGGTGTTCCTCAATCTCTCAGTCTTGTGGGCCTCCGCCCACAGCGCAAACGGACAAGATACAGAGGCCGAAGTTGAAGATACGATTTGTGCATATGACCCTCACAAGCAGCTCCAGCGACGCGCCACAGATGTTTCTGGGAATGGTACGGATGTGGGTGTTGGCGTTGATGTGGGTAGCAATTGTTTAGATGTATGTATATGACTGCTTGGCTAATGCAATGCAGGTTCCGTCTGTGGGACTTACGCTAGGAAATATCACAACAAAACTAGGAAATATCAATTTGACGTACGTTCGGAATCAAATTTTTACTTTTTCAATGGTTAATGACATTGGCTAGTGTTACCAATGTTACTATATCTGTTGGGAACATTGAGTAAGTAGTATTTTACTCCTTTCCTAGTAATGGGCACCTACTTATTCAATAATTAGCATTGAGAATATAACAATCGGGAATATAACTGTGATAGTCTCCGTTCCACTACCGGGAGCAAGTCCGATAAATGCATTCAGTGCCTCCGTGAGTTCTCCTTTACTGATAATCCACTCAGGCTCCCAGTACTAAAACATATTGTCCAGACCGCTAGTCAAAGTATCACAACCTCCACTGCTTCTGCCACATCTACTATATCTCCCTCTACGACTGTCTCTCAAACATCCACAGGGCTTTTCAGAATGAAGCGTCAAGACTCTTCCACCTCACTCACTACCATTACGCCTTCGCCTACATCCACTTCCGGAGTAGGCTTGCCTAATCCCACAGTCTCCGCTTCAGTCGGCGGAGGCCCTGTCGGCTTAGGAGCAGGGAACGTGGACACAGAGATTGGCAACATCACGATCTTCGTTGGAAATGTGAATGTTTCGGTTGGGGATGGTGCGAATGGCTCTCCGTCTCCTTTAGGCCACGTTTTTAACTCTCGATATTATTTTTTTAAATAGTCAGTATCAAGAATGTGACCATTGGAAATATTTTTGTTCTAGTTCAGATCGGACAACCGGATGTACGTGTTTCCCCTCAGTGGCATACATATTTCTACGGAAGCTCATTTTTTTTGGTTGAATATAGCTGAATGGCGCTATCGGGAACTTGTCGAGTCAGCTCGGGGCATAGCGTTCGGAATGACAGTGACGATGCATCGTCCTTCCTCGAGTATTATTTAGACAGCAGACTTGATTCCGAGTTTCGATTTGATGCGGTAGGGATATATATTGGACAATGGGATATATCAGGGATATATATCCCTTTCTTAACGCTAATACACGGAAAGCCCAGCTGCAATAACCAAAAAATTTTGAAGTTAAATGTACTTTGGCATTACTGTAGCTGCTATACGTAGCTAAAGAAGTCCGCAGATCCTTCAACCTTTTCATTTCCCTCATGCTCCGAACTTGTACTTCGTGTTGCGAGCAATCAATGGTACTGCCTTTAGAGGATATGCTCACTAACACGTACACGAACTGGAGCCAGTGCAAATTCAAGGCAATACATACACTAAGTTCGTAGTCCATATTGACAAGGGTATAGGTAGAGGAGATCAGCGGTACCATAATACACAATACATACTTACTTACATTCCTGTTTTCATCCTTTCTTCGTCCATAGAACCAGAAAGTCTAATCCGTTCTAATGATACCAGCCAAATCGCGAGCCAAGAAATACAGTATGCTATGGTCATTTCAAATTTGGCACTGCGTTGGCAGTCGCAGGCGCTCCAGATGCAGTTGCAATTTCGGACTCCCGCCGCCCGACTTCATGTTCATCCTCAAAAGGATCCTCGTCAGCATCTGCATACAATTCCTCGGCATCACTATCCAGTCTTGATATGGCAGCTGGCGCAGGAGCAGTCTGTTCGGTGGAAAACCTCGTTGATTGACTGGGAGCGCCGCCAACCGGAGGGCTTGTAGGACTTTGTGCTCTAAAGAGAGAGACAGGGCGTTTGGGTAAAAGGCCTAATTTGCCTGAGAGAGTTCGGGGAGAATATGATGTTGACTGATAGTATCGCCGACAGGAAGCTAAATCTTACCTGCATCTATTCCCGAGCTCGTAGGAGGTGTTCGAGGGGTGGTTGCAGGCGTGAATTCGACGTCTATTGAAGGAAAAACGCGGATTGCCATGTGAAAAACTCTTTCTTTATCAAAATAGGAAGGACATACGACTACTCCTGGGACTTGGCGCGGCATCATACCCACCTGCAGACGAAGGCGGAGATTCGGATGTAGGATTCGGGTCATAATACGCAGGTTGTTGCTGGTCTTGTCTCGCAAGTTGTTCTTCCTGTTGCTGCTGCTGTTGGAGTAATTGTTGTTGTTGCATTTGCTGCATCCGCTGGTGCCGACTCTGCTGCTGCTGCGGGTTCGAGTTTGGCTTCGGGTTCGGGTAGGGAGCTTGTCCGGGTTCGTAAGGATACGTGTCACCGCCTACACCGGTACTCCAGGACGAGCCTTCTTGTCTATAAAAGATGATGATAAGACGGGAAGAAAGGGGATTGAACGGGACGTTGGTGTACCTTGACTGATCAAACTCTGAGATCTTCGCCTTCACTTTCGAAAAGATATTCCCAAACGTCTTCTTGCCACCTGTGCGAGCGCGGGTCAGTGGAAGTGAACAATGTAAATGACTAAGACAAACTTTCTGCGATCTTATTGAACTGATCACTAATCTCCGTCATCGTATCCTTCTCCTGAGCAGGTTGAGGATATGAGTCACGGCGACCGCTGAATGTCGGACGAGGGCGTTGTTGCTGCTGTTGAGCTTGCCACGCGGCTTGCTGTTCTTGATCTTCCATGTAAAGCTGTCGAGCAAAATGCGCGTCGAGCTCCTCTTGAGACTGCGGATTGGAATTGAAAATATTCGTTAGCAACCAATTCAAAGACGTAGGCAAAGGATGGCGACGCACCGCAACGGGCTCCTCTTGTGGCCTATGTTCACTGTGGTACTCAGGATCGCTCATTCCCAGTAAAACATCAATTGCTTGGTCAGAATTGCCGCCAACAGATTCCAGTACAGATTGTCTGTGAAAAGCGAATGAGGTCGGGGCAGCTTACAGCGAAACATCGAGCGCGGGCTCACAATAAGGATTCGTCGAAATCCGGAAACATCCCTTGTAATGTTGACAACTTTGGATCCCGAACTCGTTCTCGTTCTTCGGGTTGCTGAGGCGTTACTGCAGCTGCATCAGTCTGAGGAGCTTCTGTGCCGGAGTGTACAGGCTCTGATGCAGGATAAAGATCCGCAGGAGCATCAAGGCTCACTGCAGAGTCACCGCTACCTTGTTCAGTACGCGGAGGAGGGCTGACTGGAGGTGCGGTTTCGGTCATGTTTTTCGAATGTCTTGAGAAAGTAAGTTTAGGATAGGATGGGATATGACAGTTGTTTATAATGGCCTTCTTCAGGATCGTAGAGAGGAATCCAAGAATGTCTGTGCAATTGATGATGGTACAAGATTATGATGTGCAACTCTTACTTTGGCAATTACTTGTTAAAGACTTTATCTGATCCTGAAAAGCCTGATTCCCGATGATGATCCTTGTAATTGACAGTTGGGGCCTGTTGGGAAACGAAAAGAGTAAGTTTCCGATGAAGTTTTTGAGATAAAAGTGAAGCTGTGAATCAGCTGTGAATTGAGTGGCTATGTAAGCGCAGTCGGGTCAGTTGCCACCACAATCTCCTTGTTTTTCTCTGTTCTGCTCCACGGCAACCGCACAATGTAGTCTCGCGGAAAAAGTGCTCAAGAGAAGGAAGAAAAGTTCGTAAATGTATGTACATTACTACTTAGCAGTCTCGCAAACTAGAATTCACGAGTGAAGAAGTATCTCGTGGTTTCCTAGCATTTCCCAGAGACCAACAATAGCGGCGCAAAGACTCGCAAAGATCTTTAGCGAGTTCCTGCCAGGCACTCTCTTGTATCTTCATTCCATCGTACCATCCCCCAGTTCTTGTCGAAGCAAGATCATCACGGTTAACGCCTAACTTGCGCCACCTGCGGACTCGTCTATGTCACGGCCCACAACTTATTCAAATTTTGTCAGGACGAGCATCAGGGATTCGAGGACAGAACAATGCGTACCTGTCAACCTAAAGGTGTCAAGCTCTTCCATATCTTGCCATTTAACTGACATGCAAGCTTGGAATAATCTTGAATCTCGGGAGCTTTCCAGCCAACTATTCATAGATTTGACCTGCCGCTTTTACTCTACGAATCTTCCTGCCGGAATTACCATTGCACTCCTCACACTACGACGTCCAAGAGTTCTCGAGGTACCTCCTGTGAGCTTAATTCCTTACACCTCAAGCATTACCCACGCTCGGAGATGGTGTGCATGTGGATTTACGTGTCGTACCTAAGACCTGCATATCGTATCGTTTTGTTCTAGTTGAGGAGTCATCGAATCAGGAGCGTTTGTATCATGTATGATGATTGTGAACACTGAAATATAATGCCTGAATGACTTGAGCTAGATATTCTTCGGAAACATTGAAACTCATTGAAGGTGAGATGGGATTGATCACTGAGAGGTCATCCTAGGTCATCCTTGCATTGAAAAGGTAAGTTCATAGACCCCTGCTTTGCTTTCTTGAATCAAGTCTTGCCGAGCGAGTTATTGCGATAAATCATAAGGTTAATAATATTCCCACGGAAAACAGTAAGTCTCAACGCGTTCAATTAACCCTCAACCATGTCTGCTGCATTGTACTCTGAAGATGACGAGGACGATTTTCGTATGCATAAACAGCCGAGTTAATGTTTGCCGAATTTGACTCAACCTTCTTCCCAGTGTCTTCTCTGAAGACTCGGAGTGGCTCTTCAAGTTCTACCTTGTCTTCACGTCCTAATACGTGCGAACGAGCGGAGGCTGCTGAACGCAGTGATCGCTACAAACTGGCTGTGGAAGTCCTCAGAACTGTCTATCATGAATTCTACGATGAGCACGTCAGATTGGCACAGGAGGAAATCGACAAATTGAAATTTTCCAACGAGCCGCTACTAGAGGAGTCACCTTGGATCACCTTTTTTAACAGTACAGATGGTGAAGAACAGGTCATTCAACTCGGGGAAGTGCATACTATCATCTTAGAAAATGCTTTTGACGATTCCGAAGAATTATACTATTACTGCTGTGCTCCTGCATCGCAGAATATGGAAGAACTGGAATTTTTTACAAACTTTGTACCACACGCTGATGCACCTGAGTTCGATCTGGATGAATTCTTGGCCTGGGATGAAGATGCTCGAGATTCATTTTCATTTCCATGGCAAAACCTGGAAGATCCTGACCGTTCGTCCTCAGTCATTTTTTTTGTTTTGAGGTAATATCTACTCACGGGGAATGTAACATTCTGTGCAGGAGATATCATAGATGTTGAGGTTGCACGAATTCTTCACTACAAGCATCAATTCACATTTAAGGAGATCGATAAATTGGGATTATTGCGTCTTTCACTCCGAGGTCCCAATGACAATCCGGAATCTGGTTTGATTTGGATGAATTCTCAAAGGTGTATGCAACTCGTAATTTGTGATTTTCATTTAATCTCACTGATACAATGCCCTTTGGCTGCCCAGAGAAACTATTGAATGGCAATCATCTTGCTCTGCGAAGCTTCAATTACCAAGATTTCCGACCAATTTCTCTCATGGCACACTTCTTGAGGCAATAAATGCTGGTGTATATCATTTCTGTGCTAATCTCAACTGCATCACTTCTCATTGCGCTACACATTATACCGGTGACATTCGGAAACGCAGTTAGTCTGATGCCAAATAGCATTATCCCGAAAACCATCATTGAGTGATGCATTTTTTATTTCAGTCACACAACCCTTTGAGCCTTGTGAACCCAAAGAAACACAAGAAGGTATCTTGCTCAAATATGCGAATTTGAACCCTTGCAGCAAGTTCTGTTTCATGACACATTTGAATGAGGAGACAATAGTCAGTCTTTTATTCTGCAGTAGTGGATCTTGGCTTACACACATTTATCGAAGGAAACCAGCATATGGCGGGCAGAAGATGAACAAGAATTGCGGGAGTTGCTAGCTTTTATACCTGACGCCAATCCATGTGATCTTGCAGTGATGTGTCGAAAACGCTGCTATGAGGTTTGTCGCCAATCCTATTGTTTCTCCTGCTTTTCAACGCCTATGTGCCATGTCAGGTTTACTTTCATCGGAAGAATATTTATCCAGACAATGAAATTTTGAAGAGACGTTACAATGAAAACCTTGAACGAAGAAACGCTACATTAGTTTCGCCATTACCTAGAGATTTATCGGGTGCATAACTAGCAGCTTTGGTATTCCTCTCCACCCTTATACTGATGGTGAAGCATCCAGAGTTTGAAAATCGCGTTGATGGATTGGGAAACCCTATACTTGATTCTTCCCACAATCCCTGCATACATCAAGGTAGCTGTGGTACCGAGGCTCCCAACTGTTCTTGCTATACTTCGAGGCATTACTGTCGAAGAGAATGTAGATGTCCCCAAGATTGTAAGGCTTTGATTGTTATGATGTGTCCAGAGTATCACAACATTATTAGGTCCCTATCGCATTCCCGGATGTCATTGCAAAGTCAAAAAAGGTATAGCATGCAACACTACACGATGCCCGTGCCGCGAAGCTGGTAGAGAATGTGACCCTGAACGCTGTATAAGCTGTGATGCGAGGTGATAGGGTTTTGTTGAACTCCTTCAAGTTGATTTACTGACGTACTCATTTAGAGCTTGCGGTAAAAGTTTATGTCAAATGACTGGGAACGCTCTAACCTCCTGGTACTGAAGGATATAATGGGATAACAAACTGCCGCAATGTCAGAATGCAACAAGAGCAGCACAGCGTATGCTTTCAACTAGGTTTGTTATCCAACTTCTCTAACGGTCTTTCTGAGCAGCAATTCCAAATCGAAATCAAACCATCGGAGAGACACGGTAATGGAGCGTTTGCTTGTAAATCAGCCAGAAAGAATCAGCTCATCGGAGGTGAGCGCTCGAGCACTTGACCAAAAGATTTGCAATTATGGTCTTCATTTTTGGAACAGAGTACGTGGGTGAAATACAAGGCAGAAATACTACAGACGAGTACCAGTGAGTAAACGGCAATGGATTTTGAATGCCTATCTCAGAGTCTGAAATATTCAGGATCATCAACAATTTTAGAGAGCTCAACTACATCTTCGACTTCAAGGAATTTGAGGTTCTGAATAGTGCCACCATGGGAAATGAACTGCGGTACCTCAATCACGATTCAGAAATCTTCAACTGTAAGCCCGAGAGTGAGTTTTGTTCATTACAATTCTGTTCAAACCATCTACATGATGTATGCTGTAAAACAGTGATGCAGGTAAATGGTGATCTTCGAATTGGTATCGTTTCTAGTATGTATTTTTCATTCGATATACACTTGAATTCACAGCTGAACATCTGGTTTGCAATAGCAAAATACATCAAAAAAGGCGAAGAATTATTTCTCGACTATGGAGAACAATATTGGTCCAAAACCGATTAATACAGCCTTAGCTATTGATTGTAATACCCCATGATACGTGGTAACTACATGTGGTCTATCGTTTCGCTTTCTTAGTCGATTGATTTGAACCATCGAAAGCCGGAGCAGACTTTCTTTTATGTGTACCTCCACCTCTAGCTTTCCCGGCCGTTACCAGTCGCTGAAGAGTGTTCTCGAGGATTCGTTTCTCCCCAAGACGCACGAATATCGCCTGGTACTTGTTAAGAGGCATTCCAGGCTCTTGTTTTAGAATTTCTTCGTCATCCTAAGATGCGAAGATACAGATACACGGTCAATGATAGGTGAAAGAGCGTAAGCGAAAGAAACAAAGATATTACTGACTTTCATCGTCGAAGGATATTGTGCGATTCGTTTTTGCAGGACAACGAGGATGAGATTTAGTGCTTGAGAGTCTAATTTCGGTTTGGGAGGTTTACTCTTTTCTTGCGCCTTTTCCCATTCGTCCGACGACAGATAAAGCAGTCGTGTCAGAGATACCATAGCCTCGGGAACCTCGTAGTCAGTTCCAAGGACAAAAGTACTATGGTCAAGAGTTTGCAAACTTTCGGTGATTGCAAGTGAAGGCGTGAAACGTACTCGTCACCCCCTTCCTCCAACCACCAATCAATTCTCTCAGTACTTGAAGTAGATTCGGACTGTTGGGAAAATGTTGCAAGTACTAAATCTGCCCTAATTTCGACTACGTCTGCTGGATTGCCCTTGCCGCTTCCTGGAAGGGGTAGGATATCGACGTGACCATACCTTCCTATATAAACGTTTCATCGATAAAAGTGGTCAAAGAATTTGGTCAGAGATCGTACGGAGTAGTTCACTGTTTGGTAAATCGTCGTATGTATTCCACTAGAATTCTCTGAGACCCTTCATATATTACTGTAGTCAGAACTGGAATAACTCACAATTTGTTCTCCGGCTAGAATTCGTTTGGTTGTCACCATTTTGAGCTCCTTTTCTTCGTAGAAAAGTTTCGCCTGATACCAAAACGTTAGTAGCTTCATGAATAGATATAATTGTTCAGTTGGAATTCTTACATTCTCAGAACCGAAACGAGCCTAGTTGGTTATTGTTCAGAACGGAGTGAAACAAACATAGTATGTCGAGGGCAGCCTTACATTGAGAAGGTCCGCAATAGGCACCATCGAAATGTCTATAGCATCTTCCTCGCCTTCGTCACCATCTTCAGACGGGCTATCATCTTGAATAGATGTATCTTCCACGCCGGTCGTTTCGTCATGTTCGTCGACATCCATGGCACTTCCTATACTTTTGTCAGCTTCAGGATTCATCTCCTCTCCGTCGTCACCGCCATCTATGTCTACACGCTCGACGCCGAAGCTTCTAGAGAGAATGCGACTTCCCATAACATGATAACGTTCGAGTGAGTAGTGATTTGAAAGTGTTTCCGGTGGGAAAAGGTCCGGTCGGCTCTAACAAGAAGAATTATCCCTTGTGGGTGCTTGTAATGATCAGGCGAATCTTGATATACATACTTGTATAGCTCGAAAGACCTTGTCATGGTAATCGCGTTCTGCGTCCTCCTTTCCTAGTTTTTCTAAGCCAAGAAAAATTCAGATAATTCCTGTACCTAAAGAACCACTCAAACAGACCTACCACCGAAGTACCCTCAAGCTCTTTCAGGTCTTTTTCGCTCCAGAACATTGGGGTATCAAAGGCGGTAGGTAAAGTTGCTAAATTAGGATCGTTAACATGCATTTCAGCAAGAAGCCTGGGAGATAAATTACCAAGATAACATCTCCACTTGGAGTTGAACGTCTGAGCATCCTCCCACATCATACACAAGATAAGTCCTGACCATCCCTTATCCAATTTGTGTTCTTTCCAGGCTCGGGGTCCAAACTTCTCAGGTAACAATGATGTTTTGGTCGAAAGCGTTAATGGACGAGGGATGGCGAATAATGTTTGGTCTTTCTACACAATTACTGAGCCCGATTTTTCTAAATGAGGTTGGGCATTGGCGCACCTCGATGTTTTTCAGAGCAACAGCACCGCGTCCTCCTTCGGTAGAAGGAAAATACTTGAATCCAACGGCATCTAAATCAATTCTTCCGCCATTGCTTTGAAACCAGGAGAGAAATTCTTCCAGTTCTGGGAGCGACATGAAAGCGATGATATTGGTGGACGCAAAAGTCTATGTATCGGATGTCCGGACCAGGTCAATTGATGTATGACCGGGCCGACCAAGACCACCTGCCCCGGGTATACGAAGGCTTATTTATTGCACCTCTCTCGAACAAACTATACGCGTCATTATCGCCAGAAACGTGCTCGACTAACTTCTCCTCCAGTAATTCAAAACAAGTTTTTGGTTTGGTGCTTTCACTATCTACAGTCTGAAGCTTGACCTGACCAATCACCAATTTGTTCGCATTTCAAAGGTAAATGGATCGCTTGACCGTGGTTGTCAAAGCTCTGAACAATCTTCAGTCTTGTAAATGTCCTTATCATGGACACACGTCTGCTACTGCAGGCAAATTGCGACAGACTCTTAGAACAATATGAAGCTAATATGAAGGTCGTTCGAGAGCTTCAGTCTACTCTAATTGAAGATGTGCTTCCGTCGCTTGCAGACGAACTCGCCCTAGACTCAGAGCAGATAGCTTGGGCGAATCAATACCTGGAAGATAGTCGTACGTCTGTACACCTTCGTTAGAATTATATCACTCAGGAACCTTCCTTTAGAAACCATATTCCAACTATTGCGAGTACGTTTGTTCCGCCTGTTTGAATCTAGCCGTTCCTTACGCTCAATTCTTTTTAGCGTGAAAATTTTACTAGGTCGTTTGCGATGGAATCTATTCGTAAAAATTTATTATGGCGTTTCAAGAAACTATGGCCTCCGGAGCCGGAACTTCCTCTGACGAGAGTGTATTTTCTTCCTGCTGACGTCCGAGATCCCTTTGGGCGGCCAATCATCATCATTCAGGCCATAGGCTTCAAGAATTCCTCGGACACTTACATTCCGCTGCTCATTCGTGCAATGGAACAGTTCAGGCTTCGATTAAAGACCTTGAACGACACGTCTGATCAAGGGTTTCCTGTTCTCCAATATATTGTTTTGTTCGACGTCAAGGATCTTTCGGTGCAGAATTTGGTTCGTTCGCTTCGCGCCAAAGGAACACTTGAATCTTCCAGACTGATTCCTCCTTATCCCAGAGTGTTGATTTAATTTCTTGGGTACTCCGAGACCTGGTCCCGCGGTTCCCTGGCATGCTTGCAGCAGGTAGGTCTTTTATATATGTTGTATTCGCCCAATTTACAGGCGGAAACAGTTTTCATTGTCAATTCGTCGTGGGCGCATTCGGGAATGTGGAATATAGCCAAGTGAGTGACAATCTACAGTCATCTGCATCAAGGGGCTCTTTCGACGTTCTTTGAAAGGCGTGTACTCCCTGCCTCTGCCGTTTCACGAGTGTTCTTCTCTTCTCCGAAAGAGCTAGTGGCTTTCTTCACACCTGCTTCCTTACCGAAGGGTGAGTGTCATTTTGACTTTGCGATAACCCCAAATTAATGCAAGGACCTCTGGCAGATTACGGGGGAAGCATACCGCCTTTGTATTCCCTGGCTAGTAGACCTGCTACTCCGGGAAGTGCTTCATCTTCTCCCGAGCTCACCAAATTGCACAGTGACATAGGCGCTTCGACCAGCCTGAGTCCTGCCCACATTTCACCAACTTCATTGCTCAATCCGTTCTTTGGTTATCCTGCTTCAATGGCTAGGGGTTCTCCGTTGTTGCAACATGGACGTCGCCGAAAACGGGATCTCCTTCACACATTGGCCGTCCTTTTTTGGTTACGCTGGCGACGGCTGATTACTACATGTCTATGGCTAATCCCGTTGGTATTAGCAGGAAGACTGTGGTTCCGCAAATGGCTACTTTTGTCCCCTTCAGGTGCATTTCTATTGAGGAATTGGTGGGAGTCGTTGACAATGTAGCCAACATCTGCCAGGCACCACCTTCGTGTTTTGGTACACTAAATGTAAATTACTGGCGATATTTATAATTATCTGATTTCATTCTGCCTATTTGGGTTGCATTTACCAGAGCTAAGTTTGAGGTTCATGGACCATGCTCCCTGCGAGGGGCTATTTGGATAGTGTGGACGGATCTTTGACATTTCAAGAAGCTCAAACGACACACAAGTGAACAAGTTGGCGTTAGGGACCATGTGTTGCACCGGTGAGAACGGTTACTATCTCTCAATCTCTCAATGCAGCCTGACTAGGTATTGATACAGAATCCATATTTATGATACTCGAAACAGGCTAACACTATAAGAAATATTCTGGCAACTGCGAGACGTCAGAACAAGGATCAAGGATTAGCCTGATCGAAACGCTTACCTTTCCACTTGCGTTCTGAGCAGCTTGTTGTGTTGGTCCATCTCGCTCGTTTTCAGGCGCAGCTTCAAACACATTGAAATACATAGATCCACCCGGACCTACTTCTAAGATACTTGCGGAATTACCGCATCGATAACAATAATTGGGAGCTGACCATACGGTCGAGAGGTGCCGGTCGAACAACGATGCGTAGCCTTCCATACATAACTGATGTGCGCGGAGGATATGTGACATCTTGTTGATCTCCAAGAATTTGTGTACGACCCCAGAACCAAATGTATAGCCGGCACCACTAAAGCAATCCGTGAAATTTCCATGCAAGATATATCTGTTACACGCTACGAACCGAGGTGAGATGGCGAAATCCTCTTTTTCAGGATCGGGATCCGACCAAACCAAATCGGCCATTGGTCCTTCATGTGGTATTTCTAAAGACAGAGAATAAAAATCGCTGTGAAAGGAAGCGATGTCAAAGTCATGCTTACCTCGAAATCGATCCACAACTTTTATTTGGTCTATTGAGTGTATTGAAGGTGATAGACCTGAGAGAATTTGAGCACAAAACTATGGTGTGAGAAGGAGACCTAGTCACCGCCGTGAACGCAAAATATCCGATCGTCAATGACAACTGACAATGTCAGAAAGTCGAACATGTCCGTAAAGTATGTCCAGACATGCGAAGATCCGTACTTGCGGACACATTCAGTGTAAAATCCGTAAGTCTACAGTTTTGTTCGTCAGGATTTGTGACTTGTGGATTGTTTGGTTCACTTACTTGAGTTACGGCTCTGGATTCATGATTTCCTCGAATCAGTTGTACTCGATCTGGATAACGCAGCTTCAAGCATGTCAAGAGAGATATTGTCTCCACGCTGAAGAGGCCACGGTCAACGTAGTCGCCTGAGGAGTTATCGGCACACGAATGTAGAATCGGTGCCAAAATTCACCAAGGAAGAGATAGTTTGTGTTAGGAGCATATCCGCCTATCCTGAATATCTCAATGAGATCGTAGAACTGTCTTCAATGGCTAATGAACGGTTTTTTTCGCTGCAAAGTCGAATATGACTCACCCGTGTATATCTCCCACTACTGTCACTGGTGCGCTAACATGGACGACATTAGATTCTCGCATAAGGACCTCCTTCGTCTTCTCGCATATTTCACGAAGGAGAGCTTCATGCAGTAATTGTTTCCGGAGAAGTTGTTCAATACAAGCGTCAAGGTCAAAGGGAGCCATGGGTTTACCCAATTTGGTAATCTGTTCGCGAGAAAGTTGTTTCGTCATTTTACACTCCAAGCCCCGATAATTTCTTCTTCGTCACGGCTCTTTTTCCCGCAGAACTCGAGTGTCCCCCAAATTGTTTGTCATGCAACCCTAAATGCGACAAAACCAACTAACGGTCGGCTTCACCGCTATTCGTTCATAGAGCTACAAACCTAGGTCCGAAAGATAAATGCAGGCCATCGCGATTTTTTCGCACTTTGCAAGGTAGCCAGAAGTTCAGGTTCAGCCAAGGTTTACCGATACTTTCGTCCCCTTACATTCTTCTGTTCTTCAATCTTCTTCTCTGCCCTCATCCGTACTTCGTTTTCTTTCCGCGTACTGATTCTCTCCACACAGAAAGTTTGTCAAGGCTACATAAGATGGTAACGATTGCTTCCGGATTTGACGCTCTGTTCAAAAATGCACATCTGAACATTCACGTCCATTTGATTCCAATGAATAAACTTTCATTTTGACTCTCAAACTCTAATACATCTAAATATTCGGTGCTGGACGTCACATTGTCTTCATGCTTGATGCTACTGCACCGATCCTATTCCATTTGACCATTCAATGTCTTTAGCCCCGCATTTACTCATGTGTTACTCAACTTTTGTCAATTCATTCCATAGAGCTTGCGTTTTCCTCGTTCCCTCGTCCGTATCACGTCTCAGAGCCGGCTGTACTGACGTCCTGATAAAAGGAGAACTACGTTTTAGGGTCGGTAATTTGCACATACTATCCTCTGCGATCGGTGCTAACATTTTTTGGTAGAAGCCTAGTAGAAGCACAGATGACTGAATTCCATTGTGTGCTGAATGTAGAGCCAAGGCTTCTGAATTTCTCCGGCGTTTCCACCTTCATACTCTGTAGGTGTGTTTATTCATTGTCCTACATTATTCGTTTGCATCTTGAACCAAACGTTGACATATATGCACTTTGCACCATTCGTGAGACTCTTATAATTATGTGTGATATCTTTCTGAAATGTCAGTGCATTCCCTTATGTGCCCAGTCTCCAATGTCATTTGGGCGAAGTTGCTCATGTTCCATATATATTGTCAGTGCACCACATCCTAAATGGTTTCTTCGGATTAACTGATACATCGGTCTTCTGTAGATCGATCTAGGGCAGAGAGATATTCTTGCACACCATAAAGCCACGTTCAAATGCTTTCGGATTTCGCCGCCGAAATATACTTTGACAGCTTGGGTTGCATTACTTTTGAAGTGTTCGTGAAGGCGAAAGTTGCCTCAGGTTCGCAGCGTCTTCATTTAAAGTGTCCTTGTAAGTTCCAGATAGTAAAGTCTACCCGTAAGGAACGGGAGATCCTGTCTTTCGCTACCATGTAAAAAGTAATTATTTGGTAAGCCCCTCGATTCCGCATTCCCTACTTTGGATGACAGCCAAGCGGTGCCGGTGTATTTAAGGGCAGACCGCTTTTCGAACTTTCTCCATTAACGCCTCTTGCTCTTGGCCATTACTTTTCGCGCCTCCGCCACAACGTCTAAACCTAGATCTTGGTTCATTATGCATGGTACCCCACGCACCTATTCCTATGATGATCAGGGAATCGGATATTCACAAAACAATGCGACCCATAGTGGGTCCAACTATCCATACACTCAACAAATTTTCCATGAACAAAACAGCGGCCATTATTATCCTTCTACAAGCCAGATTACTGGTGCAATGGCCCATGGTGCTATCTCGTTTGCTATCTGACAATGCTTCAGGCTAACGGGCTGAACAATAGGTCACTCCGACCCCCGATATAGCCGTTCTACAACACCTGCTCCCGGAATGGGAAACCGCTATGGACGACACCCAACGGATCCCAGGTACTACCAAGGCTCATCAGGAACGATAGCCTCGTCATCACACAACGGAAACGATTCTCCCTCGGCTCCCTTGTTTAACATCCACCAGTATCCTTCCTCTCAGAATCCTTCTGGCCATCGTAGTCGATTCATTCCTACTCCTTCAGACATCGTTCACGCTTATAGCAATTATCCGGGGTCCATTTCAGACCAACATATCTCCCAGTCGCCCTCGACGTACTCTACTCCGGGACATCACTCCCGTCATCATCGTCAAACTTCGACGAGTCCCATCCTGAGCAGCAGTCGAGCCGCTCCTGTACGCGCCTCTTACGGGTCTGCCACATCCCCCAGCAATGAGCGCTATCCATGCGAGATCTGCGGTAAGACTTTCTCTCGATCTCACGACCGCAAGAGGCACCACGAAACGCAGCACATCGCGAGCCCTGTTCTGCACCGCTGTCGCTACTGTCGCAAGGAATTCAGCAGGTACGCGACTCATCTCGGCTCTTTTAGGCGGAAATGTTTCTGAACAGCTGTAATTCGCAGAGCTGACTCACTGAAAAGGCATCTCGATAATGGATGCGATGAAATGCCCGCTAACTCGAATAAATGATGCTTTCCAAGTCAATTTCGAGCTCATCGACCGAACGCCCCGAGGACGAAGAGGACGGTATAACTCTCGGCTAGTGCGCGTACAGATCTTGGACAATGCCGTGCTATACACATTCTTCCTTTATTCCCAGTGTCTCCGATATCTTTCTTGTCAAAGACAATATACATAGCTGATTATGTAGTACCCTTTGTTGACTTGACCTACGATGTCATTTAAGTTATTTATTTACAGACTGTAAATAACGGCGGTCACTGCTAACGACTTTGGACGTTTTCTCAGTGAAAGATCTGTATTGCATTGTAAATTTAGTACGCTTTCGATTACTTGGGGACAGGAGTACTTCCTTACTTACATATCTGTACGCAAATTATGCCATGCTCTCTCATACAATCCCCTAGCATCAATAATGCAAATTTCCTTCTTTGCGTATGTTTCAAAACATGAGGACCTTTGAGTTTTTAAGCCCTACCTCGCAAACCATGTAGACTACCTGAGGCGTTCTCTTGCACGCCATTCTACTCTGTAAAGCGGGAATAAAATAAACGATTTTCATTTATCTGAGCTTTCGTTCAAACACATGTCGGATGTGTACTGGGACTTTCCGGAAAGCAAGAATGATAATCAACAATGAGTGCCATGTTATCAAGTGAATATAATTTTACGCCTCGCTTCGTTGAGTGTTGGCTTACAGGCTATTCAAAATACAGCTTTCAATCTACTAGAGCGCGTATGCTACGAATTTTGGAGCAGCTAATCTAACCATCTTCGTCTTTATCGAATCGAAATAGGAGGAAAGAACTGTCGAACTCTAAAGGCCTAGGCTTGCGGCAAGGTCTGTTTAGACACAAAAGCCGAACAGACCAGAGAGATCGCATTTTGCTTGTACGCCATCCACGTAGATTTTCATCTTTATCAAGATGTCTGTTCTTCGCTTTTCTAAATATATGATGATATGCCACATGGAGGTTTACTGAGTGAAAGTAGATGAGGAGAAAACCGACACCGAGGGCTTAGCTGACCTGACAAGAGGAGTTGTTGGGTTGTTGGTTTTTGGGTCAATGGGCGTTCTTCCACCTTCTTCCACCATCTCTGAATCTAATTCGAAAAGTGGAAACTCACCAACCGGGAGGTTCATTGAATGGCTGATTAGGATACGTTACCAAACAGCACATTCTTTGAACGAGACGCATTTACGAACTGCAGAATCGCTGCTTTGGCACTCGTCGGATCTACTATCGATTTTCCGCACCTACTAGAGCCACGGACATTGCACTTTTTTCTTCTGACCTCTCCCTTGCAGCTGGCGGGCCGATGGGATGTGTGTGTTCTATTGACGTAGTCTTGAGTTGGAGTTGGGTTACAAACAAGGCGTCATCTGTAAATCTGCAAAAGTTGTATCCTCGGCTAATTGTCCGAGAACAGCTGAGAGCGCTTCCCAGCAGCCAAAGCACACCGAGGAAGTTAAAATTTTGCTCTCAGTGCTAGTGCTGGAGAGCACTCTCCAGCCAGTACCCTTTATCTGGCGTACAAACAGATTTTGCAGATGACCGTTGATAGCAGCAAATTGATCTCCATAGGAAAAGTTAATGTATATGCGTATAAATCGGAGCGGCCTTGGTCCTCGAGCATTTGCCTGTGTAAGATCCTGAAATCGCGAATGAGATGAATGTGTTCGATGGCGGTCTGCTACGGATAACAGCGGATAACACCAATCTATACAGATCAGACCAGTACGGCCTAGGTGTAACTTAGGTAGGTAATATAGACATTCTCCTCGCCCCCTTTCCATACTTTGTTGCCGGATTTTGCTGGCAGTGTGAATACATATCAATCGCCAAATCGTTGACTCTGGAAGACTGGAACAGCGATCTCGGAGGATGGTCGGCAAGTCAAGCCACATCAAATACTTGTCGGCAATTCCCGTCGCAGCCACCTTCTTTCTCTTCCAGCTTCAAGTTACATTGTTGTCATTACTGTGCACTGCCAGTGTGCCTCAAAGTTCAACAGGTTAGTGACATACTAGGCGTTTGTACATGTGCACTCTTCATTCTCATCCATTTCTCATGCTTTTTTTGGAGCTAATACAAGGATTGAGGTGTAAGGAAGCAGTTTGCGTCATATTTTACCGGGAGGCCTTCCACGTAGAAGGAATTCGTGATTGACATGCATTTTTTCAGATATCATCTCCCACCCTTTCCTGTGCGACATATGCTCGTCAAGAGCCTCTCTTCGTGATCCTTTGGTGTAGCTGGACCGCGCATCGCACCGTTGGCAGGTAGTGCACGAGCGGGATGAAAGGTCCGCTTTCATGGAAAATATGAATGTCTGATATCGTTCCTTATATACACAAATCAGTGTAAAATCTGCATAAACTACTCCAGCCGCTCTGGTATGATTGGCTTTTAATCGTTGTCCCAATTGTACTTACCAGGAGCAGAACGGAAAAGATTGACTTAAACTTTTTCTTGCGTCATGCATCCTTCGGGGTTCCGGTTTGTGGTCAATGTTAAAGGTGCCGTATCTTGTCTTGTCAAAACTCACACATTCTCTTCGAAGCATTCTCTAGAAACTTCTCATACCGACGTCCTGATTCCTCGTTCTCCAGTGATGCTCAACTCTCACATCCACGGTCTGAACGTCATTGAACCAGGACATCTCGATTCTGGCTCTCAGAATCTACTTTCGGGTCCATTTCCAGACTTATCATTATGGACTCATCTGCTTTTTGAAAGCGAGGACGGGCCCGTGTCTGCTCTAACGAATGACAGCGGGCTTGGTCAACTGACTGAGGAAGACGAGGACGGTGGGAACCATGCAGGAATAGAGGTTGCGGACGGCCATATCAATGTCGTTGCTGGAATGGCCGTGAACAATGAGTATCTGTCACAGGGCCAGCTGCCTCCGCTGTCGCTTGATATAGATTCCCTGCCATCCTCATTTGGAATCAATCCACTTGTCCTCGCCGGACAGTCACAACCTGCTGAGCAGGTCGCTCCTGTATTGTTAGCTATAAATGTAGCGAAGCCGTTGCCTCCTATAGTTCCCCAGCCAATGGATGTTCGGCTACCTGATCCTCAGCCTACCGAAAGCATAATGCCATCAGCCAAACGTCAGCGGTCTCGAAAGTTGTCGGTAGGAGAATCGTCTCAATCAATGTATATGTCTACCCCTCTCACTACTGCCGAAGATAAAAGGCGGCGGAATACTGCTGCTAGTGCACGGTTCAGGCTGAAAAAGAAAGAGCGCGAAATAGCTCTTGACAAGCAAACAAAGGAGTTGGAGGCAAGGGTCAATGAGTTAGAGAAACAATGTGAAGGACTTCGCCGAGAGAATGGCTGGTTGAAAGGCCTGGTCGTCGGTGTGACAGGGGGTGCTCAGAAGTCATCAACGGGATTGCAGCCTCGCAGGGAAGAAATATTGTGTTGATGGTGAGAAGAGCAATATCTCAAGCTGTTTCATGCAGTAGTCAGGAAGTTGAAGCAAATGATGCCTAGCTATTGGTAAGGCACCACTTGTATATTTCCTTACACCCCTTATTCGACTGCAGATGAAGCCAAGCCATACGTTTTATACCGAATACAAGTGCAAACAGTACTCAAGCATCGCTCTATTACTGTTGGACTACTACTGTATGTGTTCGCACAGATATAAAATTAGCGCTATTGCGCCACCAAGATCCTCCAAGATCGATCACGATTCATCTATGTGCATACACTCAGGCTCAAGAGAATACGCTTTGACCATGAGTACTTGAGTAGTCAACCCTGACTTATTGAAAATTCGAGATATGTATATACGAATGAGATAAAACCATCTAAATACTAAAAGAGGAAGCCATTTTGAAGCATTTCGGAGGATTGGATCCTACCGAAACGACGAGATGCCGATCAAATGGTTTCCTTGGTGTGAGGAACAATCGGGCCCGAGTATCTTTCTCTACCATGCACAAACCACCAAAGTACCGTCAGCACGCCTAGCCCAGCTAGAATAGCAGAATTATAGTTCATCTCTGATGCTTCGTCTACGGGGAGAAAATAAGGGAAACAGTATACGGTGTTTGTTAATAAGATCAGCGACACTGCCAGGGTGTTGATGACTGGTCCGCAGATAGGTCCCATCCAGAACGGACCTTCTCCGATGTTTGGTCCAGCAGCAGAAAGACGGGAGAGAAGATGAGGAAAGATTGCAAGGAGATAGGAGGTGGTAGTGAGAATAACGAAAGAGCCGACAAGGTCACTGAAGGCAGTCGAACTACCAAGTTGTATAGCGCCAAAACCAAGACAAAGGATGACTGCATGACACAGAAATCAACAATGATGGTGGAGTGAGGCAGAATAGACGAAATTGGACATACAGCAGAAGACAGTTGACCGAATCGGACAGCTCAAGTCAACAGACACCTCGGAGAAGAATCCCGAAAATGGGGTGGCATTATCGCGAGCGAGGGCCCACCAGCACCTTCCTGCCTGTCATCGGATTGAGGTCAAACCAGAAAACGCCATGGTATTACACATACGACCGTATAAGTTCCCAACAAACACCCTACCTGAGCCAAAATAATGATGAACAACAAGATGAAAGTTGCCGCAGTGTTTCCCGTAGCCTGCCGATAAATCTCCGCTAGAGGAAAAGATGTACCAGTGTTTAACACTGCATCCAGATCGGTGATAGCAAACATGATGACGATCGCAAAGGCAAACGACGCTAGGAAATGAAGAGATATTAGTAGGGTAATCTAAAACCTAAAGAAGCCAACTTACTTAATGTTCCAATAACCATCTGTGCCGCAATGGCCTTAGGCAAATCTCTTTTAGGATTTGGAAGCTCTTCAGCAATATGGGTGATCGCATCCGGTGTACCGATAGTGTACGCTCCGTTAAGCATGCCAGTGAGGAAGGCGACACCGGACGGCCATCCGGTTTGGTTGTCCCATGTGGTGAAGACGGATGCAGCAGATGCATGATGACGCGGTAAGGCTGCGAGAATCTAAGTGAAAGGTGGGCGATAATTCACTGAAGAAGTTAAAAGACGGCGGACCACAACTGTGGCAACCCCACCTCCAATCACAGCCACGCTCCCCAGCCTTTGTATGAGCGGAAGCCATCGATTTCGAAAAATAACAACCAGTAGACAAGATACGTTGATCAGAACAAACGCGAGATAAACGTGCCAGGTTTGTCGCGTGTACGTGCCTTGATGGAAGAGGGCATACATGTCTACGAAGACATTTGACGGAATGAAAACGATAGATGAGAGGGCAAAAATCCAGCCGTAGAAATTTATGAAACTGCCGGAATGAGGGAACGTTCATTTATCAGATTGGAGTACTACAAGAAGGAAACCAAACCCAGTGAAGAAGCCAACCACACGCCCATATCGACCCGCTGTCACTGACGCCCAATGGTAAACTGACGACGGTGAACTGATCGCCAAGCGGTGGTGCTAGATGGGAACCCTACCTCCTCCGGCACTTGGTATTGAACTAGCGAGCTCCGCAATACTTGCCGCTATGAAACAATAGTATATGCATGCTACCAAGAGCTCCCATATGATGCCTGGTGGACCGCCATTCGACAATCCTACGACGATAGAGCCACCCATGGCCACCCATGCACAATCTACGAAGGGGATCGAGTTCAGGCAAGCCATCCTCACTCTGTAGATACACACCGATAGTAACAGACGTTGAGCAGATACTCAACAAGCTGTACTGACGCTGCAATTGATCAATGTGCCCACTAGCGTTGAGCCTTGTCAGTGTGACTTCATCCAGGGCGGAATTTTCGATCTCAAAACGAGTTCCATTCGTTTTCGGCAGGTCAAAGGCGAGAGCTTGCTTCTCGGGCCCAGCCGAAAACGTTGGACTGGTTTGCGAGGCGGAAAGATCCTCGGATTGCTGATTTGCTTTTGACATACTGTACCCAGAATAATTTAGGGTGATCCGTCTGACTGAAATATCAAGGTCGCAATGTGGGGACTTCAACTTCGTGAACGATACCTCGAGTTCGAAGCGTCTTCAAATAAATAACAAACTGCTATTTCAATGCGAATACGTACTGAATCGGCATCAGCATGGAGTGATAACGTATACGCATAACTCTTAAAGTTGTCTCTCTTCCATCGAAAAGGTCAGATATCTGCCAATGAGGTGGGTTCCATATATCAAATCAAAAGCTGAACGGTGCGTGCTACGACGGTTAAGGGCAAGTCCTGTAGATAAGGTGTGTAAATGTCAAGCATTGTTGGAATATGTACACATGCGCTTCGAGCCTTGAATGATGAGAATAGGTTGTATGATTACACGCAGTTTAACCACAAAGAAGAAAGCAAAACTGTTCGCAATCGCGTTAGTATAGAATTACTTGAACATGTGTTGTAAAACATACAATAAAACTACGTCATATCCACAGTTTCAATAGTATTCTCCCGCACCAGCATATGTGCTCGAAGCAGATCCACCCATCGAGCCTTCCCGATCTAACGTATCTTGTTCCTTTTGCACCCGAGCACCAGAGCCTGGTCCAAACATGGGCTCTGGAAGACTATACGGGGTGGCAAAAACGGCAGAGACACCACTTGAAAGACGGGACTGTAGATCTGCTTGGGATGGGATAGATTTAAAATGTACCTGTAAAAGATGTTATGAAGGCCAGGGGAACATTGACAGAAAACGGATACGTACTGTATCATTAATTTTCTTGTAATGCTTCAACCAGACGCCAGTTATTTCCAACTCTTTGGTAACCTTTTCTTTCCTCAAATTCCTATCTCTCTTCTCTTTCTCTCCCCTTGATAGTCCGACTCCCTTGCCGCCATCTTTCAGTTCTTGAAGCTCTTTCTGGGCCCAGATCAGTAACCCGACAGCATCGCCACCTCTGTCCTCTCCACCGTTCTCGCCTGCGTCGATGCCGAACCATTTTTTTGCGAGAGCGGAATGCAGCAAGGCTTCGTCGCCAAGGTAATGTCGCAATTCTGGAGATACGTCTTCAGCAGACTTTGATGATGCTGATGGGGTCTTAGCAAGAGTTCGAGCGCTGGAATATAGCGAGGCACATTCCAAGTGCAGTTTGGCAATCAGACCGGGGGCAGGGTGTGATTTGGGAAGTGGAGGACCGGGCGCAATGTTGGAGTCATAGAAAGATTTAGATAACAATTTGCGAATAGCTAGGGTTTGTGCGTCTGCCAGAGACATCCTAGAAAATATTTCAGCACGATAAATGAAATTGACGCGAGATGCTCTGGTACCTCGCCAAAGCTGTATTGACTTCAGGTGAAAGGTCTGGTGGCAGTTTGGATTTAGATGCAGAAGCTGAATGTTGCAGCTCGGGCAATACTGTTTCACTGAGATACGTGAAAATTCCAGAGGCACGACTCAAATGACCGGTCGCATGTTTCAATTTTTCCTCTTTAGTTTCCCGTTCTGCCTGGGATATCGCGCGATCATGCTCGAATGGCCCGAGACTAGTTACGATAATTCTTGCGAGATTGGAAAGCGCGAAAGCATAAGTGAGGAGGCTGCAAGCATGCTCAGCATGAAGAGATGGCAGAGAAATACGAGGAGAGTTGTTCAGGAAGTTTGCGGAAAGTGTAGTTCTCCAACTAAAAACTTTGGTTCAATTGGGGTAAGTACGAATGCAATAAATTATTGGCGGACCAGGTTCCGATTTGAGCTCGAGCTCATGGTGTGCGACACAATTGATGATACTCTGTAGTTGAGGAAGGTAATCATCTATGATCTTTCCTGGCATTAGCTTCTGTTAACTTGCATTGGAGATCTTTGAATCTTACTTTGATAATCGTAAGATAGTCCTTCTCCCCATCTGTTCGTTTGCTTTCTTTCAATGCACCTCGTAGTCGAGAGCGCATCTGGGTAGCTTCGGAAAGCCGTCTCGTAAACGAGTTGGAGGGGTCATTTATAATATCTGAAAAAGAAATGGCGCCAGTGGTCGAGAGATCGTACAAAAAGGTAGTCATGGTAAGGAAGTGACCGTGTGACTTCCAGGTGACTTACTCAAACGCGAAGCCTCAAAACGTGCTTGATACAAATTATCCTAACGCAACGAAGACTAACGAAGACAACGACAATGATAACAAGAGGAGGACTCTCCAAAGTGCGCATGAAGATCACAGAACTGAATATTGCCATCGGGTACATCCACGATATCTACCTGGATTAATACATCTTGTTTGGATGGGGCCTGTTCGGATGCCTTATGGTGGCTTTGTATTGGCAAATATGGTGATATTATCAGGCGGAGACATACGGGTGCATCTGCTTTTCAAGAGCACCTCAAGATTCATCCAGGTGATCAACCAGATTCCTCTGACGATGAAAATTGCGACTGTTCAGAGCGAGCTCAAAGATTAGAGTCGTTCATTAGGGCTGGGTTAGCTTTGTTGCCTTCGATCGGCCGCGCAGAGTTCCCCGTTATGTGCTGCACGTTCTCCCGACAAACTTTACGAACTCTTGTGGCCACTCCAATCTGCTTTTGAACCACCTTGAGCCACGCTTACTTCATCCCCTTCTCTGCAATTCAACTCGGCGGCATCGCCGCCACCAACAGTATCATCCTATCTTCCAAAGTTGATCTATGCCACGCTTGCGCCTCCTTTGCGCCATCTCCCAGGCCCCCCAAGCACCAGTCTTGTAAATGGAAGCATGCGTGATACGCAGGATAATCTTTGTAGCCCTTATGGATTTAGAAATCTACCGTGACCGAACAGATCATATAGACTAAATCGATGGCAATATCCAAAAGGAAAGGGTTCGCAAATACGGCTCAATATTCCGAACAAAGGACATTATTCTTGGTGAGAAGACAACAGTCCGTTCTCCATGTACATGACAACTCTGAAAGATCTCTCGTTGAAATGCATAGTCGAGGTATACACTAGTACACAATCGAATTGGGCGCTGTTGCCCGTTTGAAGAATAATTATGAGTATCTGGAAGCCTCGATTTTCTGTGGCTAACTACGGGAAATGGTCTTGAAATGGTTGGTTATTTGTTTTTTGTCGTTATACCAGTTCAAGCACTAAATTATCTCGCTGACATTCGTTAGGCCTGCTCATGAGTCATGACCGAACATGATCAACACAAATTTCAGAAACATTATACAACCTAATGCGTTCAAAACACATCGTACCAGAGGCATACTTGACCCTCGTACTTCAAGTTATGTGTCAATTTCTTGATTTGTTTAGAATCAAGCTTTCGCTTCCGCGCAAACTCGGAACTCAACTGGCATTTTCTGGTACGTCAATCGTTCCGTATTACGCAGACGGGTTTCCGTTTTCCTCAGTGTATTAATTTATTGATAGCGATACAATTGTGTCGCTGGTACGATGGTGCACGGCGCGGTTGGTATGCAGTCACACGCAGTTCCAGAGCCATCGCTTACAGGCAGAAGGTGTGCGGTTTGAGGAACAAATCGAGTGTATTGGTTCTTTTCCGCACTTTTCCATGAGAAAACGTTTTTAATAAACATACACGTGGTCGCGTCAGTCATCACCCCTATAACTGTCGTTGTTTCAACTTTCCACAACCTTCACGCTCCTCACGGTGGCTCTGATCCTCACAATGGGAACCAACGGGTATCGCGTATACTACTTCAATGGTTTCTACTTCCTCTACTACTGTCACTATGACTCTTATCCCAGGGGCCTTGGCGTAGAATTCTCTAATGAAATTCCCTCAGACCCCGATGAGTACCAGATCTACGTGGCCACCAAGAAAGCCGAATTGCAAAGCTTGCTTACTCACCACGACCTTTTCAACCTGGGCGACACTCAGATCTGGGAGGACAAAGAGGTTCCGGGAAAGGGGCCAATTGACCAGCTCTTCGTAATGAAAAACCCCCCAAAGCTCACAACGGCAGGACGTTGGGTCGATTATATTTATGAAATCGATTTGGAGCATCACATATTCTGTATCAATGGGGAACCGCTGTTTGATACGAGGAACATGCCCTATGGTGACGAGTTTTTGCTTTATCTTGGTAAGTGACACAATTCAGTCTTCGAGTTATTTTGACTCCATGTGACAACTAGGGACGGACCTGTACGACCGCATCTGCTTTTCGAAAACCACGCCTGAAAGACATCGATTCAAACTCCCTCCGCCGGCCACAGTCGACTGTGATATCCTCGACACGTACGACGGCTACAATGTACAATGCATACCGGATCCACACACGTTGCTTCGCTTACCAGTGAACTTACGCCCAGTTGAACAAACCCGCGTACGAATCATGCAAATATTTATCGCTTCCCTGATGCTTTCAATGTGCAACCAAGAAGGATTTGGTATACGAGCAGTCCTTTCTCACTCTGTGCTCAACATCATCACAAAGCTCCGAATCATTTGTGAAACATTTTCCAATGCTCTTTTGTATGCGGAAGAGTGGAGGTACCACGACAGCGTCTACGAGGACCGTCCTCAGCCTTGGAGATGGATCCTTGAGGACGAATTTTGTTTGTTAGCTGTTCCACGCCTTGACAGCGAGCCTTTACTAAGAGCAGCAATCGTGGAGCTAGTGCAAGCAGTCACCAGCTATTTTGGGACCAAAACAAATTCAGAGTCTGCTGTTACTGGTACATCATTTCATGGAGTGATCATGTCACTGTACCATATCTCTATCGTGCGTTTCGAGGTGGTAGAATCTCCGGAAAATATCCAGTTTCGTGTGGAACACACTCCTTACATGCCATTCCTTCCCGAAGATCACTGTCGTAGACAGGATACACCAGGTATCACTGCTCTGTCTCGTCTTGGACAACTTCTACACGAGAACACCCTTCGGCACAAACTCTTCACTAAAAATGCAACTTACCACAAAGCAGCATCCCGGAACACCTCCAAGAACACCTCAAAACTTGGCGTGATTCCTTTGGAAATTGCTCACAACATTGCACAACATCTTCCACCATACTACTTGCTATTTTTCGCCACTATCTCTCCCGCGTGCGCCGGAGCAGCATTTGAATTTCTTCTTCACCCCCATTTCCGGGATGGTAATGTGGCTAATACTATGTACTACGGGTTCCATTATAATTCCTTGAAAGAAAATTCAGTCCTGCTTCGGTGTCACAAGTGGTATTGGTACCGCGTTCTGCCAATATGCGGTCCAGAAGTTGTTTTCTCCATAGAATCAGATCCAGATGGGGATGATGATGAGGAAAGAATTTCGACCTTATCCTATCGAGACTTATACTTTTCGACATTCTTTGCGGTGGATGAAAATGGAGAAGAAATCAAGTTTCTACTGACAGCGTATCCCCGGGGTTTTCAACCGCGCTTTGCTTTTCGGAGGATCCAAGGTCACGATTTGGCCAAAGAAAATTGCATGGAAATAAGGAAAACTAGACATTTTTGGCATGAGTTTGATGTAGCGTTTGCAGTCGGTCGGAGGATCCAAGGTCACGATTTGGCCAAAGAAAATTGCATGGAAATAAGGAAAACTAGACATTTTTGGCATGAGTTTGATGTAGCGTTTGCAGTCGGTCGGAGGTGGTGCGAGAGCGTGCTATAAAATGTTAATATTTACAAGTTTGCAAGATGATTTGAACGTGGTGTTCGACGTCAGGGTTAGGTCCAGACTTCCAAGCTTGAAGTAACTATCATTATTAACGCAAAGTTGAATGAAATTTGACTGGCTACCCAGGGGGCACCACAGGATAAAAGCGCTGAGATCGCAATACCCGTTGGGGGTTGTTTGGCAACAGCTTTAGTCGCCGTATTGCCGTGTTGCCGATTAGTGCCGTGCGCTTGATTCACAGTTATCGGATTGTGCTTTAGTGTGTAGAGCTATTGGAAAGATATCTCCCCTCTTCCGTGTATACGAGGCAGTACAGGGCAGTACATGCTGCAACGCAGCGGAAAATTATCTTCTTCAACTACGCTTGCCTGATATTATTTCTCTGGATCATCTCTATATTATCAATGCCAACAATCTCTAAAAATAAGAATGCTTCCCCTCCGACGACAGCAAGACTTATTACTGGCGATCGCATCATTGCATATGATGTTTATCTCAAGGATGGAAAGTACACTGTAGACTGTGACGTTTGTAGTCAGTCAATTGTTGTTGGAAAAGGTGCCTATGCGAGACACGGCGCTGATTGGCAAAACGGCAACATGGCTACTAAAGCTGTTGCCAAACAACCCCAACGGGTATTGCGATCTCAGCGCTTTTATCCTGTGGTGCCCCCTGTGGCTACCTATCTATTTATATTACTCCCAATGCCGAATCCCAGTTTCACTCTCACCGAGATTCAACAACTTCAGGCTGAAGGATTGGTCCTGCGATATCCAGATGTTCTGATGAACGCTCAAGTAACACTGGAGGGCTCAATTAGTTTGTTGTTGAGAGCGGCTCAGCAAGCCATGACGGTGCCATTTGTCTGGTCGTGGATTGACCGCGCACTGGGTGAGTTTTGACTCTTGTATTACACCCCCATTATATTAATTACAAGCACTCGAGCAGATGGGCAAACATTCATTGTTTTCTTGCCTTCGCACACTCCATTCCCAATCGACGGTATTCGCTGGCCTGAATCTGAAAATAAATACAGCATCAACCAGGGAACGCCAAAAGAGCTCGAAGTATGCGAAGCCAAATTTGGTTTTGTCCCTGGATCTGGAGAGACGATGGCGGCGAGGATTAGAAGGAGATATCGATTGGTTCATGGCGGCGGAATGGGCGGCATGGGTGCGATGCCTCAGTTATGGGTTGTACACTATACTCGAGGGCCAAATGGACCACCCATACCTCCCGCCATTGCTAATCAACTAGCGAGGATGTATCCGTTAAGACAAGTAAACGAGCCTCCCATGTTTGTCGCAGGAGAAAAACTGGGTCAGAAAGTCTTTCCAGGACAGGGTGGAATGGGCGGAGGCATGCCTAGCGGGGGTGCTGGAATGGGTATGGGTATGGGTGCCGGAATTCCAAGTGGGATGCCTGGTATGCAATCAGGAATCGGCGGCGGTGTGGGAGGAGGTATGCCCGGTGGAATAACTGGCAATATGGGTGGGAATATGGGTATGCCTGGCGGAGCAGGTGCTTTCAACCAACAGCAAGCGCAAGCCCTGATCGCACAACAGAACTCCAATATGGAAATGCTAGAAGCCCGTAGGACTCATTCTCTCGGTGGACGTGCCGGTCCTCTTCCTCCTGGTGCTCCTGTCCCGGGTGCTCCTGGCATGCACGGTCCACCCGTTCCTGGTCCCCACGGACGAGGCATTCCTCCTCCAGGTGTTGGTGTTCCTGGAGTTCCTCCCGGTAGAAGACCGGTAGGTGCACCGGGTGGTCAAGGCTCACCAGACGACGACGATTCAGGAGACGAAATCGATTCGATATCAACACGTACACATGCTCTTATGAGATACAAGCGGAATCATGATCTAATGAATGAGGTTTTTGTGAAAGCCTCTTTTGGTGAGTATTTCGAGCGTCTTAATCATTACTTTCGGACCCTTGTGCATCTCCTTCCTCTCGTTCTTCTGGTTTTCGTGAGATAGCACGGATCATGCTTATAGTATTTCAAACTAGGCGTTCAGCCAAACTCTAAACCACCAACTTCTCCATACGCCATATTCGATAAGAAGGAGTTAGATGAGAAAGCGGTAAGTCTTTTCACTTTTCACACTCCTTCGTCCTTTATTTTTCTAAACCTTGGCCCTTTCTTCCATTTATCCTCTATTTGTAACTTCCATTTCGCGAGTTTCGTCGTGTTCTAAGTTCGTTCTCAATCTCACAGGCAAGACTTTCCACCGAAATTGCAGCTCTACAAGCTCGTGCAGAGGAAAAGATTCGAAAAAAGGTCGAACGAAAAAACCGAAACAGTTTCAATGGGCAAATGATTAGTGGTACTCTCTCTCCGTCGTCATTGAGTAAAAGTCCGACACCACAACCCCAAGAAGACTTAACTTCCTCTTCGGCGGAGACAGGTACTGCTGCATTCATGAATTCGTCGGGGTCAATCCTGGGGCCCACAATGGCGACTGGGATTGGGGGAATGAACACGGCAGCATTTGACACTGTAGAGGCGGAATCAAAACGGCTATGATCACAGTTAAATCAGCTTCGCCCGCGCAAGTGGGGTTTATCGGTTCGGGAGGAGGAGGGCAGGTAGATGTACCTGCGTGGTAAACAGAGGTCATTTGTGCCGGAACATATCAATGTAAAGACGGGCAGAGAATTCGGAGGGATTGTGTCAGCAGAATATCGGAATTTTAAGAAATCAAAAGCTCAAAGGCCCGGAAGGGTGTGTGTACACAGTGTAGGATGCAGAAAGAATAATATTCAATAGGGTTCAAGATATCCAGAGAACAAGCAAATTTATGCACTTAATCCGCATCCCTGGTAGTATATCGGTTAGTACACGCGCCTGTCATAATTCATGAGGTCTTGGCGTAAGCATGTCGCGCGAAAGCTGGGTTCGACTCCCAGCCAGGGAGAATCTTTTTTCACTTCCCCTTTTGTCGTGTCTTTAATATTCGGTATTTAATTCATTTTTGCGAAAAAGGGAAAGGAAATATATAGACGTGAGTTAATGCTTCAAAGAATACATAGACGTGAGTTAATGCTTCAAAGAATACATAGACGTGAGTTAATGCTTCAAAGAATACATCGATCCTTCCCAGGTTCGTGTCTGTTCCTTTTTATTCATCTCCCTACATAGTTTAGATTCGCCAGTCATCATAGATTCTATTGTGTTCTTTCAATACATTTCGAATTCGTTAGGAGTGGAAATGACCGAGTCAAGACTCTAGGTGAGCCTCCGACCTAGTAACCATACAACAATCTTCGCCAGACTATACAATTCCCAGCGACGATATCAAATTAATGGAAGCAGAGTGAACAGTTCCTTCACCCATTGTGGAAGTGGATGACAGCCTGAATCTCCTTCCTTCCCCTTCCCCTTGCCCGTGACCTCTTCAGTAGTGAAGCTATTGGGAGCACTGGCCTCTACATTACCAGTCGTGGGCTTACTAAACGGCATCCGAAGATCTTTTGGCCAGTCGATAATTGGCAGCTCCTGATCCCACCGGACAGTCGCACTGTTTTTAGTACAGCCTTGGGAGGGGTGTAAGTCGACTTCTTCAATAAATAGAGTAAGACAGACAAAAGCTACGTGCAAGTAACGACCGTACTGGCGGCTAGAAAAATGAAAATCGATGAACTTACCTCGCGGGGAACACCACACTCGTAACCCGATTTGACTCAGTTTTGCCTTCGGAATACCCATTACGAAATCTTCATTTGTGCCTTTCGCAACGAGAATAGTTGTAGCCAAAGCCTTGTGCGAGTCTTTGGAACGATGACCAAACGGTCAACGTTAAGATTGAGTAAGGCAAAAACACCCACAATAGGATTTGATGTACTGTGTAGGAGGTCGAAGTCACCTGCAATAGTACACTAAACAATAAATCAATACTCTGCACTCCCATCGAAAATTCTCGGTATTCTGTCCCCGTCCGAGGTATCACGAGCTTGTCGAGTTGTGAGGATAGACTGGAATAAGAACTTGAATCTGTTGCGCTGTGTTGACCGATACTACATATATGCATTGAGGAAAAAGTACCAGTAACTTTGTGGTGAACAGATATCTGTTGAGCACAGTTAAATAGTCTCGGTTTGGGACGTTCGAACGAGCGCTGCATGTCGGAGAGCATTTGCTTAGAGTCAGACCAGGTTGGGGACGTGGACCGTGACGCGTGACGTGAAATCTCTTCCAAAACGGGAAATTCAGTCAAATGGTGAGATAAGATAAGATGTTCCGACAGTTGCTCGGACCAATCACTTAATTCAGAATCACTTGTCCGTCTTGTCTCTTCAATGTTCGACCACGAGACGCGGGGTATATAAGGTAAACTTAATAGTGAAGGGAACGCGTGTGTCTTTCTTGGTTTTCCTTTCCCTCCAGTATCAATTTCCTCTATGGCCTCATACTTCGATTCCTCACGTATCCTCTGGGAAAATCCTCAACCCCAATTTACCAATGTCGAAATCTTCCGTCGTATGGTCAATCGCAAACGCGGACTGAATCTCAGTTGGTTGAGCTCTTTGCGTGTTAGGTGAATATTCTGACTGTACTCGTTTGCAGAAGATTATCATGAGTTTCACAAATACTCCATTGAGAATTACTCATTCTGGGAAGATGCCTGGCAACATTTACGAATCATATACTCTGTTCCTCCACAAAATGTACTTATCCACTTGGATTCGACGTACAACTCTGCTGACGATATTGATTTAGGTTATCACAGAAGGGCCTATCCCAAACGTACCAATTTGGTTCCCTGGTGCTCGTCTCAACTATGCAGAAAACCTGTTATGGAGGAACGACGACAGCATCGCTTGTACTGCAGGTGGAGAGTCGGGAAAAGTAACACAGTGCACCTTTCGAGAACTCAGACTCAAAGTACAGAGTACGGCCTCTGCGATGCGGGCAAATGGCTTGCAAATCGGTGACCGCGTTGCTGGTATGCAGAGTACAATCTTTCTGGAAAACAGTCATGGTTCTGATTTTGCATCCCATCATCATCTAGCCGTCGTTACAAATTCCATTGAAGCCGTTACTCTTGCTCTCGCAACCGCGAGTATAGGTGGTATTTATTCTAGCACGGCAACTGACATGGGTACCCAAGTACGTCTTCCTGATCGCATATTAGTATCCTGTACGTCAGATTAAATTCACTCTCTTGAACAGGGTATCCTCGACCGCTACCACCAGATTCAGCCCAAATTTGTATTCCTTGAAACAGAAGTCATGTACGCGGGAAAAACTGTAGACTTGAGAGACAAGGTTTCTGCCGTGGTCAAGGGACTCCACGAACATGGACTAAAATGTGCCATTGTACTACCCAGCGCGATTACCGGGAAGGAGATAGAAGTCGGCGGCGTACAAAATACGTTGAGTAATATGCATTCAAATTATTCTTCGACTGTCCGAGCCCGCTTTTAGCATCACTCTTAGCAAATTCCTTGCAAGTGGAACTGGAAACGAACTCATATTTGAACAGCTATCATTCAATCACCCGTTGTATATCCTTTACAGTTCTGGCACTTCTGGTCCTCCAAAATGCATAGTGCATTCAGCTGGTGTATGTCCTTCGTCTCAAGGTTTACATCACCTCTAATCCTTAACTACTTAGGGAGTGTTGATGCAAACTCTTAAAGATCAAAGGATGATTTTCGACATGAAAGACACCGATACGCTTTTCCAGTTCACCACTGTACGTTGATTTACTTACATGTATCTCGATCTACTGCCTCGAATACTCAGCGATTACTATTCACAGACGGGCTGGATGATGTGGAATTTCATGGTTTCATCTTTGGCCTCCGGGTGTCGAATGATCCTATATGATGGATCTCCATTCCATCCTACTTTAGAAGCTTACTTGAAATTCATCAGTGACGCAGGGTAAGCATCTTATTTATATCTTCGCTAATACAATTCCGAATGAAATGCTACTAGAGTAACACTCTGGGGAACTAGTCCACGCTTTCTTGCTGAGGTCAAAGGTCGAAAAATTTCGCCATGTGAGTGAGCACCGGTATCTTCGTTTATTCATGTTCAACTTTCCACATCGCCTGATGAATACAGTGAAAATCGGCTCTTTTGAAGGACTCCGAACGTTAGCTGTGACCGGAGCGGTAGTCACTCCGCCCATCTTCGAGTGGTCACAGGAGGCGTTCGGTGGGAAATTTCTCTTTGTATCCACATCTGGAGGGACAGATGTCTGTTGTGCTTGTGAGTTCTCGGTTAACGCTAATCTGCCATTTTCTATCATTGTCATTAATTTCTTACTATAAGTTGTTGGTGGGGTCCCCAGCCTTCCTGTACACGTCGGAGGTAAGCTGGAGTTATTTAAATCCGGTTCAAGTTCCTCATCGTATCCGATGTAAGAAATTCAACATAAAGCGTTGGGCATGGCAGTGGAGGTTTTCGACGAAGATGGAAAGAATATCGAACACACCGGACAAGCTGGCGAACTGGTTTGCACTAGACCACATCCATCGCTTCCCGTGATGTTTTGGGGGGACACACCTAGTGGGAAGAAACTTCGTGATACATATTTCAACTTCTACCCGGGTGTGTCAGTCTTTCTATGGAGATCTTTCTTCTCCTATTCATCAAACACATGTGTTGCAGGAATTTGGAGACAAGGTGATTTCATGGTTGTCAATCCCAAAACAAAGGGAATTATGGTCTTGGGCCGAAGGTGAGCAAACCACAGTTAGATTCTCCCGATTTTCTCAGTTAGACACAATTCAGCGATGGCGTGCTTAATCCTAACGGCGTCCGCTTTGGCTCGGGCGAAATTTACACTGTCATGGAAAATTTTAATACTATCATAGAAGATTGCATTTGCGTAGGGCAGCGTCGTCCCAATATTGACGAACACGAACGAGTGCTTCTCTTCCTAAAAATGCGGGCTGGAAACAAGTTCACAACGTCGTTGGAGAGGGAAATAAAAAGCAGCATTCGAACAGCATTGAGTGCACGGCATGTACCGTCATACATATTTGAGGTCGAGGATATTCCGGTATGTCCGTCAACAAGTGCATTGCTTACGCTTTAATCATACCTCGGTTCTCAAAGGTCACTATCAACGGGAAGAAGATTGAAATTGCCGTAAAACAAATTGTTTCTGGATCAACTTTGAAGCCAAGTGGGACTGTGGCGAATCCCGAGTCTTTGAAGTTATACTTCAAGTACAAGAACATCGAAGAGATAGCTGAAACTGATAAAGTGGGGGTGAAATCAAGACTTTGAACTTGCGTTAGGGCGCCGCATTATATTTGTAGACTGATGTGCATTTGCCAACATAGATTTTTTCTGTCTAACCTTGCCTTCGCTAAAATGAAAAAAAAATAACCTTAGCTCTCCTTAGCTTCGATGTTCTAAGGCAGGGGGGAAGCAGCCATTTGTGAAATTTCAAATGATTCATATCCAAAATAAGGTAGGTAGGTAGTTAGTATCCCAGATACAAATTCAGGCTGGGTAGGACAAGACGGTCGTCAAGAGGAGCCAAATGTGGCGGCAAAACAGACAGACAATGAGACAAATCGAATGAAAATAATGACTATGGTAGAAGTGACTATGTGAGTAAAAGTAAGTAGATGCAATATGTATATGAGATAGATATACAGATGGAAAGGACAAAATACGCAGAAAAGACAGGAACATGATCATTTAGCAGTGTCACCCTTCCAAACACCCAACCTACATACAAAGGACTACTCAACTCGGTCCGAAGCTCATTAATGCCAATCCACCTACCCAGCACATCTCCATGACTGATCTGCCTACCGGGGTCAATTTGAGTTTCAATTCCATGCCTCCGAAGCCCCATCCATCTTGTCCTGACATCTCAGCTCCATTCTCAACAAAGTCCTCTGCGACCATGCCCATGGGAAGCGGATTCAACACTTTACAAAGCCCAAGGGATATAAGTGCTTCAGGATCAAACTCTACTCCAGACTCGCGAGAATGGCATACAGCAAGAATGGTAGGGTCTGGCATAAACGACGGAGTTAAAGGTGACCCAGAGTCGGCCATGATACCAGACATACTGTCAGGTATGTTGAAACATTCCCTCCATGCCTCCTCTAACGGACCATTCACCGTTACACCCTCATCGGGAACTCGCACACCTGTTCCCTGTAGATCGCGATAAGACACCCGCCGAACGGTGATGAGGAATCCAGGAAGAAGGATGTTCCTTTCGTCATTGGCATGAAGTTGAGCCCAAGTTAGGTTGGAATGGTGAGTCCCACTGGCAGTAGCGCTGCCCGTGCCTGAACCACGGCCTGAACCACCCCCAATACCAATACCTCCCAGAGAACGTGAAGAGCGGAGAAAGCCTGTGCTATCACTCGACGACGTTGGAGAGGCATGCGAAGATTTCCCTGAATCCTTGCCCGAATCCTTGCCAGAGTCTTTTCCGGATCCTGCGGATTTGTTGGAATTGCTTTTGGACTTTTTATCCTTCTTGTCTTTATCTTTCGTTTCCTTCTCTGTGTCGGGAGAAAATCCAATCAGAGAATCGATGACTGCCAACGCAACCTCTTCTTTCTCTTTATCCGCTCCAGCTTTCCTATCTCCGTCTTTTCCCCCTTTCAGCGATGGCAATTGCGGTTCGAGGGCCTTGTACCACACCAGCAAAAACGTTCTCTTCTCTAAGGGAAGTACTGGCTTCTTGAACGAAGACTGAGAAGGTGGGTAGACATGCTGTGAGTGCGCTTGAGAGGGTGGATCAGTGTCCCCGGGCCAGAGCGGGAGGAGCATACAGAGAGACTCAGGGGGTACAGATGCAAAGACGTCCCTAGATGGGTCAGAGGAAGCCTTACTGCTCGATCCCTTGTCCTTTTTACTCTTCCCGCCACCACTGACACTCTTTCTTCTCCCACTGCCAGTTATCGTACTTCTGGTACTTCGACCAACGCTGCTACTTCCAGGCCGTCCATGATTCTCCCGGGGCGTGCTGGGCAATAGGCCCACATCTTTGAAGCTCATATTTAGATTGTCTACCACTCTCCGTTGCTGTTCCTGTTTCCCGCGACTAGGGAATGTTAGCCACGGAGGATCGAAGGCGGGCCCAGCTGTAGCGCGTAAAGCAGATGCTGAAGGATCCAAAGAGTCGATAACGCCGGTGCGGACGTTACGATTGATAAACCGTAGTATTGAGAAAGGCGACGAGGAGGAGGATGAAGAGGAGTCAGACACTATTTGAAGTATTCTCTGTCGATCGTTTGCACTGCTAAAGTCTACAGTACCATACGTCTCGTTATGAGGTGTCCGAGCCACTCGAGATGAGCCACCGTCACGGTGGGGTCGGTAGCCATACAAGTCATCATCATGGTCGTCGTCATTATAAGAAGATTCGTCCGCTTCATCTTCGTTATGATCATGATCATATTCATGCAACTTTCTTCGAGGTATCCGATGTCTATGAGGACGCGAGGATCCGACGGACGATTCGGACGCAGAAGCTTCAGAGGCAGAGGTAGAGGATATTTCTGATAGTTCAGAGTCAACAAGTGTGGAAGATCGGTCGGTGTGCTCAGTATGATCGGTATTGTCCGTGTCGGTCGTGCAGGAGGACATCCTTTGAGATACAGATGTGGAAGAGGATGCGAGAGAAGTAGACGTGGTTGATGTGGAAGAAGAGGATGGAGGTCCCTCGATATTAGTTGAAGGCGCATCATCCGAAAATGAATTGGGGTATATCGCAGGAGGAGAAAGACTCGAAGAATTCAAAGGGGTTATTTGGGCCGATGGTGATAACGATGCAGGTGTATTCGGTGTTGTCGGAAGAGCAGGGACTGGAGGAGGAGTCGCTGAAGAACTACGCGACGGTAACTGCGGCTGGGACGCTGAGATACTTTTCTTTCTGCGCATTTTCTCTGGCGACGGTGATGATCGGGCAGATTTTCCATCTCCCGGGAGCGATTTCTTTCTCTTATCTCCATCTATGTCCCGAATCCTATCCTTTTCGTTCCGACTGAGTGAGCCAGAAGGAGGACTCAACAATCCATGATCAGCTAACATCTTCGTGGTTGTGGTACTTGTGAATGCTTCTTGCACTCTCCGTGGAGCCAACAGGATGATACGGTTGGCAGTAGCTCGGGGAACAGGCAAAGCTGACGAACCGCTACTTCCAACAACACCAGCAGCTTTGAGATGCGGAGGTAGACGAGCATGCTGTGAGTTTACAAACCCTTCGGATGGAGTTGCGCTTCTTGCACGCATTGCTGCTGAAGAACTGGTGACATGACTTGGCTTGTGGTACCTTGTTAGACTAAACGCCATCGCTTTGGAATGTTTGTGGACGGTCACGGGTGGATGGGGAAGATATAAGTGCTGCTCAGAAGGTTTTGGCGTTTGCTGCGGGTCTGGTCTGAAACGGATGAGTAGGCGCTGTTGAGGACCTTTCATTGGGTCTTCGGCTGTGTCAAACGGGCGGTTAAGATTCATGTTAACTGACATTCGAAATAAAGCAACTCACCCTTCGCACCTCTACCAACCTCTTCTCTATACACCGCAAATTTCCCTAGAAGATCATTACCCCACACCTCTTCCGAACCAACAGGCATACCTCGCCAATGCATGGTTGAGCGGCGAAGACGTTCCTTTTCCCTCTCTTTATGCGAATGATCTTTTTCTTGAGACCGCGAGTCTTTGGAAGTATCGTGTGATTGGGATTTGGTATGTGAATGGGATGCTTCCCTGTCTTTGTTGAGGGAAGACGGCGGTTCCGGACTGAGAAAACCATGAGAAGTCCCAACAGCAGTTGACGTCACTGCAGTGATGTTGGTAGCTGTGCTCATTCTGGGAGCAGTACTCGTCGTTGTTATTCGCTTCAATTTTTCCTCTTTATTTCCAGAGGATGTGGGTGCTGAGCTCGAAGAAGATGAAACTGGGTGGACCTCCCTCCGGATCGTCCAATCTTTCCTCTGCTCCTTATATCCCTCTCCGCCCCACTTCAATAAAGTCTGGGCGAAAGTATCATCGTGGATAAACATGTTGGACGAGTTTGAGCTAGCAACAGTCGCAGTCGAAGGTCGACGACCGGAGAGCCAGGAAAAGAATAACGACTTTCCGAGGGAGTCTTTCCGGCCAGAAGTTTCCCGATTACTGGAAGTACCGGAAAGAGACATAGCACTCACTCGTCGCGGTCGAACAAAGTCGGGCACAGAGGAGGAAGGATCCGCAGACAGGTCAGCACCGAAGGAAGTGATGTATGCAAAGTCGAAGTCGGCATCCATACCACTAGGTGTAGTGTCAGCAGACGGAGAGGTGGGAGTTGCGCTAACAGAGGGAGGACGGGCCATGCCCGTGTCGAAAGAGGGAGGGACCGAAGAGGATGGAGAAGCAACGGCGGATGTAGACGCGAACGGGGAAGTGAATATAGGTGGAGGGCGGTCCCTGTCGCCTCCACTGTCAGGACGCTTTATTCTTAGCGTCGCGACGCTGCCTTCTCGATCTCGGTAACCTTCTGGCGGTCCATAGCTAGCGTGTCCGCCAAAATAATTTCCCGTACCTCCAGAAGTCATTGAAAACCTTGCCGAACTGATTTCGATATTCTCTTCGCCATCATCCCCTTCCGAGTAATCAATATTATCAAACTCATAAGAATCGTCATCTGAGCTAAATTCAACGTCTTCTCTCCCATTCGAAGAGTATCGACCAGGTAAAGCACGTGATATATGCGCACCGCGGGCTGAAGAAGAGGATACAGACGCCGATTTGGCCAACACCGACGTAGGGGAGTTTGAACCAGAGCCGGCCTCTGCGGACGACGAAGGTCGTGACCGAGGACGTCTATAAGGGTAGACGAGTGCATCTGGGTGCGTAGGAGCAACGCTAGGCCTCGGTGTAACATCCACGGTGGTGACTGTCGGAGATACCTCTCCTTCCAGCTCTTCTCCAGCTTCGTCGTCTGGCTCTCCTATATCATAATTACCCACCACAACATCGACTTGAGGCTTTGAGGTGGTAGCGTTTCCAAAAGAGAACGAATTGAGCGAGTTGGTGGTGTAGTCATCGGCGCGGTGGACGTATGTCCGGTTTGCTTGTTCCGGACTAGATTATCACGTTTGACATCAATATCAGTTAGCATAAAGACAAACAAAGAGGATAGGTAGAAGTAGTCAAAGTAGGCGCAAAGCTCCAGGCAGATAGGCCCGATTGGGCCTAATTTTGAGGGTACAACAGCGGAACTTTTGATGAAATTTTGTGAAAAGAAATTTCACATCTGCTGGTTTCACTGCGCCCGCTTTGACTATTCCTATGAACTCACTCTATTCCCGCTTCCCCTGGTCCTAACATACTGTTGTTGTCCAAATTCCCATATCCATTTCTTCCTTTCATCCCCAGCCAAATTCGTATTTGTCTATTTAGCTCCTTGTATGCTTAATCCTGAGTCTTAGATATGTATCTTGATATTGAGCTTGTGAGCGACAGCAAGAACGCAGATCGAAGTAAGACTGACCAAAATTAAGGTAAAATGATTGTTAGCTTGTGTGTGCAACGTCAGATCGGCGTTTATTCCTTCTTTGAGTAGTCCAGTGTGCTCTTTGGTAACGTAGGAGGGAATAAATGGTGTTTCGAGTCAAGAAGGTGATAAAATAGAAAACAAGGCGGATCCTTGCCGACCAGTCTTGCTCGCGAAGAGTATAAGGGATTTTCAGGAGCTTGGACCACGTGCTGTGTCTTTATGCTACTTTGGGAATGATTCGGGCCTTTGACCGACACTTGACCGATTCTGCCTTTGGGTAACATTTTTGACTTCAGCGGTATCTCTTCTTGACACAAACATTCGGGAGTATTTGTTGCATGCACTAAAGGGGACTGGGGATGATAAACTCTGGGAATCTCTTCTTGTTCAAGAAATTCGATGTTATCCAATGATGCAAATGGATTGTAAAATGTCGATGAATACGGATATCTCAGGGTGAAATGAGTACGACTGTCAATGTTACTTTGTCGCTTCCGGCTCCGACGTCAAGACTGCAGTTTAAAAATGAAACTCACCCCCGGAAAGCATCTCAAAGGTTGCTCGAGCCTCAAATTCTCATCGATAGTGATCCCAAGCTAGTATTGATCCTCATACCTTGGCTTGTATTCTTACGATAGTTCACACTACCGACTTGGCTGGGAAGCCGTAGATCAACGATTTCCCCCCGCGGTTTTTCTCCTAGAGATATTTCAGTTCGGGTTTTGTGACCTGTATGCTCTGAATACACTGTCAATAACGACGAAACTTCACTGTTGTAGCGGGCTTAGTGGTCAAACAAAATAAAATCCTGGACCAAGATCAGTATCAACTCTGATTACTTTCCGTGTTTTTATAGAAGCATGAGGTTCAGACTCTATCGACTTGTTTTTCCTATTTATCCGCTGCGCACTGTTATTCCCTGTCATCCCAAATGATGTCATTGAGCCATCGACCAGAGAAAAAGAACTTGACAGAATGGGAAGGTCTACAAATATGTATATTATATGTATAAGAAACTTAGAGACCATTCATGAAAAAAATACAGTCCTTTCAAATTTGACAGTGTAAAGTGGGAACAGGTTCTAATGATGATTTTAGGTTATGATTTCGGCTGTGATTTATCTGTTCATATATACAGTGACGCGCAAATCAAATCCACACCCCCCGATTTGGAAATTTTGTGATTAAACTGTTTTTGTGAACATTTTTGTATGCTATATCCTGTAAAGCATGTTGATTCTACTATAAAGACTTACTTGTGGCAATATAAGCTGTTTGAACCCTCAAAATTCAATATTTCTGAGCAGAGGAACAACAGATTCACGCTGATTTACGGTTCTGGGCTGGTGACATAAGGCCTTCCAAATCGGGGGGTGTGGATTTGATTTGCGCGTCACTGTATGCATCCATTCACGAATGCCACATTGTGGATTCAGCATTGGTTTGCCTGTTTCCTTCTCGACCAATGTCAGATAAAATAGGACCAGATTGAAATAGGCCAAGTCTGTCATAAAATGCTGAAATGCCGGACTTCCTGGGCTGTCCACCTCCAATATCTTCTTGGTCTGTGAAAGCAGTAGTTGGAAATTTTTTATGATAGAAGTATGGCGTTTCCAAAATGATCAGTCCTTGCCTACGTGGACCACAAGGCGGGATGCTTTAGAACCATTGTTAACATTCATCCAGAAAGTATGCGGGTCTCCAGATGGAAAAGTCTAGATTTCTCTTACTTCCTGAACAAGAGGAATCATCCTTCCTTTGCTATCCTTGAATGAAATGACCCGAGGCTCAAAGCAAAAGTTGGGTCCATGAGTATCCCCAAAACAAATGGAGAATGAATTCGCAGTCGGTGCAGTGGCTGCACGGTTCTGCCCCGGATCCTTCCATGCCAGTGTGACGACCATATCACCACTGTTCAGGCCTAAGATAAGAACTTGATCAGCTGGGTACCTCACTACATAAGCATTTTTACTTACGTAGTACTCGCCGTTCAAGCTGATGTCTTGTTGCAGGATTTGGTCTAGCAACTACAGCAACAAAGAGAGCGATAGCCACCAACAAGCGGAAGGAATTCGGAAATGTTTGGCTTGCAGATGAAAATAGGAGATGGTTGAGAAGTATGATCATATTTGGTGATTTGGACCTGGATTGACCCAAGAAAACTAGAGAAAATTAGCAAACGAGGGACAATGCATGGCTAGATAACTAGCACACACAACAGCAGAGATAACGCTGTTCTCTGACTGACCATCAGAAGTTGAATCTACTCAGAAACCAGCACACATACCGATGAAACACTTGGGTGCAATGAATTGGACCCGCGAATATCACTTGTAAAGAGAACTAAACGAAGGACACGGCAATGAGTAAAATTTCATGTCGAAATTTGGACGAGCGGACAGACAATCTATGTGCAAGCAGTGAGTATTTCGCCCAAAAGTGTAGCGTCAATAGGTTCAACGGGGATGTTTTAGATGGAGACGCGAAACCGAAATCAATTGAGAAACCGTCCTTTATTTATATGACAGGCTCCGTCGTCGCCGTTGGTAAGTGGGTCCAGGAATGTAACGCCATCGGTCCGTCCTTTCTACAGTCTACTTGGTCGAGTGGGTCACTGACATAATCAAGAATAGCAACGCAAGTGCAAGCCTTGAAGCTGAAAAAGGCGATGGTTTGGGTCATGTCATGTTGCGAAGAAATTCATCTAGCAATTGCACGGAGGTAAACAAACGTTCCCGGGGTGTCTGGAGGGACTTCACCTTCTAGCAACACTAGTTCCCGCTCTTGATGGACATCATGATCGTCATGAGTGCACAGCTGGGGTATGGATAGGATAGGATAGGATATGAATTATACTGGCGAGGTCCGATTCCCGAACAACCAGTTTACCATGTACTGTACAATATTACATGATGTTGTACAATAATGGAACACACATATCTAATACAGGGGGGCGATTATGATCATCCATGTCCTGGTTATTGAGGGGAAAAGCGGAAAAAAACCCCTCCCATGGTATCATGAATTACACGGTCTTCCCTGCCTCAATATGCATGCAGTGCGTCACTCCAGCCGATATATTTCAACTGCATAGAATACTTCCAACACCTCATGCACATACTTTGCCAGCAACCCCACAACCCTCTTATCTGCCAGTAACTCCCTAAAGAGCTCCCATCCATCCCCATAGTGCCTTGCAAAATGGGGTATCTCCTGTATTACCCTTTGCATAAAGGCTTTCCTCAGCTGTATGACCTTGCAGCTGTTGCTGCATTCAAACAAAACATGTGCCCCATCTTCCACTTTTTCCCTACACATTCTACACAGTCTTTTATCATGCTGCACCATTGGTTTGTTCCTCTCTGCCCACCTTAATCTCTCCACTGCTAATTTGTGGTTGCTTGTTACCATATCAATCAAGGATCTTCTATGTTCACCTATTGGAATCCTCAAGTAGTGTCTAAAAGCCATGGTCTTTATAACCATTTTTTTTGTCTTCTTGTCATACTCTCTTCTATCTCTCAGCACATCCCTTGTCTTGTTTGATGTGTCCACCTTTTCTTGAATGTCTTTCTCCATTGATTTCTTTACCCTCTCCATTACCCCATCAATGTGTTGCACAGTCAAGTCCTTGAATCTTGGTATATTCCATACCACCCTGTGAGGTAGCCTGTCTAACACTTGTACCATTTCCATAAAGACTGAGTTTTTCCCCTGCTCTGCTAGTTCATATGCTTGTCTGCATGCCTTCCATGCTAAGTGGTCTCTCTTCAACTGCACCAAGTACTTCAGATTCTTCAGGAACAGAATAATTCTTCGATATCGAATTGGCCATAGGCCTGTTTCAGAGAATAATAGTGCCACCATTGATTTATCGTTCAGTCCCAACATCCTCCTAATGAAGTAATGCTGTACACTCTCTAATTGCTTTCTTCTTACATCATAAATGTCCACTATCACTTCTGCTCCATTTTTCAAATAGGGATCAACCCTGCCCATGTACAGCAACCATAAGTCCCATATTGGAATATTTTTCCCCACAAACACTTTTGCATGTAGTACTGCTCCTGCAGTCTTTTTTGCTTTCTCAGCACTCTCCTTGTACTGCTGCTGATACATGTCAACTCCTGTTGTCTGGTGCCAGATTCCCATGTACTTCATCTCTTTCTTCTTTTTCAACCTTTTGCCATACAGAGTAAATGGCAAGCCCTCTGTCTCCTCCTTTCCATACACTGCATAAACACACTTTGGAACTGACGCAATAAATCCAGTCTGTGCAGAATATTCTCCAAATTGGTTGAGTTTGGATTGGAAGCTTGTAGGGCACATTGTAGTCATCAATACATCATCTGCCTGTTCTGTATGGTTGACCACTTTGTCATATAATACCAC